CTCCTGTTGAGCTGATTTGCTGGTTTTGTGCACTTACCCAGTAAATTAAATCTATCGGATAAAAATGTTTGAAAAATAAATTTTTCTTAAAGAGATTCAAGATTTTATTAACAAAAATAACTTTTAATTTAAAACTAATTTTATTTATTATTATGTTTATTTGTGTTAACTATTGACGTACTGTATTATTATTTATAAGTAGGTAAATGTGTATGTGTATTAGTATTATTATTGCAAAAATTTGACAAAAATAGATAGGTAAGTATATTAAAATCTACAAAATACAATTTGAAAATATATACCATGCATCTTTGATACATGTATCTATTGTATCTAGTAGATGATATCTTTTCTACTTTCACAATGTATCTTGTATCTAGATAGTCTAAATGTATGTATCATGATACTCTTTTTTCAGTATCTTCCCCAATCCTGATGATATAGTTTTAAACTCGTAACCTGTAGGGTAATTTACCTTCGTCGAGAATACTTATTGTAAAATGTAATACTTGTCTTACTTAATCTAATAAATATATTAAATGCTTAGATATAGGTAAATAGAGTGAATATAATAATAAAAGTTAATAAAAATCAAAAAAAATCGCACACATAGTAAAATCAATATATAATCTAAAAAAATGTATTCAATTTAAACCAAAATCACGCATGTATTATTATAACAATATTAGATAGATAATACGCGATATAGGTAACTACAGAAGACATATTTTGTTGTTTATAATGTAAAACGTAGAGGCACCGTTTAATATTAAAAACATTCCCTTGAAACAGTATTTTATTAAACAGTTCATAAAATCAATAAATACGTAAGCAAGCAGATACCTATGGAAACAAATATTTGCTCAGATAAACTGTAATATTGGTATAATATACCTATCATCTATGTATTATATTTGAATCATACAATAATACAATATACCATGTCAAAATATGCATGCAATATTAAATATACCAACAATAACGAGACGATAATAATAATTATTATACCTACTTATTTATTGCGAGCGTTGGTCTTTTAACTATGGATGAATAAAACGATATGTTGCGTAGATAATAAACACTGAATAATTATTCAGTGTTTAGTAATTTAAACTTGTGCGAGGGTCAAAGGGGGAAGGGATGAAAACGCGTTTTATATATAGATATGAAGGGGCGTGCATTTGTCTTCACCTAAAATATAAATGAATATCAAATAGAAACGTGATAACGACCAATCATAAAAACTCAAACTTAACGAAAATATATATTTTCTTACTATATTTTGTACATTTTTGGTAATCTGACTGTAGCGAAGAATATTCTGGTTTTATAAAGATGTTTACTTTTTATTTTTTTAAAATTATGAACAAAAATTCTACCAGAAAGCTTAATCCGATGTATATGTGGTGTAGGTCTTTTTCTAAAAGGAAATTTCCTTGGGGTGGTACTGTAGGGAGATCATTTTTCTATTTTCTCAAGAGTTTTCTTATCAAAGAGAAAAAACCGAAAAAAAGGAAAAAAAACGGGAAATATACGAAATATATAAGTAAAATATTACGATTTTTTTTCCGTGGACAACTTTCTACCAGCAATTTTGCTCCGATTTATAATGATAATACTTTTTTTAAAAGTAAATCTGACTTGGGAGGTACTTTAAAGAGATCATTTTTCAAGTTTTCCCAGCAAATGTGAAAAACGGTAAAATATTAAACAAATATTATTAAAACAAATGTATAATGCCTATTTAATTATTTAATATTTTATCATAATTTGACAAAAATGTTGTTGACAAAGCATTACTGTCAACTGAACTTTGTTCAGAATAGGTTTTTTGATAGCAATGGTTTATTGTTGCTTAAAAATATACATTAAATTCCTTCGCTGTATCCTACCTTTCCACCTTCAACAGTGATTGCATCCAAGTGTGAAAAATGTTGAAAATCCACTACTGCCTTCTTTTTATTTATGTAGGCACCGATTCTAGTCCTGAAATCTATTTTACATGTTAGATTTAACTTAATTTATTACCATCAAATTAGGGTTTGTAAAATAATAGGCTCACACCAACAATGTAATGAGCAACAACATGAAACATTGAAATAAAAAGAAAAAAGATAAATTTTAACAGTAAATAAATATTGGAAAACATTACCTACTTATTTAATCACAGCTAACACAGAATACTATAGGAACTCTAATACTTACAGAACTAATATAAATTTTCTTCCTCAGTTTTGTCCAAATTATTTTTTTCCACTTTAAATTTAGTATCTTTGGCACATTGATGTTTTGATAAGCTAACTTTTAAAAAAGTCTTTAGGATTCCTATATTTATTGGAGGTCTATTTATATTGATAAATATTAAATTAACAGTACTTACCGAATACCTATTACTTACAGTTAATTATGGACAAAGGTCAGTGCAAATACTATTTGTAAGACTGAACCCTAGTCCATATTCTGCTATACCTAGAACATGGAAATGTTTTTAAAAATTTCTGGAACTAAGATATCACATTTTTAGGTTCATTATTTTGGTTAAAAATAAATTGCCTCATGTCATTAATTGCGTTATCGTATAATAAATAATTATACAGAATACAGATTGCTTAATTTGTAAATCTCATAGACTATAAATTATTTTTAAGTACATTTTTTTTAAAAAAATCAAAAGTTATTTGTACTATTTTTACAGAGTAGGTAGGTATCTACCAATACGATGACTTACCAAATGGTAAAATAGTGTACCCTCCAAAACACCACTAACCATTTCAAATTCCAAAGATATAGGTTCTAAATAGTTAATATTTATAGCATTTGCTAACCGATTTGATTTGTACAATTCTAACACCAAATACAAACTTCACTGCAGCAGATATTATTACTCGATTCTACATAATCTATTCAATATTATTACCATAGATTACTTTATGGAATTTGAGGGAACACAGGTATCAGAATTATTTTATTTTATTTTTATATGATACCAATGTTTAAATGGTTTTTTGAGGGTTTAATGTTAATATAATAATTTAATTATAATGGTAGGTATATAGTACACTGATCTTAAATATTTTTACACTTGCTCCACATCATAGTAAAGCGGATTTGGACTTCCTATACTCAGTCATAAATGGTTCTTTGGACATTCCTGAACTCTTTGCTGCTGTACCTACCATTTAGCGGCAAGGCCGTCTTCCTCTAGAAGTTATTCGTTGTTCTATATTGTTACCGAGACATAAAACCGCATATGGTCACAACCATGTCTTACATTGTATGCTCAGAACTGTAAATACTAATAATACCACAGAATACAGATTATATTAAAGTGTAATAGTACCTGGACGCCACATCAATGGTCTCAGTCTTACAAACGCTAGACAGCAAATTTGCGTTCAGTAGAATACACTTTGTGCCGTAAGTTTTAGTATTAAAGCAAATTGATCAATTACCAAAATTATAGCTAAGAAGATTATATGTGCTCTAGCGTTAATGATTTTTCGATATTTTTATTTTTAAATGAGACATGAATAGAGGTATGTTAAATATCACAATATTTAAAAATGTTTATATCTTACTTAAAAATTTAAATATAAAAAAAAAAATCAACGCTAGGGCATATTATATAATATTCTTACTTTTAAGTTTGGAAATAAGTTGATATGCTTTAATATTAAAATTATATTGTTAATTGTGTCCTACTGAATACAAATTTGTTATGTCATGCATTTGTAAGATGGAGACAGTAAATGTCGGTGTGGCATCACCTTAACTACTATTAACTAAACATTTCTTTTCAACTACCTATATTTTTGTTTGTAATGAGTTGGTACTTATATATATACTAGTCTTTTGATTTTTTTTATTACATTGACCTAATACCATATATGTATTTGTAATATTACCATATGGCGTTTAATAAACATTAAATAGTTTATAATATATATGTTACAGTAAAAGTATGAATACCGGTAAAACATAGGTTTTTACCAATTGTGGTTGATTAGTGATTGATTTTGGTAAAACCTAGGATAAAAAAAATAGTTTGGTTAAACCCTGAATGATTTTTGTAGTTCGGATTTTTACAAACAAGATTTAGTAAATCTTAAAATAAACGACCAGCGTTGGTAAAAGTTCAAAATTGTTTACCAATTACATGATGTTTTTTTCCCTTGCTTTATACCTATTTGTATTTTACTCCTATATTATTATTAAGTACATTAGGTAAATAGGTACACACATTTATGTTATTATATATTATTTTATTTTTGCTATAAATTATTATTTAATAATTTATAATTATATTGGTGGTAAGTTAGTAACACTTCTAATATTAATTATGTTATTAATTTATACTCAAACCAATTTTATAATAATATCTTATATTAATACATTTTAGATAATAAATAATAACCAAATAATTTATGTTTCTTAACATACTATGACTAATAATATCCAATTTTAAATAATTTATCCAATTAAAATAAATTATTTCTATATTCTATGGAAAACTATAAAACTATTCTATATAATACACTTTTCATAATACTCCAGGCGACGCATTCATTAATTAATTTATTTTATTTTTATGGGACAACAGATTGATATTTATCACAATTTTAACAATAATTTGTATACTATTTTTTCTGAATCTTTTAAATATCAAACTGTACCAGAAACATTTAACATAACAATTTCAAAAGAATATACAAAATAAGAGAAACAAATTTAGCCCATGAAAATTGATTTGATATTCAGATGTTGAAAAAACTAAATTTGGTATTTTGCTGTTGGAAAAATGAATTGACATGGAATGTTGAGAACTCATTGTTGAAAACATTGGTAAGCTTAAAGTTCGAAAAAGAACATAATTAATATAAAATAAAAAAATATTCAATTTTAATTTTGATACTACAATCTTATACCTGAAAAATAATATCCGTCGGATAGAATATTATAATATTATAGATAACAATTATTGACCTATTTATTTTATGCGGCATTATTCATTATGGGAAAATTTAATTTAATTCAAAAAAGTTTTTTTCGAAATGCTTTATTTTCAGGTATAAAGTTGCAATTGAATATTTTTTTTTTTTTTTTTATATATACTAATTATGTTTTTTTTCGAGTTTAAGCTCACCAATGTTTTCAACAATGAGTTCTCAACATTCTATGTCAATTCATTCTTTCAACAATGGGTTCTCAACATTCCATATCAATTAATTTTTCCAACAGCAAAATACCAAATTTATTTTTTTCAACATCTCAATATTAAATCAATTTTCAACATCTCAATTTTGAAGGGCTAAATTTTTTTCTCTTATTTTGTATATTTTTTTGAAAAAATTTTGTTAAATGTTTCTAGTACAGTTTGATATTTAAAAGATCAAAAAAAATAATGTAAAAATCATCGTTTAAAATGTGATAAATATCAACAGTTTGTTATTTAAAAGATTTAAAAAAAATATTGTTAAAATTATGAAAAATATTGGTAGATTTTTATTTAAAAGATTCAGAAAAAATAGTGTAAAAATTATTGTTAAAATTGTGATAAATATCAAGCTTTCCCAGAACATACATTATTATAGTACTTTCTGAAGAGTATATTTTACTGTTTTCGGCGTAGGGAAGCATCCAAAAGTTATTGAAATCTAAATTGTTGTCGAGAAAGTCGAAAACACTGCTCTATGTCAGTTATCTGAGACCAATAGTGACTTACGCGTGTGAGACTNGAAAGGGGGAAAAACGAAAATGTGTACCAATTGTATGGATAACCAACAATATTAACGTATATAAGAACTAAGAGAATGGAGTGGTTTGGACATATTTGGAGAGCTGAAGATGATATACTAAAAAAGGTCACAACCGCAATGATACAGAAGAAACGACCACTGGGTAGACCGCGAACGAGATGGAAGGATGCAGTGAAGAGGGACATTCAATAATTGGATGTGAATGCGTCTGTTGAATTAGCACTCAACAGAGAAAGGTATTTTACTGTAACATCAATTTTTTTTTTTCATCAATATCGCGTCCTTGCAGCACTTTCCTAGCATCAAGACATTTCTGGTCAATGCTCAACGACTGAGTTTTGTTTTTTAATGCTTCGTCTATCACATTTACTTGTTCCATAAGCACATTATGCATGTTTCTGTAACAGTAAATACATACCTAGGTAAGTTGATTGCATATTGATAAATTTTATAGGCAACAATCATTTTCACCCCTCATGCATTTTATTTTTTAAAAAATGTTTAATTAATTTATATAGTTAAGATTGTTTAGTGAATTAAACAAATTTTAAACCTCTCCCCCTCTGAAATCTTATTTTAGTTTGATTAATATAAAACCAGTTCGTTAGGTTCCTTAAATGAACTTCGGATCTGCCTCTGAGTAGGTACCCATTATAAACTGACAAATATTTAGCATCTTATAATTTGTAAACTTACTTTATTTGATCAAGTTTATTGGTTAAAATTTTAGTAGTGTTTTCAAGTTGAAAATGTTCTTTGCGCAATTCAGTAGTAGGTTTATCAAGACAAAGTTCGGCGCCGAGTCTATATAACCTTTCTTCACATCGTGTTTCTATTAACTTTTTACAATTCAATTTCCTATCCAAAGCGTTCTCTAAGTTTTGGATTTCATTACAAAACTTTTCTTTGTCAGCTATCATCTATTTTATATTCACCGCAATTGTCGTGTTAATAAAATAAATAAACTCATTAATGTTTAATAAATATTACAATATAAATATCTATCGGTACTTACATTCAATTTCTGCCATTCCATTTCATTTTGAGTTCTCTCTGTATCGTAAACACGTCTTCTCAGAGCAAAATTTACAACATCATTTTGGGCTCGAAGATCGTTTTTAGTTTTAATTCGTGGTACACACATGGTTTCACGAATTTTTTTTGATTGACTCAATATATTTTCAATCCTTTTTTTCAAATTGTGACATTTTTGTAGCCAGTTTTCATAAGTACTAAAACTGTAGAATAATTATAAAATTTAAATATTAGAGCAATAGGCATATATTATTCTGATATTTGTTTAATAACGACAATAAAGTTTAATACGCATTATCAGTCATCCAAAAAATGAAAAAAAAAAATGTATTTAAGCTGAGGACTTGAACTGATTTAAAATTAAGAGTGATTATCCCAACTGGTTGTTTGTTCGCGTAGGTACCGTACCTACCTACCATATAACTATAGTTTATAGGTCTATGGTATTAATATTCCCCAGATTTGACACCAATCTCTAATGGTCACCGCGCAATATGTCACCGTCGCTACAACTATGAACTAACAAAAGTTAAACAGACGTTTCGTCCCAGGCAATTATTAAGATAGGACATTTAGTCCTGAGGAGTTATTAGCCTATTAGCCATAGAACATTTGGTCCTGGCATATTTTGACTACAGGGCATTTAGTTTTGTAAATCATTATTTTTTATTAATTTCTTCAAAAGTTAATTATTTCACTAATAATAATATATGTATAGGCATAATGATGATGACATTTTATACTGTTTAAAAATTATAAATCATAAATCAAAAAATAAACACCTGGGTATATAATTGATTTATTTGTTTTGACTTAATATACCTAATTGTGATTTATTAAAATCTTCACTATTTGTAATTATATTGTACCTATATATTATATATATATATTACCTATATATTTGTAGTATTGTCATTTATAAATATTAAATTGTTTATTAAAAACATATTAATTGTTATTGAAATATGAACTTTTTAATGAATTAATAAATATAGTAATTTTAAAAACCTGATAACTAAATGTCCTATAGTAAAAATATGCCAGGGACCAAACGTCATATGGTTAATAACTCCACGGTACCAAATGTTCTATCTTAATAATTGCCGGGGACTGTTTTATAATTTTATTTAAACAATTTAATTATTCCTATATTCCAATTAACTAATACCATAGTTATAAGCAATTACATACAACATTAATTATTTTTTATGAAAACTTTTGGAAATCTAGAAAAATGTTTTAAAATAAAGTAAGGATCAACGGGCAGAAAATCTACATTTTTTATGATAAGACACGTAAAAGTTTTGAAATAATTTCACAGTAAAATGTTTTCTAAGAAAAAATAAAAATGTTAATGTATAAATGAATAGCTTAGCTAATTAGTATTTTATAAGTAATTACATATTGTAGTATGCACTTTATATAAATTTATGTTCTTACTCTTTTGGAACTCTAAGTGGATCTGGTTTAAGAGAAATATTTATAGAGTCTTTGGTCATTCCTAACAAATCTGTATCTATACATATTGTATGATTTTTCATATCTAAATCTTCAGCAACATTAATTTGTAATTCTTCCAATATATTAATCTGTTCCCATGCATTGTGACTAGTGTCTGTTAACACATTTTTCAATTTTTCCAAAATATATTGTTCCTAAATGAACTTTCTATTATTTATTTAAGAATAGGTATTTTGATTTATTATTTGATGCGTACGTTTTTTAGTTCAACATAAGCACTATCATAACATAAATCTGAAGAAACTCGTTCTTCTCTTATACTTAAACAATGATTAGTAACGCTAAAATTCAAATTTAAAAATTCAATATAATGTTCTGATATTTTCTTATCATTTTTCATGTTTTCAATTTCTGTTTGTATATGTTTGTAATATATTTCAAATAGATCTTTCCAACGTGATACTTCAGTGCATCTAAAAATACATATTTATGAACTTAAATAGGTATTAATTCTAATTTTTAGTCAATAACATAAAAAACATACCTGTCAATTATCTTAGAATTAGTAGAAAGGGTAGCCCAAGAAGTTGTGATATCTGTATCATTCCTTAGTTTATGTGATTCATTTTTCAATTCAAATGCATTTTTTCTGTGATAATCACAAGTTTCTTTCAACTCAGATACTTTGTAATACCAATCAGCCTCCGATACTTTGGGAACAGGTATCTCAAATGTAACTATTGACATTGTAAAATATAATTTTGTAGTTTGTTCTTGTAGTATTCCTCAATTGAAAAATATTATTTTATTCAAAAATAGCTACAAAAAAATTAATAATATGATAGTTAAAATAATAGTAAAATTATTATTAAAATATAAGAATCAAAATTCATACCTAATGGAGGAGATTTGTGTTATTGAACACACAATGTATTATAAATAGTTCAATGGTTACTATAACAACAGAAGCAGTATTTTTACAACCAGATTAATAATATTAACTTTTGTCTTTACAAAATATTTATTCTTTAATCTATCTATCAATTAATATGCATGCAATAATCGTGTAGACAATTTAAAAATTAGACATCAAAGATTAGTTAGACCCCCTTTGAACAGATGAAGACAGCCACATGTTCAACATTTCAAATCTTTGTGCCTTAGATTTAGCTATAGCATCACAGAACATTTCCTCTAAAAGACTGGATAAATTAAGTGAATTAATAAAAAACACAATAGTACAAAACATTTAAGCGAAATTGGTAGGTTTAAACTAGAACCTAGTACAGACATCCCAACCCATATTAGGATTGAATTGAATCGGTCCGACTTAAACATTTTTCTGGTCAGGTTAGGCTGAATTTTCATATATTGGATTAGATCAAATTGGAGTCAACCATACAATTATTATATTATTTGTTTATTTCAAATTAGGAATGATTTTACTATGTATTCTTTTTTCCTGTCTGTGAGCAAATTATCTTGGTACTAGTAAGATTAGTTTAATTAAAAAATAACAAAATATATTTTGTGATGATTTTTAGATCTAGTTGGTGAGTGAGAAAGTTGTTTTGGATTTTCTAATCAGTTTCAATAATAATTTGGAAAAACCAAAACAAAAAAATTAAACAAATATGAGAAAGTTTTGACAATTAAAGTTTCATTGCATTTGATTTTGTTTATTTGCTATAAATTGGTTTAAAATAATCTTAAAGAGTTAATTTACAGGACTCTAATATATATCATGATTAAGATACTAGTATTATAATACAGACTATTTTTATTGAATTAAATTAAAAATATTAAAAAAGTATATTGGTAATATAGTATAAAGTATATTAATAATAAAGGTTAATAATTTTATTAATGCAAGTACTAGAGCTCACTATTTCACATGTACATATGTATTTACTTATTTTAGTATTAACAAATATACTAAAATTCTTACATGCAATAATAGTAGATAATAATAATCAGTTTATCACCTGAACATTGACAGTCGTAAAAGCTGGTCATCCCCTAATTATATTCGCACTGTAGTAACTAGGTACTATGTTAAAATGATCGTTTAATATCCAAAAATACACGAATAACATTAAAACACAGATACTAAATTCACTATTCACATTTGAATTAATTCACTTTTTAAATTGAGAATTCTAATAATTACTAATAATAAAACTAATATAAGTACTGATATTTATTTCAAATAAAAATCTATAATACTATACAATTTGTTAATCTTATAAAATTATAAAATATAGTATTATTATCATATTATCGTGAACTAAATAATATATTTAATCAGTTATACATAATCACTTAACTATAGGTAATTATAACTTTATAAATAAATTTAGCACTTGTAAAAATATTTAAAATAGTTAGGTTTATAATCTATAATAATGTAAACTTAATTTAGTTTAAAAAAAATATAGGAAATTATGAATATAAAATTAAATACAAAAAATGTAATGTCAAATGAGATCAAACATTGGGCAGTTCCAGATTTTGAAATACATTAATAATGAGATTAAAAAATTATTTGATAAAAATATACCATTTTAATCAGTCTTAATTATTATACATTATATTTAGGGCAGTTTGTATGGGAACATACTAAATGTTATCTATTCCCATAAATTCATACAAATAAGCGTAATTAATGTTATAACAATAGTTAATTAAATGTAATAAAATAAAAATGACTAAGCAATTTAAAAATATTAAAATCCTTATAGTGTTCACCAAAGTAAACACTAAGAATAGATATAACATATTATGCAAGTGTTTAAACATAAAACATTATAAACGTATTATTGCCATAACCATTGTTAATCTCGTTGTATATATATTTAAATTTCTTAACCATTGGTGGAGTGTAGAGATTATCTCACATTAGTTTTTATACTTTATATAATAAATTAGTTGTTAAAAAACAAAAATACGAACTACAAATTATCCTAATTATTTTATTGAATATATTGATTTAATATAATGAACTAAAAATGATTAGAATTCTAATTTTTTTTTGTTTGTGATGAGATAATTTCTTAATAAACAACCAACAAGTTAATTGAAATTGTTTGAAATTAACACAAGATGTAGACATTTTAAATAGATAATTAATTAAAATTAATTTTGTAAAACAAAAACGTCATTAATTTATGAAATTTTGAATAGAGGTTATTGTTTTAAAAACATATATAGCAGCGGTTTCAACACCAGACCTAAGTGTGAAAAAAGAAGAATAACATTAAATTTGAGAATCACATGTATCTGCAATTATTCCAAAAGAAAATTCTAAAAAAATATACCTTACAACATAATAGGTGTCATAAGGAAAATTGATCATCTGTATAATATATATACATATTTGATTGAGTCATATATGTTAACATATCAAACATTATAATGAATTATTATTATATTGAATATAATCATGTTAAAACACTTCAGCGGGTTCCTCGTGTCTACGATTGGTCAAAATAATTTCCGGATTTGCTTCATCAAAGAAACTTTCAGGGCTATATTGATTTTTCTTGGAAATCTCAATTATATGTGGGTACAGTGAATGTAAAAACAAAATGATATGTAAAAGATTTTTCATAATGAATACAGAAGCATTGTGATTGAAAACAACCCACATATATAAACGTATTCCTAAAAATGGCATTTGTACTAAAATTAAATGCAAAAAATTATAACACACTGGCTGGGGAAGGCCCATTGGTTTAATATCAATGTCTGGTTGAGATATACTATATAGTATCCATAATGGCAGCATGAAGTTAGCAAAGGTCAAAGTATAAATTAAATAGGGTACATGGCCAATTTGATGATTTGTGGATATGATTATTGACAAAAGTTCAACAGAGTCAAAAATTTCTATGATCCACGAATTTGTTACCCATTTTTCACGGTCCAATTGGCGTCCGACACATTCAGCATTGACCAACAGATAAAATATAATACCAGATAACCCAATGAGCAACTGAAAAGATATTTTAAAAAATAAAATAAAATAAATTATAACATATGCATCTATTTATTATTACTCACCTTGAGCATTTGTGGTCCCATAAAGTTGTTGTAACTGATCAACGAGACGACATTGTTAGAGAAAATCAATACAATCTTGATGAACAAAATTATGACATATACGCCCCAAGTGATGCAATTTAGGTACACTGGGTACTTTTTAGTCTTTGATTGGACAGAACTTGGAGTCTCAAAATCGGCTTTCTGCGTCTGCCTGTACCTATACTCTTTGTAACTGTTCAGGAACGTGTGGTAGAAGAGTACCGTCAATACCAAATTGAGGGCCACAAATACCGAGTTCGGGTACCTTGAATACCATGTACCCCGGAAGACGATCCACACATAAAAATCCAAGCTAAAGAGTTGTACGAGTTGTAGAGCGAGCAGCACGCCAGCGTCCAAAACAAAAACCATTCGCATTTTATTCATTCTAAGGCAGATAAATTTTACTAACAGAGGACTACAAACAACAAATATAAAATAACAAAATCACCTATTATTCAATTTTGATATCGAGTCGTTAGGAATAATAATACATTATATTTTGAAAATATTAAAATCTAATAAGTCACTTATACATACTTCAAATGACATTTTTTAATGTTTTTAGAAAATTATAATCATAATAACCATTGTTCATAACATTTTGTTGTTTTGTGATTTTGATAACGTTTATTAGAATTGGCTATAGCCTATTTTTTTTTTAGAATTGTACAGGACAACCACAGTTATAGATACTATAGTAGGCATACACAAGGTAGTTAAAGTACATGGTAGACAGTGCTACCACAGAGAGTAAATTAAATAGATTTCAGTGTCACTTCACTGTATAAAAAGAAATGTATTATAATTATATTGGGTCTACATAAAAAAAGGACGTCTATGCTAGGCCATAGGTCAATTTTTGATAGATAATAGAAGTACTTTTATTATCTATGGTCTATGCAGTTTTCCCTAAGATAACAATATCCAAATCTGTAACCTAAAATTTTAATTCTAAACCTAATTCTCAAAAAATTGTACAAAATTATGATAACAAACTGTTTTAGAATGATTTCTATTTATTTTCAAATTCAAATATTATTTTATAATTATTGTATAATTAAAAACTGTGTATTTATGTACTATCATATTTTAATTATTTACTTTGGCTCTAGTTTAAATTTTGTAATTTACATTTAAAATGCCGAATTTTTATATGTCAAATATGGATAAGTCGTAGCTATTTTATCGGTTTCCAAAGGTTAAAATTAATGTTGTACTAATCGATTCTTTCTTCACATCTAGATAGTAAATACGTCTTCCTAACGTCTTTTGTGATTTAATATTATTGTGTTTTGTTTTTTTTCTCTTTTTCTCTATTGGTTTTTTTTTTTTTTATAATTTTAACCATTGTTTCTTGTAACCATAGGCACAAATACACCAAGAACTTTAGGAGTACTACAATTAGAGACACATCACAAACCCATGGGGGCAATGCCCCCTCCCCCAATCTCCAGTATCAAGTAAAAAAGACAATTGAAAAACACACCGAAAAAATACAATAACGATGTTCATTTTTTAAAAAAAATGTCTAATTAATTAAAACGGTTTAAAATTAATATTTTGAAAGATTAGAAAAAAGTTAAATAAATACCTACTATACAGGTATTTATAACATTTATAAATAATTTAAAAAATCAAAAATGTTCAATTGCTTATATACGATCCCCAAATTCGTATCTGAATATTGTAACTTTGAGAACAAGATTCCGAGATATTTAATGAAGATAATTAATCGTATCTTCAAGTTTTTTGTGTCTTCCAAACGTATTTTATTACATGCATGAGGCATTTCCAACATTTATCTTTATTTTTGTTTGGTAAAATAATTTCCATAGGTAATGAAAAGTCAAACATTTTACTTTAAATTTAACGAGACACGAGTTAACTGATAGTAAATTCGATTTGACAGAGTCTCTAACCCCCCCCCCTTTCAGCAAAAAAAAATATTCAAAAATTATAAATGATTTGCTACAAAGATATAGAGAGAGAACATTAATTTATGCATCGTGATTTTTTTATCGTAAACCAGTAATTATCTTGGAAGTTTTTAATTGAATTTGATTTATATTTTTTTTAATCTTTGAACAATCGTTTAAGCTTTATTTTAAAACCATTTTTAATTGTTTACCCTTACTTTATATACCTTAAATAAGAATATACATTTGTTTTTTTTCAAATGAGAATCCTAATTCCCCCTTTTGAACACAGATTCGAATAGACTAAATTTTTCTAGAAATGTTGATATGCATAACACTAATATCAGATTTACCGTTTATGAGTTATAAGTTCTAACTGTTAAAAGTTTAGACCGGAGGAGCGGGGAAGAGTTATCAATTATCATTTAAAAGTAGATAACATACAATTTATGGAATAGAGGTAATAAATTAAAAATGGTTTTAAAACAAAGCCTAAGCATTTGTAATTGTAAAGAAATTATTGATAGACTGGCAAAAAAAAAAGTTCACCATTTTTATCATAAATAACGCTTAATTTGTATTTATAATAGTAATACAATAGTATAATCATTACCTAATTCATATCTTATTTGTATTTTTTGGAAAAATGTCTACTAAACACAAATGTCGAAAATAGTTAATACTGTCCTATATAATGAGTGTCTTATAATAAATTGATCACTCTGTATAATACCTATAAGAGCTATATTAATACTTTCAAAAGTCTTAATAGAAGACAAATTTGAATTCTATATTGATTATATTATTATTGTATTTTTTTTCCTAGACTCCAATACCTCTCACACGACACTTACGTTAAGCAACTAAACATGTTATTTATAATTTTTTATATATAAATGTAACATAACTTTTTTAAATTTATTTTGTATACACACATGCATTGGTTTGTAGGTAATTTGTATTTTTTTCTGCTCATACAAAATACATGCTTAACATATTTAGTCGATACTATAAAAAACCTTTGGGTATTTTTGGTGGTACTAACTTTAAAGTTGGGGTGCTCAAGACCCCCTAGCACCCTCCTAGTTGCACTTATAGTTGTAATTAATTGTGTTTACAGAATTTCAAATTATAAAAAGTGCATGTTTTCTGATCTAAGAACTAAAATGTTACAACAGTAAAACCATAAACATATAATAAAATATGTCTATTATATGTTTAAGTAAAACAAACTAAATTAAAATTAAAATGTTCATACACCAGCTTTATACATAAATGAATCAGCAAATTCACATTAGCCTAACCATGGCTAAATATATTTAGCCATGAGCCTAACATGTGAATAATAAACCAGTTTATCAAAATTTATGAATACATAATTTGTTCCGTGTTTTTATGTGTCGTATAATAGTTTAAAAATTCAATATTCTCAAATTCTCGTATGAAACATTTAGAGTTTTGAGGTTGGTTGGTATTATCTTGCATAAGGAAATTTTTTATTGTTTTTTATTCCATGGTTTCGGTAAAACTATACCCATCCCGACGATGACAATATATTTTGTTTCACTTGCTTATGCCATTTATCTTTGGCTTTCTAACGTTTAACTGATAATATAGCAAAAACGGGTTTGGAGTTTCCGGAATCTGGATTCCGAAGTTCCAACGGTACTTTGATTTTAATAGAATTATAACAAAAATGATTTTACAAAATTGAAAATAACAATAATTGTTTATTCTTAGTTAATGTTTAATATATAATTTCCAACAATTATATTTTCGTAGGTACTACTTCGTACCAACATACTTGGGCAAGGGGAGGGGTTAGAAACATTAGGAAATGTTTTCTTCTAGTAATCAAACACACGAGTTGCCTATGTACTAATAATCAATAAAATAAATAAAATTCTTTACAAAGTCCGTAGTAGTTAATTATTATTATTATTATACTATTAACACTATTTAGGTAAACATGTATAATACAAATTTTAGTCTCCATTTTTATTTGATAATTCAACCAGCATTTCAAGGATAATTGAATAATTTTTTTTTATTATTGACAGCAAAACCAGGCCGTGGTAAATCCGTAATATTTTTTTTTTTCATCGTCGAAAAAATATCGTGTATATCAGTGTCAAACATTAATAATAATTGTTATTTTGACATCTCGTTGAACAATTATTTACAGTAAAACACCGTAGGTATAAAAAAATCTTTGTAAATTCGTATTTTTACGATCAGAATAGTATTTAGTAGTGTACATTTGAGTAGGTATTTAATAGTTTACAAAACTGTACAAAACACTAAACACTTAATAATTAAAATAAAATTATTGTTTATTATATTTATTAAATTCAAAGTTCTGAGTGACTTCAGAGAGTAACATTGTAACAATTGAACAATAAATAAGAACTATAATATAATATCTATTTATTCACAATGTTTCGTTTTTGGGGGGATTTTAACTTAGAACTACCCCCCCCCCCTAGTAAGTACGCCACTAGTTATTTGTAATTTAGTTAAACGTTTATTTCAAGTCTAATAAAGTTAAAGTACAACTGTTGGGATTCCGAGAATACATTTTGTTACCTCTATTGCCTTTTAGAAAGACAGACATTATACTACCTACTATGCTACTGCAACGTATTCTTAAAATAAACATTTAAAGCGAAACATATATTCGATCTAGGCCAAGACCATTTGTATTTATTTCTTAATCTCCATCTATTTACATATTTACATTCAATAAAAATGTATAATTTTGTGATAACAAAATAACAAGAAGGTAAGTAGGTATCTACGATAATTTGTTGTTGAATTATACTTAATATGTTTACCTATTATATTGTACTATAATGCCTACACTAAAGACATTGATAAAGTATAATTGATTTAATAACAATATAATTTAAATATATAATAGAGAAATTATCATTTTTTTAACATTATTTAATTAAATGAAGTGTTTCTAAAGTAATTTTTTCACCTCGGCCCTCGAGTTAAAATCAGAATTGAATTTATTGACTTTGTTTTTGCTAAATCATGTGAGATATTTGATTCGGCTAAAATTATTTTTATATTATTATTTGTAAATCAAATACCTGTTATATCTTATTTTACAAATTGAATAGGTTGGGGCAAATATATAAATGCATGATTTCATACATTTTTTATGTTAATGATTTTTTCTTTATATTCATTTATAAATTAGCATGAAATAATGCTTTTGTTATAAATGTTAGGTACTTCTGTAATTGAATAAGGTGATTGTGTAAAAACAAATTATTTTTACAGGTATCATTAGTTTCAAAAGTTGAATCTTGCACATAACCAAAATCAAGACCAATTAGTTAAAATATTAAAACCAAAATTGTAGGTAACGATTATTTTAATGAAAACAAATTTTTTAATTAAACTTGTCATCTCACATTTTTTTTTTTTATATTTCTTCAGTTTTTAATGTATAATTGTATGGATGTTTGATAGATTTTTAGGATGTTAAATTCACAGCCCTGGTTGAAATATAATGTTGAGTAAGACACTTTATGAAATATATATTCAAATTTAAGAAACATAATATTATTATCTTTTATTCGTATTAACAATAATATGTACAAGTTGAGCCAGACAGTCTTATAGTTAAAAAAAAAAATATTTTATTATTAAAAGAATAAAATATTTAAAATTTGTAATAGGCATAATGGATAAATTTGATAATATATCTATGAACAAAAAAATACTTTAGTGAATAATTAATATGAAATAAGAGTTTCAAATAATAATTAAATTTATAACAATAACACATATTTGAAAATATATTCTCTATTGAGTTTTCATTTTTATAATCTAAATTATATATATATTTTTTTTTTATAATGAATACAAGTAAAAACTATAAATATTGAATTGAAACAGTTGTTAAACTGTTCAACATAGTTTGTATAATTAAGTAGGTACCTAATTCAGTTGTACCACATATATAATATATACTCTATTAACTTTAAGAACAATATTCAGCAGCCATGTGTTTTCATACTACCCCATATGTGTAAAACATAGCCACTATATAGCCACCATAGTTCTTAAAGTGAATAGAGTATACAAGTATTTATGAACTTATACATACACAAAATATATTCATATAATCAATGATTTATTTTTATTTATTGATTGACAATTATAACTAATAATACATTTTTAAATTTGAGTAGGTACAAATAAAAACAAATCTTAATTTAAATTTCCAATAATGTATGCAATATTTTTGTTATTGTTCAATTGTTTTTTTTTTTTGATTTTCAAAATCAATGTGGTTGTAATCAAAATATATAATAAAAAAGATATACAATGTTTTTTTTCGAAAATAATTTGTAATATATATATATACACACACACACACTAAAACAATGCTGCATTCAAAAGTATGAACCTTTGATTCAATAACAAAATTGTACAAAAATAACATGGTAAACAATTTCTAATTGATTTAGAAATAGTACTGACAAAATAAATAAAAAAAAATATTATTTATTATGTGTTTTCATATGGGCAAAATATGAACACAGATAATTATACTGTTTATGACATACTCCACATTTTAAGCTTTTATAATGAATTTTAGTATCTGTTCTATCCAACTTTGCATGCACATTGAGATGTTTCATAAAGTTTTTACGGACTTTAAACTTATGACCACAAATTTTACATAAATATTTTTTTCTAGGTATAAAATTAGTCAAATGTTCAGAATTATGCATTTTCCATTCAGCAATGGATGCAAAATTTTTACCGCAATATCTACAAGCCAACTCGCGAACTGAGATCAACTGATAATCTGTAACATTGAAATTATTAATAACTGAATTATTTGAATTTGAAGTTACATCCTCTGTTATGGTTTCTATAATATCTTCAAAATTATCCTTACTTGTTGGTTCTGATTTAATTTCTTTTATATCTATACATTCCATAGATTCATCATTAATATTGGAACTATTTAATATCACAGTAATAGTAGAGGAAGAAATATTACCTCTATTATCATTATTTAACCATATACCCTTTTCATTTTTATTTTTACTTATCTCAGTATCGTCTTCATTATTTTTTATTGCACATTCTATATTTTCTTTTCCTTTATCAGTTGTTGACACATTGTTTATACCTACAGTTTTTTTTAGTTTTTGTTCTTTATATTCATTGCGAATTTCAGTGAGTTTGGATAACATTGACTCTAACTCTTCTTCATTGGAAAATTCATTTATTTCCTCGAATCGATTAGAAAGCAATCTTATATCGTTTTCTAATGATTCTAGTTGAGGAATAATTTCTTTTTCATTAACTAATAAATCAGTTGAAAATTCTTCTTTTATATTCTGTGTTTCATTATGATGTCCATTAGGGATTTTATATATTGTTCCTATAATATCTGTATCAGGTTTCCATACAGCACCCATGAGTTTCCAAAATCTATCAGTGAGAATGTCCATTACATACTGCAATTCTTGTGTTTCAGTTACATTAACATTGTATGTATCACCAACAGTAATTATTGTTGGTGTTTTTACTTCAGTTAAATCATTTTCAAGATTATTATCAATGCTATTATCACTCTGACTTGAACCGCTACCTGTTACAGCATTAAACTTTTTAGGTCTGCCTCGTTTTTTTGGCTCACCATCAATGATCTTTTTAGGTCTTCCTCTTGGTTTAGTGGCAGAGGGGTCATATTTTTTATCAGTACTATTTATTTGTTTTTCTTTAATTTTATTACGTTGATTAATTATATTATCTGAATAACAATTATTACGAGTCTGCAAAGTGTTCAACATTTCAGGATTTAATATATTTTTTTTGTCATGACTATTTAAATCATCCATAAATTTGGCTTTTTTATTTGTTTTTCGGGTTTGTTTACAATTTCTATTTTTATATTTTAGATATATAAGATTAGGTCCATTAAAGGTTTTAATACAAATATCAGTGCCAACATGTGCCCTATATGACATTTTGGAAGCAAATTTTTGGCAACATTTTTGACAAACAACATGTTTACCAATAAAATCAAAGTCTTTAAATGGCAAAAGCTTTAAAGTTCCTTTTTGTATACAAAAATTTTCATATCCAGTTTTTATACTATTGTTTTTTTCGAAGAGATTTGTATATTGGCTGTATGGAATAGGTTTATATTTTTCTGAAATCTACATAAAAAAACAAAACAAAATATTAATTTCATTTAATATAAATAAAATAATAATAATAAAAAGTTAACGCTGATGGGTGTTCCACTGTTATAGCAATTAAATTGGAAGGGTGGAACTGTTGCTAACGATAAAAAGTTTTTGAGAAGAGTATTATTAATCGCATTGTTTCTCTTGTTACCAAGATTACCAATATATCAACAATCAACATAAGCCAATCTATTTAGACTATAAAAATAATCAAAAAAAGACCACAATCCAACAACTAAATTAAAAATGCTACAAGAAAGGCTCTATAAAGTTTTTGATTGGAGCAAGATTTTTGGTATAAATGTTCTTTACACAAAAAAAATAAAAAAAAAAAAAAAAAAAAAAAAAAAAATAAAAACAATAATACCAATACATTTATTTATAAAACCATAATATAGCACACTGTTCAACATAATATTACAGAAAATACTGCAACTGTTTATTCGCATTATTCTATCAAATATTCCACCCTGCATTGTCATCTATATAATTTTAAGTTAACAAAGAAGTTAAAGCAGAAAAACTTTGAATTTTAAAAGTATTGGTATAAAAATTAAGGTATATTTTTGATAAAAATTCTGCCATAGTTCTACAGTAGTTCACACACAGTTTTACAATAAGTTCTTTACACTAGTATCAAATTTGGACTTGCAGGTCACAGGTCTATGATACGCTGAATTAAGTGGTACAAAAAAAAAAAAAAACTGGTACAATTATTCTAAAATATGGATTTTATTTTTATGTAAGAAATAAAAAAAACATTTTTGTAGACGTTAAAATTTGTAATTTGTCATTAATAATTATTAATTTATATTATATATATATTCACATAGCTTAAAAATATACTCTTCTTTAAATTTTGTTATTTATAATTAAACTTTAATTTCAATGTAAACACTACAATTTATATTCTAAGTAATGCAATTTTGTTATGTTGTGTGTTAGTATAACCAATAAAACACATATTTTTCCATATATTTATAATTTATTCTTTGTAATTATTACGACTTGTTTCTCATAGTACATCCAGTTTCCTAAATAGTAAATGTTCATCAAGTTTGTATTAGTTGTTGCAGCAAGTTAACTTTTATCAGACAGAGTGGGATTGATATACAATGAATTATTGTCAGTTTATCTTTAATCATTTAATTTAATTTAAGCCTGAGTCAATGCACAGTTTTCATACATAATAAATTATTGTTTCAATTTTAATAATAAAATAAAACTTTGGTTAAACTATTTAGTTTAATTAAAGTTTGTTGATAAAAAAGTTTTTGCCATGAAGATTTGCAGCATTTGGATTTAACACAAAACATTTTAAATATGAGTTATAACTTATAACCCATCATGTATGGACTATTATATAATTTAATGATTTATCTCCTAGATAAATATATAAATTATAGGTAGGTAAATGTTAAAACAATACATAATGTATCAGTTATCTATAAAAGTAGGTATCATTAAAATTTAAACTAGAACATAAGTAACTAATAGATAATTATTTTAATGTTAAATTTATAATTTGTTTGAACAAATATTTTGTAATAATTTATACTATACAATATTTTTCAATTTATAAAATGTATACTCAAGTTAAATTATACTTGGTAATAGGTTTAGATTTCCATAATTTCATAAAGTAAATCTGGGTCGAATAGAAAAATAGCAAATAAAATTAGACTAAAAATATGATTAAATCATAGATACTTATATCTATATACATATAATTTAAATGTATTTTAAAAAAAACCGACTTATTATTTTATAAACTAAAACAATACAACAAAAATTGTATTTATTTTTATAGATAATTTATTATAAAATAACACATTTCTTTTTTTTTAATCATTAAAAAGACTGTTATAAAACATACAAGTGATAACTAATAAGTAAGTATTTGGTACTATATAAGGTTTTGTCATCATTGTTTTATTCCGTATTCGTTAAAAATTATATCGATATCTCTTAATTAATTATATATTATTCAAAATCTGTTGAAATTAAATAATAATAACATTAATTTTTCTCAAAACTGGGACATATTGATGTACAGACAATTATTTTCAGGACACCAGTATACCAAGTCAAAAACGGGCGACAGTCCTGGTTTTCTGGGGGTGTATGGCAACCCTATACTAGGCACATCATTTAAACTAGCTGTCCCACCTAATTTTCACCATGCAAATTTAATTGTCCTTCTTTTTTTATTATTTAAAAAAAGAATTTTTAAAAATTTAAATCAATAAAAGAAATTTTCAATTATGTTCCCATGAGTATTTCATCTGATTGAGGTGCATACAGGTTTATTCACTTCAAAATTAACTGTATGAGGTAGATTTGGCTTTGGATTGCACACAAACACTTCTTTATATTATATAGTATATTAATTTTTAATATTTTATTCTACACAAACCTTAATCAATAAATTAATCTGTACAATACAATAATTTATAGCAAATCAATGTATTTCTATCATTTTTATATTACACTGAATGTAGGGTTAGTGAATCGATTAAATGAAAAAAAATAATTATGATTACCTCAATTGAATCAGAATCAAGACTATTAATAGCCTGAAGATTTAAGAGCTTGAAAAATGGAATTTTCTTCATATATTCTTCAGTCATTTTAAAACTAAAAATATATACAAACATATTATTTATTAGAATTTGATTTGTATTATATTATTCAGGAATTTAAGCATAAACAACAATATTAAAACCATATTATAATTAATAATATTGTTTTCAAAAAAATAATAGTGTATTACAATTCAGTTTTTCCAAAGACAAACCAAAATGTTTTCAAATAACCAAATAGACAATAGCTATCTAATGTACCTAATAATTTAATGACTATATAATTTTAGATAGAGAATTATAAATTTTAAACTAGTTTAAGTACCTATTCATTTAATTTGTTTTAATTAAAATCATTTTTTTTAAAATTATTTGATAGAAAATAAAATCTACAATTTTATAAATTCAACATTATAAATTTATATATACTTTTTACTTATTTTATGATCTATTTTTTAATTAAGATTTACTTAGTATACCATCTCTACATTTTATAATAAGTTTATCAAAATTAAATGAACAAGTAAATTTACATAACTTTAGTATTTAATATAATAAATTATTAGTTGAATTTTTAATTTCGAAATTTAAAAAAAATGAGGCAAGTAACTGTCAAAAAAATAGTTAAATAACTAGAATTCTATATTATATAAATACAATCCGAAAATTAATAACACTGATCAATAAATTATAATTTGTTACAATACAATTATTAAAAAAATAAATAAATTATAATAATAATATTAATAAATCCCTACATATATTATTCACTTACATGAATTATTATTTTAAATGTTGCAGATTGAAAATTTATATTTGGTAGGTAACTATTTTTACAAAGCTTAATGTGGAATTTTCCGACGTGTTTTAAATACCTAAATTCTAGTGTATTTGTATTTAAATAATAAAATCAAAAAAATTCATTTGAAAAAAAAAAAATAAAAATGAAAGTAGAAAAATATGTGACTACACAGGTTACACTGTTAACACTGTTTAAAGTAGCCAGCTGCACAACTGACATGCTAAAGACTATCGAATTCCACACGATATCTATAACTAAATAATATCGAAAAACAATATCGATATACGTATACACCGTGTGAAATAAGTACGAATTTATTAGGTCCATAAATTAAAATCTCGTTATCTTCTTAAGTAAATTTTTGAACAAAAATTTAATATAATATCCCGGACGAATGAGAAATAAATAGTTATTCATTTTTTCTTATTATTGTTATGGAACGAATTTATCGTATTAAATAACAAGATGGGGAAAATAATAATATTGTTACTATTATTAATAATAATAATATTAATAACAATAATAATTAATAATACATGTATCGACATTTTTAATCGATTTAATCAATATCGATTAATTGAAGAAAAAAAACCGTACAATTAACTCGAATCAGAAATCCAGAAGTACAATAATACTATAGTTAGTACCCAAATCATGATTCTATACAAAATACGCGTTTTATACTACCAGTGTGACCGTGTTAAGCCATTCAAAATGTTCCAAGAAACATTTTTTGTGTGGTACAATTATACAATATTTTACTGATTAAAATATAAAGTGTACAGTGTAATCCACTAATTGCAGACCAGACTCGTCACCAATAAAATTCGTTTGCATCGCGACTAATAATAAATATCTTGTACCAACAAATAATATTAATCACATCTAGGTACCAACGACATTATTTTATGCATTTTGTTTTTAGAGTTCATACCTGTGCAGATGGACACATTTACGTCGCAATGTCATACAAATTACATTATTATTGTTCATTATCGTCATCGGAACATACAATAACATTAATGCTGTACTGCAATAATTGCGCTGTCCAATCATTTCGATTCCGAAATGCATTTTCTTTAATAAGTGCCTGCCTATTTAATTGATACAATAGATAAACAGCGACTAAAACGCACCTACTATTATATTATCGTATAGATTGAATGTAAATTTACTCGAATGATTGTTTTAATTTCACTTAACGTCAGGGGCGTTATTTCACAGGATGCTAAAGGAACACCTATTGAAAATTCAATAGTAAAAACCGCTCAAAAGGCGTTCGCTTTGATCGCGTAGGTACAACATAAAGGACAAAATGAATACATTTCCATATAAAATTGTCTTTTTCAATTGTAACATATTAATATTGATTATTGATAATACCTACGATATTCAATTACCTAATTCACTATGTCTTAGTTAATTCACTATATCTATAGATATTTTAAACAAATATAAACGAATTGGGTATGAACAAAGTTAAATAGAAACTCATTAATATTGTTAAGATAAATTGCACAAACTACACTTGACTCAACAGTGCATAGCTCTAGAATTAGAGTTGCCAACTTTAAAATTTTATGATGCAGGACAATTTTGTTTATGTCTTATTTTATATCATACGTAGTTTGGGTAATGAAACATATAAAGTCATTAGAATAAGTATATTACTAGGTATGACTTTAACAAATAGCTAATCTTTAACATTTTATTTATGCCTTTTTTTTTTCAAATCTTTAATATTCTTTTTACCAAGAGAATTCAGCAAACATTCTTACAATTTATCAGATATGCAAATTGTTATATAACAATTATTGTTGTTCAATTGTTATGTATTAATGTATTCCAATAAAATTTGATTTTTCACACAACAATTAAATCTTAAATATAAATAATAATATACCTACTTAGTCAATAGAATTAGAAATTTTAATAAATCTGTAATCATTTTAGATACTTAGTAGGTAAGTATATAATTAATCATTGTCTTAAATTATACTATAGTAGCTACGGTACCTATATAAGTGATAAACGATAATTTAATAAAATCAAAAGATATAATAATGAACTTCTTAATTTTTTCACTGACCTTAAACTAGGAATAACATAAGTCTATATATTGACATTTGAAATGTAGGATTGATATACATAGAGTTTAGTGTTGTTGGATGTAGGGCGAATCAGACAAATGTAGGATAATCTTCCCTAATGTAGGACGGTTGGTAACACTGTATAGAATATTATATTTTTTTAATAATAATAAAATACAAATTTACCATTTTATAATGGGTATATTACTAATACATGTGTATTCTATTACATTGTTTATGCTGTGTTAATGTATGTTTTCTGATACTAATCAAATTAGATTTGATAAAAAAAAAAAAAAATAATAAAAAAATTGGCACTAACGAAATCGGTGATAATCTATAAAGATATAGATTATAGATAGAATCTATCAAGACTAAAGTTTTGTATCTAGGTGTCTGTGTAATTACGCCTAAACTATTGTGATAAAACCACCAAAAACGTTTTTTCTAAAATTTATTACAAAACAGTTGTATTGTTCTAAATATTTTATGAAATTATCCAAGTACACGTTATACTTACACGTTAATAGGTTTTTTAAATGTGTTTAAAGAAATCCATTGGACGCATTTACATACCCTTGCATCCCGCAAGTTGCGTCGTTAACTTCAGTGGGTACCTACCCGAAAAATATACCAAAAACATAATACCGAGTTTTTCCTTTCATTTTGAACGCAGGAAATTATTTAGTTACGCACATCGATACATATTTATTATTTTAATATTGCCGACGTGAATAACAATAAGCGCACAATAATCGTAAATCGATTTGTTTATCAAAATTATAGGCAACTAATAACTATGTCCAGCGTCACGTGTAGTATTTAGACATTTATCGTTTTTATTTACACGCCTAGATTATCGATTTGCGTATTGTGTATTTTAATTTCGCGTTAATTAAATCGGAATGATCGCGCGCGTTTTACTCCGTAGCCGTAGGTAATTCTCGTAACGCAATTGGGCGCAAAACACGAATCTGAACAATTCAACGTTGATAATATTATTGTTTTTCGGCCTGTAACGTGTGTAGCGACAATATCGTGTAGATCATTATTTAACAACCAACTCCCTCACCCCGGCCCCGAGTGACAATTTTATTGAAAATTTAAACACCTGCCCACCCAATATGTTTTAGGTTTGAACCGCTGTAGCTACCAGTCGCTATTCGTCCAGACACGATTTTTTTTTACGGTGACACGGTCGCGCAAGAAGTTTACGCCTACCTGGTTTTTCTGACAATTTTCCCGTTTTCTCTACCCGTAACGGGTACGCACGTAGCAATGTAGCGTGTGGATGTGGGGTGCGTACACCGTACAGTAATTACGAAAACCGTCAAATTTACAATGGCCAATTTTAATGTTTCATCGATGTCCTATTTTCTCTTCTTATCGACGATTTTAACTATAGGCCACAAAAGTAAATAGACATGACAATATCATTTTACTACGCGCACACAGTCTATAGTGATCAAGTGTGGTAATGCAGTATACCCAATAATTAATTGCATCCGGAATTCGCGAAAATAATATTGTGGTTATTTCCACAAACAAAACACTTGTTATAAAATTGACCGTATCTCCCGCAAAAACTCATTATGGTACCCGCGGTCTTTCTCCGAGATGATCCCGGGCGCAAAATAAACGCGCAACAAATAGAATCGTCACCAGTCGCGAGACAAACGCCGAATTGAGTGTCATAGTCATTTGTATGATTTGCATAGAAATGTCGCACAATATGAGCAAGAGTTTTTCTCGTTGACGAATTATAATTTTCGCAACACACACCCTTACAGACGTGCGTATAATTGTGAACCCCTGAATTCTATACTAATATACGACTGTTTAGTAAGTACCTAGGTTCATGTTTTAAAGAGGTGCCTGCAACTTGTATTATATAGGTTATTTACTTATTGAGCCGTGCATCTAATATTAATGGGTATCGAATTGTACAGACAGATTTTTTATCTGAGAAAAAAATTAATTCTATTGCCATAGATAGCTAAATGGTAATAAAAAAAAAAAAAAAATACTATAATTATTCATAGATCTTATACTAGTATAAGGTCTATGTATTAAATTATATTTGTCACAATTATTTTAAACTAGGTAGGTACCTAACCTAAATTTACAAACCAATTATCTTCATTTAATATGATTTTCTGAATATATTTTAAAATATTATGTATCTATAGATGTAGTTTATTAATTATAATTATATATGGGTTGGTAATAAAAATATAACTTATCTATTTAGTGAGTTAGAACTATAATATCAATGTAAATATTTAGTATTTACAACCATTATTAGCTATTAAGTATTTATTTGTAAGTGTAGAAAACTGTTTTAATTTAAAATTGTGTACTTAGTTAAATGATATTATAGCCCATGCTTAATAAAAATGTATTAACATATTATAAAGATGACAAAAACACTCATCGACAATACAATACGTTGAAATAGTATAATTTATGTGTATCAAATTACTTTTTACTTCTGAATAAATTATGTAATAACTAGTTAGGCACAATTAATTGCTTGATTCTTGTTGGGTGATTTTTTACAAGATTATTATTGTAGAATAATAAATAAATAGGTTATATGAAACTATAGAAATTGACTCATGAAAAAACATATTATTTTCTATTATGGTCGCACTAAAAAAATATAAGGTTGGTAATAACAATAAAGTGTAACTTCTATTAATGGACACTTTTAAATTCCCCGGCAAAAATGTATGTGCATAATAGTTGTTATAACCTCTTAATAGTGGACACTGGACACTCCTAATAGTGAAAGTGGGCACTAAAAACTGATACTTAAAATTAAAAATTACCCCTCATAAATGGACACAATACATGTACACATCAAAGATGTTTTGAGTAATAAAAATACTACATTTATCATTTATACGTCTCCCTATAGTGGGCATTTAGTAATTTCTCACAAATGTCCACTATGTAGTTTTCCTAATAGTGCACAGTTTTTTATTTTCCATTGCTGTCCACTATATAGAGGTTTAACTGTACATAAAAATATTAAAGTATGGACTAATTTCCACGATTAGAAATAGTATCTTTAAATTGTGATATGTGGTATTACTCTAAGGTGTAATTGGGGAAATCAATGAAAACAGATTAGTGATAAAATGTTTGTTCGTGTTCATAAAATAAATAATAACTGTTTATATTTAATATTAATGTCGATTGATTTAAAATTTGTGCAGTAAAAATATGATGTGTAATGAGGGAGTTAAAATTTAGTTTCGGTGTCTGTAAAATTCTAAAATCTACCTACCTATTTGAACTTATTAACAAAATAAATTAAAACGTAATAATTTATGTTTATTTATTTCTACGATTTTGAAATATTATACCTATTTATCATATACAAATACATGGTGCTTTTAATCTCATATTAATTAATATTTGCATTAAATTATAAATTATATATCAGTAACACAAAGTTTATAGAAGAAACATGTAAATTAAAAAGGAATTAATACGGAAGAAACACCCTAATAGAAGGCTTCTTTGAAAACAGTTCATTTGAAATCTAATTAATTTTTAACATTTGTTACTGTCATGATGAAAACGAATAAAAAATAAAAAGCATTGTCTATAATGATGTTTTATTTAAGGTACTTATTTATTAAATATTTAGGTAATTTCATTATACTTTAAACCTATGGTATTTCAGCAGTCTTGCATGTTATTTTTTATTACACATGGCTATCGATCATCAGATATAATATACATAATGTATAGTATATCTTGGATACTTGGACATAAATTCAAGTAATTAATAAAGTCATTAATACTTATTAATAAGTTATGACACAATTATTAGATCTGTAAATACTACAAAAAAAATAAAAAGTTCAGTTAACTATCCTATTGAAATATTCAAAATTAAATATTAGAAATAACAATAGGAGTTGTATAAACATTGCAAATTACAAGAGACATAAATAATAATTTACAAAGTATTTAGTCAACTTAAAACATTATTATTAGTAAGTTACAGATATTAATATAGTATTTAAACATGTTTAATTGTTAATTAACCTCAATTGATGAAAAAATTAATAAGATAACAAAAAAATATGAAAACCTGTACAATATTAAACAAAATCAATTAATTATATTTAAAGTGAAGAGACAAAAACACACAAACACGAGAAGAAACTCAGTAAAATTTTAAGACATATTTTTCAACAATTAATAATAATAAAATATTATTTAATACTGAACAAATTTATACAGGTGGAATTTCATTATAACTATCTTAATGTATACTGATTATTGACTGCTCTTACAATATTGCCAACTCCTGGTTCTGGTGTTGGCTGATTGGTAAAGTCGGTTTGTAAGTCTTTTGTTTTAGTTCTAATAGGACCTAACATTGTCTTAAACTGAAAAAAAAAAATCATATTTTTTGTTACAATCATGTTATTATAATGACTTCTATATAAACATACTTCTCTATACAACTGAGGCGCAGAGACTCTTGATCCATGTTCCATACTCTGAGGTAGTGGAGTATTTGGATCACGTGTAATGAGGATAAAGTTCAAATTAGTATTAGTTGGAAGCATACCATATTTAATAGGAGTATTAAGTATATAGTCTCTAAGAGTGACATCACCAGGCCCACCGTTTTCTAATGGTATTAAATGTGTTTGAAAATGTTCAAGCATATCTTGTATACTAGAGAACGACAAATGTTGAACTCGACAATGTCCTTGGTCGTTTAGTGTCATTCGTAAATGCTGAACATAAAGTACCATTTAAAGTATTTTTACAACATTTTATACTAAAAGTTCATTGTAGAACTTAAAAAATACCTTTGGTTTTCCTTTAAAGTTAAATGTCAATACATATTCACCCTTTCGGGTTTCAGACTGTCTAACTAGGAACATTCCATGTCCGTCAGTGCCCAAATGTGACACCAAATTGGTAGCATCAGATCGAGCCAACATACCATGAAACCATGGATATAGACGAAGAGAAGCCGAAATATCGTTTTCTAAAAAAAAAAAATGAAAAGAACAACACTGTAAATATTTCAATTATAAAAAATATGGAACTGGCATTGTATGTTATCTATAACATTTAAAGTGTGATCTGTGCAATTTCGAACTAATAAAGAAGTTATGACAAACAAATTCTGAAATTTAATCATTAAAATCAATGTTTATTTTTGATGAAAATTCCATTATATTGCAATCTAATGGACATGGCTGAAGTCCCAGTCACATATTTTAAAGTTAAGTTTTATATTTGAAATATTAAGTTCCGTATATTAATATCAAATTTGGATCTACAGGTTGTAGGTTGAGAGACGAGTGGTGCATAGCGTTGCTTAAGCTAAGAACAAGTGGTTATCACACCTATATCCCTGTAACTTTAAAAAACTTTATGGAGGTAGCCTTAAATGTTATACATTGTTTATATTTATAATTATTGGGACAGTAGTCAAAGATAGAGGATTCTTCTCTTGTATGCACAAAAATTATTATTATTATGCAGATATCATTCTCATCCACAGTAAATGCATCGTCTAACAATTTCTATTTTAGGATTCATATTATATACAATATAATATAAAAATCTCTACTATGGCTCCCTTTCTTACCTGTATCCTTGATGTGCGATTATTTTTCATATTTCGTTTATTTTTTTTAAGGATAACCACCACTGAATATATTATTTTCTGGAGACTAGCTTGTGGAAATGAGAATCAGAAATTAAAATAATACCCACAATATTACTGTATATTGTACAAGACTTGATGTCCAATAGCAACACTGATGCCTATAATCTAGGCTATATCAGTGCTGTATGTTTGATTGGTGACTTCTAAAGCTACTCTATAGACAAGGCCAGTCAATTAGTATAAGGTGTATGGGTGGACTGTACTACTATACACATATTACTACATATTACCAGAGACATAGATAACATACAATGCAATCAACATGAATACACTAATTCGTAAATTTAGTATTTATTATTTGATATTTACCAATATCATTGTTAACAATAATATCCAAATTATTTGTGGAATTTTGGGGTGAGCTTAATAGTGTTTCATTTGAATGTGCAACTGATGTGTCAAATACACCATCAGAACCAATAAGACTACAGAAAATAATTTCATATTTTATTAAATAGATAATAATAAGTTCAAGCATAATATTGGTAGGTTATAAAATGTTATCAACCTTATGTCATCCTGTATACCACAATCACGTTTCCGCATACAGTATTTTACAGTAGCAAGCCATTGGCGCATTTCTTCTGGACTCAAGGCATCAATTATATACTCTACACTGTTTTCATCCTTAATGAAGTCAAATATTTAATAATACAAATGGAATAATAAAATAAGTTTTTAAGAATAATTACTTTTAATACAAAAGTATTTGCATATCGTTCAGGCATTTCAATTTCTTTGGTTTCCCTAGCATCTTGTATTAAAAAACAAAAAACTCCTTGTTTTGGTTTCAAAGACTGAAATTATAAACAATATAATATATTATGTAGTTAAAATAATATAATGCTATACTAGTAAAAACTTATGATGTAACTCAAATTTGTTATAATTTGTTTAAATAATAGCTCAGTAGTAGTATAAATATCAAGTTAACTAATAAATGACCCTATATTTTTTGAATTTATACATTAATTAGTGTTATAATATAGCATAAACCAGTGTTTGGAAATAATTTACCCATTAGAATTTCAAGGGTAGGAGCACATTGAATGACTTGCTATAAAGCTATGTTATCTGTTAGTTATTTTGTGACAATAAAAAAACTTCAGGGGGACAGCATACCATCTTGGATTCATGCCTGAAGCTATGATTATATTATCATCAAATTGTATATCGATTGTGATGTTAGTATGCTATGTAATAAACAATATAATATATATCTTATATATAATAAAACAGAATCGTCTGGTACCAATAGATTTTTCCATTATAGAAGGACTAAAATATATGGGATATAGGTTATGTAAAACTGTTGTGTTTTATGTTTTAAGGAAATTTCTGCATAAGAGAGGGTCCGTTACAAGGTTTTACTGTATATAAAAATTAGGCGTACAATGGGTTAGCATGCAATGTGTTCTATAATGTATTAATTAATAATTTTGATTTTGCGGTAACAACCGATAACAGCTGACTGGCAGTCATGCATCGAGAACGTTCAAGATGCAATTGTCGTGTTGGCCAATCAAGAATATTTGAGAGTTAAATGATAGACAATAAAATAATTAACTACAAACGTTATTTTAAAATGATAAAGTATACCGTACATATACCTACTGGGTGATCCATTCTAGTGGGTACACTCATTATTCCTGAAAGAATTAACTTGTTTCTTAAATGTTCTAGAAAACAAATTCTATAAAAAGTTGATACTTTCCGAGATATTATGAGTGTACCCACTCATATGTACATATTAAATGGATCACCTGGTATAATGGTTATATTTTTGAAATACTAATTTGTATACTAAAAAAGTCGCCCCGGGCAATGCTGGGTGGGACAGCTAGTAATTTATAATATAAAACAATACAATCCTATAATTTCTCATAATTATCATAGGTTTATTCTCTTTGCACTAAATATATACATATTTATCTAAGCAATGTACATAAAATGTATTAGTTCCAATGACACTAAATTTTGTGTTAACTGTATTCTTTGCCACTATGTAAGACAAACTACTCTTGTAACTGACTATTTTTTCAAATGATGTGTATTGTCAATGAAGATCCAATTTTTACTTTTTAAATATATCCTAATGTATTTTGGTTTAAATATCTTCTTTGTATTAATTCTAAACACACTTATTATATTGAATATTTAATTGTGTAAATTGGTATCTTTACTTTGGGTCATGATCATATTATAATGAAAATAAATAAATAAAATAAAATTGTTATAACAATAAGTAAGTCAAAACCATGTGGAAAAAAAGTGTTAAGATTTTTAAACTTAAATGGTCACAGATTTTATTTTATTTATAATTTTAATGTTATTTTTATATAACAATAGTCTAAATAGAAGTTGTAAAATCATATACCTTAGGAGGACAGTAAAATTCAAGGGTATAACCATCAGAATTTTTAACTAAAGCCAGTCTTGCTTTTTCCCATTTAGGTTCACCGCCATCAATTGACTCGCCCAATCGATAGTTTACAATACCTTCTTTGCGGCACTCCACAATAATTTTTGCTAACTTTTTTTTGCATTTCATTGGTCTTTGAGACACTATAGATGCAGCATCAAGTTCTACTTCATCAGAATGCTGTTTATGAAACAACGGACGAAGAGCTCTAAATGACATTCGTCTGAAAATAAATAATTTATAAATATCCGAGAAGTGCAGATCATTTCATGAGTTACATAATTCAACTTACCTGAAAAAAGGTTTTTTCTTAACGGTGATCATGGACTCCGTATCCGAATCGCTATTACCCGAATCGTTGTCTGGCCAACCATATCTATCACACTCACGTTTAAAATGAGTAGCAAACACTTTAATAAAACGACCAAGTACTTCCTGTCGAGTTGTTGGTCGAGATGAAAAAGATGATACTAGTTGTTCGGCACTGATTTTGGCTTGCTCGTCACATATATCAAACCAATTACTTGCATGATTCATGATTAAAAACTGTATGGATTCATTAATGAACACGCACAGCTACAGTAAAATATCGAAGAGAACATATTTTTGATTCATCACTGAAGTAAACATAATTAGTTCTTTATAATTTTACTCATAAACACGTGCTAATACAAGAAGAAATGTAGTAAAATGAATATAAGCAATTAATAATACGAGCTTTTAATGCTCGCGTAAAAATATTGAATTAAAATTTTTTTAAAAGTCAATTAATTATAAATTATGGAAATTAAGTATTGCTTTTTTTCTTCGAATATTTTAATATTTTAAGGAGTGTAAACAACGTGAGTCTGTTTTGGTTATTATCACTTATCAGATATCACTAATCAATGAAAAAAATCCCAGATATGATAATAACAAGGTGTTTTCCATCGGACTGCACCACGATTTAAGATATCGTTTGTATCTTAAACCGTGGACTGCACTAGTGTACCCATATGGTTTGCGTTAAAATCACCGACTTTTTTTTCATAAATCATGAGATCTCGATCCGGAAGGTTTATAGATACTATAGGTCGCCTCATTTTGACATTTTCAAAAAGTAGTAGTGGGAGAAAAAACGCCATGACGTCACTCACCGTATAAACAAAATAATTGTTTCTTGACATCCGCTGGCCGCGTATTACAGTGAAATGTTAAATGGTATGTGCGTTTTCGTTTTCGTTTGTACATTCATTAGTATTATTGTTTAATTTGTACTTTTATTATGTATTTAAAATAGTGTGGTACATTTTTAGTTACTACTTCTTGCATACATACAGTGGTGTAGCCGTAAAGATTGTTTCGGGTATACACCTGTACATTCTGAAATATATGATACGCGACGCGGGGAATTTTTAATGGAGGGGGGGAGTTATCGTAATATTTACATATTGTAGTTAATTTAAAAAATAGTACATACATAATAATACATTTATATACTTTCCATGTTGTAAGGGGGGGGGGTTGAATCCCTAAATCCTCCCCGTGTCAAGGTTAGGTATACATAGTACTACACATTTATTAAAAAATATTTTATCAGTTCTTTGTTCAGTGATTATACACATCACAAATGGTTTAATTAACTATAGCTATCCTAACCATTATAGTTCCGTTCTAGTAAAAAATTACACAAAATATTACACTCTGTATAATATATGGCAATAATACATCTAATACAAAAGAGGAATAATTATGATTTCATTTAAAAAGCTGAACAAGAAGAAATTCTCTGGACATGTTATGAGGAGAAACTAGAAATAGGTATTAAGGAAGGAAGGCAAGACAATGAAGAAGAAAAGAGAAGTAGTGGGTAATATATTGAGTGATTCTACTAAAAAGGTGGTATTTAATTGGTAAAAAAATGTCCGGAAGCAGTAGCTTCCCCAGTAGCATAATTATATTGGGATTGACTAAACACAAATAATTTTTAAGAACTATTTCATAAATTATTTATTAGAAATAAAATTAATATTGTACTTTGGCTAAGAAGCCAAAATTGCCTATAGACTTTTCCGCGCGCGTCTTACAAACCACTCTAATCTACTAATCCGTGCCCTAAACTCCAATTCCATTCCAGGTAATCCACCTAGAAGGTTAAAACGTAACTGGAACCGTGACCTATAATAGCCCTCTATAGTCAGTAAGTGTTGCCGCTGGGTGATTACTTCCTCATGTCGATCTCGCCTTTTTTATTTTTATTTTATTATTTTTTTTTTTTCCATAATNAAAAAAAAAAAAAAAAAAAAAAAAAATATTGTACTTTATGTTAAAAATTGTTTTATACCCTAGTGTGTCTTATAAGACTACCGTCATACCGGTCATTTTCAGCGTTAAAAACACGTTCACGAAAAATAGACGAAACGACATTAAAAGGTGGTTTTAGAGTAAAAATAACTATTATGAAATTTATAGATAACAATATTTCGGAGGGAATTTCACATGCGTTTTCAGAAATATTCAATATTAAAAAAGTGACAATCACATAAAAAATGTAAAAAAAAAAAAAACGGTTTTGAAAACCTCTTATATCGACCCTGTATATTAAAAATATTACAAAACCTTTATGAGGTTGTCTCCACCAAAACATTCTTCTTTATAAATCTCATAATAGGTGTTTTTACTCTGAAACGCATTTTTAATGCCGTTTCGTTTGTTTTGCGTAAACATGTTTTTACGTCGTAAAATGTTAATTTTGTTCCGGCATGTGCTGCTCCAAGCGGCACCGTGAATTCCAACGCCGTCGTAATCAGCGGCGCTCCCCTCCGCCACAACGCAGCGGCAGCGTTGGGAATGAATTTTCGCGTGACTGTATTATTTATTTATACTTTTACAATTGCGCCGCGATCCGCAGTCGAATATAAAAATAATATTATCGATAAGATAATAACCGTGTTATTTGCTATATGTATTTCGCAGTCGTCCGTGTTCATATCGTTTACTATTCATAATTATAAATAATAGTACCACGCATAATAACCTATGGTATATTTTTTTTATTTATTTTTTTATCATTGATTATAGATAATTGTCATAATCAAAGATTTTTATATTGTTCAATCTCCCGAATGAAAATATTACAAAAATGTACAATGCGAACCGTAAGTAGACGGTGGGGGTACCTACTATTGTAATTCCATTCCAATGGGCAATGGCAATCAGTACATGTACATCGTAATATTATACTAATACCTATGTCATATTATTATTAACAATAAAGTATAATAATTATAAATTATAATATAAGCGCGCGCGTACTATACGATTTTCGATTTTTCTGGGCACTTTTTTTCAACGATGAGGGGAAACCAGAAAAAAACGACAGAAAACAGAAATACGTACGCAACAACCACGGTTTCTGTTGATTTTGGCTTTTCCATATTTACGTGTGTGTCTGTAAACAACTTTTTTACCAGAAATATTGCGCCAATAAAAACAACGAAAAGATCTTTTTTTTTTTTTCATTCTCGATCTAGTTGGTGCACACGGTAAGTCGGCAATATGGCATACGGACACATACCTACGCCGGCGGGTGACGTCATTGACACTACGGTGCTGCGGGAGGCTTACACTGGTTACTGTGGGACCTATAGTATCTATGAACAATACACCTTGCTTAGTCCGAGGTTAAAATCTATACCACCACGTAAGGTAATAATGAGTAGGTACCGTTGAAGTATAAACTATGTATAATATATTATTGGTATATTCTTACTTGGTGACATTCTAAACAATTGTAAATTATTTTACATAATGTGAAGTTATGGAAGTTCAACATTTTAAATATCTATCTAGCATACGATAAGCATTTTATTAATCTATATTGTTAAAATCAGGGATCGGAAAAGGGGACCCATCGACCATTTGAAACGATTCAAACTATGGAGGGGACTAGTTTGCCGAGTTGTGTGGCATTAAAACCACTTTCCCATCATCAACACTTTGAATGTAAAGTGCCTCTAATAGACCTATATATACTAGTGGAGATCTCGCTCGCACGCCTTAAAAACAAATGAGTTAAGGCGTTAGGTGTTAAACGAAAAAAAAAAAAAAGGTTTCGCGGTGAAAATTAATATAACGGCGAACGGGGATAGCGGCGAAACGGTACGGCGAGGAGTCGGTCGAGTCCGCATTGTCAATAATCCCGGGCGCACGCTAATCGCCTCCCACCTGACCGAATCGAATCGCTTCCCGTGAATTTTTTTTGTCAAAAGGTTACTCGAATTGCCTCCCGATTTCAAAAATATCATTCACTCGAATCGCCTCCTATTTTAGATCAGTGACCTTCTGGTATCGGAATCGATTTCCATTTCGATTTTTTTAAAACTAAAAACAATTTTACATAGGTATTAGGTACACGACATTAGTACACACACATACCATCAGTAGACGGTATTAGGCAATAAATCGATGTCAAAAAATCAAATAAGTATATGAACTTACCGTAACAAAATTGTATGTTTTAAAAATTAATACAAAAAAATAATTATATAGCCAACTAATCTACTGATGCCTTATGCAAAAAAAAAAAAAATCTACTGATAATCAGTTATCGATAAGATTATTGCGTTTGACAAATTAATCTGTCTGGGGAACACTGTATATGTAATATATTATTATAAATAATAAAAATAATATTTTTGAACATTACGGAAATCAATATAATAACCGATAGTACACGTCAACTATGGATGTGTTAATTAATAATCTAGGTATGCTAAGGGAGGTAATTCGAGTGGACTGTTTGAGTATACTCGAATTGCTTCGGAAAACACCCGGAGGCAATTCGAATGAAAAAAGGTCACCAATCTGAATTCGGGAGGCAATTCGAGAGTACCCATAATCCCATTCATAAACAAAAGATTACAGAAACCGCTGTGTTATTACTTAGGTATTATAACAACGGTACCTACCTATAAAGTGAAGTGTACAGTTTGCGCATGTTATTTTTATTAAGACATGTAATTTATATTTATTAAGTAATAAATAGGCTGATATAGGTAATAAAAGTGTAATAAGTATTAGGTACCGAGTTATTATTTATTTGGGATTAGAATCTGAGCGGAGCGAGGGATCTATTGGTTTGACAATGATGTGCGTTTTAGATTCGGAGCAGGGCGAATTTTTTGTATTTTTGTAGTTTTTGTGTACGTGAGCAACTTTTCAACCAGAAATCTTGCTCCAATCAAAAAAAAACAACAGAATTTTTTGTTGAATTTTGGATCTTGTTGGTGCATTTGGTAGGTTATTTATTTGATATTCCAAGGGATTTACAAAAAATAGTTGATAAAACCGAAATCAAAATTAAAAAAAAAAAAACGGCAAATATCCGCGGCGTTACACAGTGCAGATCTGAATCGTAAATTGACTTACATAATTAATTAACACCTCTTTCATTTTAACCATTTTTAAATATTTTGCATACGTTTTTTGATTGGCTCCTAATTAAGGGTATATAAGGGGACATTATATATTTTTTAATTAAATACTTTAATTAATATTTAACGTTGTAATAGAATAACAAAAATAGAAAGGTAGGATAATGGGGACGGGTGCAGCCACTGGTGAAGGTGGAAAGCTGGGAAGGAAGGATGTAGACGGGAATTTAATGTATATCTTAAGCAATAATAAACTATTGCTTATGAAAAAACGATTCTGAGCGGAGTTTAGTTGATATTGATGCTTTGTCAATAATATATATGTTATTTTGTAGTAAAATAATTAAATAAGATTTATATATTTTCTTTAATAAAATTTTTTTAATATTGTACCAATTTTCCCAGTTTTCCCGGTTTTTCCATGTTTTATCCCGGTTTTTCATATTTGTTGGGAAAACTCTTGGGGAAATCTAAAAATGACAACTATAAAGTACCTCTTTAATGAAATTTCCTTTTAGAAACATTGCTATCATTAAAAGTTGGAGCAAAATTGCTGATAGAAAATGTGTACACTGAAGAAAAAAAAATCGTAATATATTAATATATTTCGTATATTTTCCCGTTTTTTTTCGGTTTTTCAAATTTGATGAAAAACTCCCGAGAAAACCGAAAAATGACCTTAGGGTACCCATGACGGTTTAATTTCAGAAAAGGTACTTCACATAAAAATCCGAGCAAGTCTTCTGGTAGAAAAGTTGTACACATATAAAACAAAATAAAAATATAAACATCTTTGTAAAACCATGGGCTTCTTCGCTCCACTCAGAATCTAAAACTATGTTAACAATAGCCACCCCTATTACTCTCACTATCACTGTTCAAATTTGTTTCGTCTAACATTATACTCAATGAAGATTTAGCTTCATTTGATAAATCTTGTGATATTCTTTTGGACGTAACCTTACGGTCTATATATTCCATCCAATTTTCCCCATCATATTTCCCACATAGTATTATTTCAATAAAAATTCTCTAGACTGTTTAGACAGGGGATTTTATGGTCCATTTCCTCGTAATAAATTAAATAAATCATAGTAGGTAATATTTTGGTGTTAAAAACCACTACTACAACTCATTAAAATAAAATATTATTATTCAAAAGACTTTTTTCTTAAAATTTCCTAACAATATATTACTGAGTTAAAACAGTTATGTTAAGTCAATTCGCAAGTATACTTAAACGAATTTAATAAATTTAACACCTAAGAGTATGTATAATATAATAGACATATTGTGTAACAGCAATAATTAGTAATTTTTTAGTAATATCTTTTTAAGTTTTAAAAATAACAATTAACCAAAATAAATAAGACATTGTTGTATTAACTATAACATAAAAAACATTAAAATTCTATTATTAATACACTTACCTTTTGTACAAACGTCCATACTTGAATTTTTAAAAAACAGTTTTTTAATTGTTGTATATGCACACCGCACAGATCGCTGAACGTGACAGACAAAATAATGCGCGCTGTGGTCCGTTTATTGACATTTCTGTGACCTAATCTTAATGTTATTGGCTTGATAAGATAAACATTTTTTCCATAATACGAAATATTGTTCAATTAGGTAATCAGTTTTAATAATTTAATATCAAATAATACATTAATCGCAATTTTAAATATAGGTTTTGGCAAGCTAATTTACGATTCAGATCACTGTGCGTCACTGTTTCATTATTTTTTATTTTTACGCAATATGTTTTCTACAAGAAAACTAGCTTTAATTAAAAAAATACAAATAGAAATTTTTTTGTGGTATTTTAGATCTAGTTGTTGAGGAAGTAAGTAATTTTTTGATTTTTAAGCAGTCACGGCATTACGATTTCATAATTTAAAATGTTTACGCTTTATGTTTTTTTACCACAAATATTGCGCAAATAGAAAAACGACAAGGTACCTAGGTACCTTCTTTGTTGCATTTTTAATCTAATTGGTGAATAGGTTAGTCTTTTTTAAATTTTTCGTGCAGTTTTCTTAACAATAGAGCAAAATCGTAGAAAACGTAGAAAGAACAGGACAATTTACAAAAATAATGGTTCCAAATTTATTTTATTTGTTGTAATTCAATTAAACATATGTATAGAGACTTAAAATATTAACAAAAAACTTATATTGGTTTTTTTCTAGATATGGCCAAATTTTCAAAACACTGAAAATATTTTTGAGTTATTTAAGGCATTTTATAATTGTGAGTTTTTTACTAGCTTTTATGATATTTTATCAAAAAATTATAACTGTCGAAAAATATTTTCGTTGAACAGTATTTGTACAGAAACATTTTTTGGTCGAAAATATATTATCAGAATAATATTAGGTACCTACAAAAATATGTCAATAGAATAATTTTGTTGTCTGTGGTCCGTGATTAGAACCATAGACAATAAAGAATTTCTTTATCATCTATGGTTAGAGCTGTATTTCGGTTGTAGTTAGAACCGTGGAAAATACTTAGGTACTTAGGTACTTATACAGGTATCAACGTTGTTATCTCCATGATTATAATCCACGATAATATATTCCGATTTATGATTATATTATCCATGATTCTTTAAAAACGTAGTTATCTTATTCTCGTATAATCTATTAAACATTGAATAAATGAGGATTAATGTAAATAAGTTAAGGTGACATAATCTGTTTAGGATTATCCTTTTATTAGATTTTATGTATGACATAGGAGGGAGACTGGTCGATAACTAGATACGGAATTGCGATCTTTTCCCGATATAAAAGGAGCCTTCACGTTGCATGTACAACTAGTCTAATAATAGAACATTCTTGGCGTCCCATGGAAACAACGGCATTACTACTAATCATACCGTTGGCTAATCCTTCTAACTTCAAGATAAGTGTGAATCATACAAAAAGTTCCTTTTCAGGGTCAACTGACGATTTCCTTTTGTATTAATGAAGACATAAACTCAAATAAAGAACCATTTCTTTCAGAGTTATGTAAAGAGTCTAAGTGTGACGTTCTGTGCATCACAGTGATAAATTATCATCACATTAATTGAAATAAGGTTTGGCCCCTTGATGTTCTTAAAACATACCCCTAATTCTTTTGTCATGAGGAATATCGTTTTAGTTTTAATTTGTTTTCTTAAGTTACCGTGCTTAATCACCTGCGTAAACGTATCGATTACTTATAAAACAATGAAAAACTCTCGTGACGCTAGAGGCAGTTTGTTGTGGATAATTACGGTTATAATAATATACTAACGATTTCTGTCATTTGGTTTTTACACCTGTGTCGTTTTTGAACAATTGAAATATCCGCGTTCAGACCAAGAAAAAACCATAAGTATGATAACGATGGTAAAACCGATTTGTTCTGTTCGAAGTTTCTATACCGCGAAAAAAAACAGAACGTCGGAAATCGTTAGTTTGGACTTCACAATCGATCTGTTTAGTCTGACGTAATACCATTCAGGAATGTATTTGGAAATGAGCGATGGGGAAAATTGCCATGGACGCCACATTTTAATATGTCATCAAATCAAAGGCTGAACAAATTTTTTTTCGTACTACATACTTTATATCAAATCATACTATATCACCCTCCTCCAACCGCAATGGAATAATTTCAGTTTTGATGAGGGAGAAAGAAGTGAGGAATTTTTGATCATCACGTCAACGAACAAACAACTAACGTTATTTTGGATTATTATAAATCTACATAAAGATAGATATTTATGTAGATAGATAGATATTTATAAAGACGTTATTTTAGATTTTTTCTAAGGGTCTAAATTAGTATATTTTTTTTTTATTTTTTATTTTTAGATTCCGAGCGTAGCGAGGGAGCTATTGGTTTTAAAATGCTGATTATTTTTTTTCTTTTTAGTTTTAGTCTGTGGGAACGTTTTTTCCAAGCAAAATTGCTCCGATTTTTACATTTAACAAATTTCGAGCTTTTAATGAATTTTAATTTTTGAGAGTTGTTTGCTGCAATTCGGTTATAAATACACGTAGAGATTTGAAACTTGGTAATAATACTTATATTAGACTTACTTAGACGTAGTGAAATTTCCAAATTCATCGGACGATCTTTTATTTTCTTAATAAGCGTTTTGAAATCAAATTCAAACGAAAATCGTAAAAAAATTACGGCGCTTCAAATTATGTATTACCGATCTGCGCTCGGAATTGTCTTTCGTCAAGCAATGGTTTATCGTTGCTTACAAATATAAATAAAATAACCTTATGTATCCTACCTTATTAACTTCTCATTTATAACAGTGGCCGCGGCAATCCCCAGTATCAGCTCTTTTTTACAAATTAACTCAAAACAATTTAAATTTGACCTCTCTAAAGTACAACCTAGACGACTTGAGCTTTCAGAAAAGTTGCTACACGTTAAAATCGGAGCAAGGAAAAAACGTGTCCACAGACAAGAACAAAAAACAAAGAACAAAGAAGAAAAAACAGCATTGTAAAACCAATAGCTCCTTCGCTATGCTCGGAATTTAAAATACATAATTAATTACTTGTATAATTTATTCATCATACAAGGTCTGACCAATAAGTAACGAGACTGTTTTTTTTGCCACGCTTGTGGTAACACTGCGAATCTGAAACTTCGTTCGGTTAATCTCTCATCCCTCCTCTATCGATACATGTGCTCGCGATTTTCGTACAATAATTAGTTTTCCAGTTGTGTTATGTTTTCGACAACGTGTTTGTAAGGCGTGTCACAAATATGGAACAACGTAATATAAATTTTGCGTTAAACTCGGCGATTCCGTTATGGAAACGTACGATAAATTGGTGAAAGTGTTTGGTGATATGTCACCCTGCGACTTCTTTTTGTTCCCTCAAACAAAATTGATCGTGAAAGGAACGCATTTTGAGTCCATAACTGACATCTAGAACGCCGTGACGAGAGTACTTCAGGACATTCCAGTCGAAGCTTTCCAGAAATGTTATGAGAGCTGGAAAAAACGTTGGAACCAGTGTATAGGGGTGGGAGAGGAGTACTTTGAAGAGGATCACATCGATGTATCTTAATATTTAAATATACGTATTTTATTGAATTAGTCTCATTACTTATTGGTTAGACCTCATACATATAATAAATATTAATTATACATATGATCAGTTTTGACGAGGTATTGATTCTTTATTTGAATTACTTTACTTATGAATTAAACATTAAACACTTAAACAAATACCTTTAATCTATTCTGTGCCTTCATTATCTTTGAAATAATATGTGATTACCTGAGTTCGTGACTTATAGCACTTACAATAATCAAAATAAGTGCTAAAAAGCGCGTAAATACTTCAGTATAAGCACTTAAAATTATTAAAATAAGCAAAAAAAAAGAGAATTATGAATACAATTTTTTTTTTATTGTCATTTAATTTTATTTAAATAAATTTTATCTTTAAAAAAATCAAAAACTTATACTATTTTTGAGTTTTTGAGTTTTTTTAAAACATCTTATAGATTTGTTGAAAAATAAATTTCAAATTTTTTTAACGATTCTGAACGGAGCTCGATTAATAGTATTGGTTTTTCAATAAACTATTTTTTTATTTGTACGAATTACGTTTTCTACCAGAAGTTCACTTCAACCAAAACATTCCAAGAGACCTTCTTTGTTGCATTTTATATACAGGGTGTCCAACGAGGACTCGACAAATGTATTAACTTTTGTTCTATTAATATTTTTGGTATATATTATACACATACAAGTATTTTCTTTTCCATGGGTTAATATCATACAATAATATCATATTATAGGTATTAGGTAGTATCAATCAAACAATAATGATAATTTTATGTTAATAAATAATATTGTTATGATTGAAAAGAAAATTATTCAAATTTTCAAAATCTCGTAGAAAATAAAAGACCATATTTTAACAAAAGTTTCAACCATCAAAAATTTTCTAAAAATCTATTTTCAAAAAAAAAAATATAACACAATTTTTTAATTTTTATTTTGAGTCCTCTTCTCACTAAAAAAAAAAAATTCATAAATAATCTGTAGCGCTGAAGCATGCTAATGATTTAAAAAATATTGTTTCCGCGCATTGGGAAAATCAAAGCGAAAACAACTCGTGCCACAGAAACCGGTTTGGTGCAGTGGTTGGTGGCTGCCGATCCCTACTCCAATGTACGCCGCCAAAACCTGATTGGTCCTGTGGTGACCACTGATTTCCACTTCAACGCCCACTGCTGAAACCTGAATGGTCCCATGGTGACCGCCGATTCCCAACTCCAATGAGCGGTAACGCAACGACCTTAACAACGTACACGCGCAGCAGCTTTTGGAGATTTCTGGCGCCCCTGCCGTTGTGACTGCGATTAACCGAATGCGCGCGTCGATCGTCAAGAGAGTGGCTCGATGAGGTCGATCGTCAACTTAGTTGTAGTCAGTCTACGAACAGTAGTCAACACAGAGTAGTCAACACGAAAAGTTGAAGCGCTTTTTTTACAGTTATACAGTTTGTAGTTAAATTTATTTTTCTTTATAAATTAAATTTAGTAAAATTTCTGCAAAATAAAACTGATTGTGAACATTCGCTCTGAGTTCGTGAGTACCTATTTTTTTATATTATTCCTAACTCTGTCAAACGGTCCCTTGGTCTCTTGTCATTAATGGATACTATAGGCGAATGGCTTAACGGTTGTATGCGTGTGCGCCAGAGTTCTCGTTCACCGCAGAATCACCATGACTCTCAAATTCTGAGCACAGAAGTACCAAATTTCGAATCAAATTATAATATTTTTACACGTCCGTAGATTCGCGGCCTTTGGTTTATGAATCAAAATTGTTTTTTTTAATGCCCTGTTAAAAGCAAACGAATGCACCTATATTATAACAATATACTTCAACCCTTTCAATTTTTTTTTTTTTTAAATTTGCTCGTTCGTGAAGTCACAAACAATATATTTATCTAGTTTCAGAACAAAAATAATTGTATCTGATCAACTTGAAAACAAGTTTTTACGAAATACTTCTATGAGAAGGTAAAATAGAAAATTAATAAACCAAAAATTTGGACATGTTGCTTTTTATACTCAGATTACAAAAATTGAGATAGCAATGGTGGACTAGAAATAGATTGGCTCACGAAGATTGAACGACCCTATGTTTTGCCTATGGGGAAATATGACCCTTAACCTATCTTTTTATCTTATTTTAATAAAATATAGAAGGCAATAGAAATGAAAATGTTAAAATGTGTCAAGTTATAGTATCATAGGTAGGTTGGAATTATAAATAAGTATAGAAAATATGGGAGGCTGCTTGGGATTTATATAAATTAAGGAAGAAAAATAGGATAAATAAGCCAAGACACAGTCGTTATACATTATATTATATACTATACTATTTATATATATTACATAGGTTATAGTTAAATGAGCCGGATAAAATTCAAACAGTGTAACAGACAGGGAAGAGGAAATTGATTACTAGTGACTTATTAACTAAAAATGGTTTAGAAACTTGAGACAATTGAAACGATGATAATATGTATCCAAATTGCAAGTATCCAATTTTTATTAAAAATGTTTAAACGTTTACTTTTAAGCTAAGTAAACGTTTAAATTCTTGGTATAATTCTTATTTAGTATAATTCTTATATATATAAATTCTTATATGGTGCCTTGTAAAAAATGGTTGGTCACCACTGGAATAAACAATGCGTTTTGGCGAGACGGTTTAGTGCTACTATTAGCTACACGAGTTCACTTTTCGACAAACTATTTCCTCAATTAACATGTTCTTAGGTTTACAGAGTACTTTCCTCTTTGATAAGTAATAATTTCTTCCACGTAAGCATACAAAGTGTCTCACGAAGGGACATACCTAACATAAAAATTTAATTCAATTTGTATTCCTTATCCCTGTGAGTAATATGAAACAAAACCGAATTTGATTATCTTTATTATTTCCGAAGATATTACAATGGGTATATCTTCGTGGGACATTGTAAAATAAACAGTATATTTACTGTTTAGCCTGAATTGTTTACACTGTATATTATAGAAGTATAGACTATTGTCTGTAGGATAAAATTTTTAGTATATGTATTTTAATTGCGAAAATTAAGAAACTCACTTATATAACCAATTTACGAAAATATAACAGTAATAATCCGAAATTTCAGCCACAGCTATAGGTTTGTTATAAATTATAATGAACCAGTCTGGTTGATCTATTCATGAAATGCTTGATAAAACAGAAATAATATAGTACAAATAAAAATACACACTACACTTTCCGTAAGACGCAAAATATATTTGTATAATTTTTAGAATTAACAAATTGTATATTGAATATAATAATTAATTTTAATTAACTATAATAATAATAAATTATTTTTTAAAGAAAACAATGAGTATAGACGAGACAATAAATTAATTTGAATGCGATTTAAATAACAGGATAACAAAATTTAAATGCCATAATACAAATTTGGATTATACGCCTCTATAGAATATTAATAATATTATTTCTGTATATTAAATAGCGTTAATAATTTATAATAATATTATAATATAATCGAAAAACAATACAATATTTACATGATATAACAGATAGGAATGATTTTCAAAAATTATTAATATAGAAACAAAAAATGATTAAAATATTTAAACACAAAATACATAATAGTAATGATAATAATATTAACAATGATAGAAATAAGGATAATAATAAGAAATATATTATTATGTTAAGATAGTAATCCTATTTGATAAACACGAATATTTGAATAAATTGACGACGATTGTAAGTGATAATAATATAGTTTAATATAATAATAATAATAAATATGATAATAAAAACCACGTTGTTAAAGATTTAAATATATTAATAATAGTTTGATAAAAGAATAATATAAATATTGCAATATAAACTAATATGTATATGTTATTTTGTACAAGAGAGAATTTTTTTTTACAAAACGAAGTACGAGGTTTAATCAAAAAGTATTGAGACTGATAGTAGTACACATAAACCGAGCATTTAAGAACAGCACAATTGGTATCATTAGTTTATATTCTATTCTAAATACATCTATTTTTGTAAATTCTCTAAAAACTTTTTCGTTTTGATTTCACCGATATTTTTGTGAAATATGTTTTTCATATTTGGCGATTTTGTAATGAATCCAAAAGAAGAGCAAACTTGATGTGTTTTTGGGTATTTGAGAGAATTTGTCTAAATTAATATTATTTTTTTGTATTTCAGAGGAATAAAAAATGACTTATGCTAACAAATTGCAGCTTTACCTAGTGGTAGTAAACCTGAACTGGGATTTATTTTTGATCTTCGATCAACATTCTCGTGGCAAATTTTGATGCGATTTCTCGCATGTGTAATTTTTTAGTTAAATTTTGTGACATGAGTCATGTGAAATGTGCATTTTTCTGAAATTTAAAAAAAAATGCTGAAAAATTTCTCTTGAACCCCCCCCCCCCAAAGGCCTGTTAATATGCTCTTCTATTGGATTCATTATAAAATTGCCAAACACAAAAACATATTTTACAAAAATATCGGCGAAATCAAAACGAAGAACTTTATAGTAAATCTACAAAAACAGATGTATTTAGAAGTCAAGAATGATACCAATCTTGCTGCAATTCAATGCTCAATTTATGAGTAATATTATCAGTCTCGACGTTTTTTGATTAGCCCTCGTATAATATAATTTAAACTTCGCGTTAATTACACACACACACACATATTTGTTCACAATATTTGTTATTATAATATGCTACCGTGAATTTATTTGAAAACCAGTCAATTATTGTTGACATTTAACGAGTCAATTTTCGAAAGTCGGAAATTTTAGTGATTTTTTGTAAATAATTTAAACATTCGTTGGTGATTGTTGACTTGACATTAGGGAAACTTTAATTAATATCTAATATTTGTCCATTCCCCATCCCTTTAAAAACTCAAAGAGAAAATAGACAATACCTATCTCTTAACTTTTGGACTTTCCCCATTGAGATTATTTCTAATAAAATAAAATATTGTGTTAAAAAATCTATTAATTAAATGATCTATATATACTATTTACTTTTTAGTGGACATGCAGTAAGCAAAATCTTACTCTACTGAGTGTCCAATGGATTTTACTAGGTATCCATTCGGATACAGAAAACTTCCTTAATGAATGCCCTGCTTAACATAATAATAATATATATATATAAATATGAATAAAAAATGATTGGTGAAAGTGAAAAAAAAAACAACCTACCTATATTAAATAAATTTAAGTATATAAGTATTAGTTTATTTTATTAGTGTATTATAACAATACGACTAAAGACAAAAAGAAATTGTATTTATTAGGAATATTATATAAAATTTATTTGGCTGTACGCTAAGGAAGTTTTTTTGTTTAATATGGTATTTTTTGTTAAACTTTATTGAATAATACTTAGAACCTTACGTTTATATAAAATTACGTACCTACTTAAATTAGTATGGGCTGTAAAGTCATGTCACACGAGAAAAATTATCATCAAATAAACACATTTTGTGAGTAGTGATGATAATAAAATAAGTTGTTGTCATTTGCATAGGCGTCAAATTGAAACGTATTTAATAATTAATTTTTATCGCCCGTATTTTATGTCTATATAAAATGTATATTAATGTGTTAATAATCCCGTTAAAAAAACTAAAATGCAAAATAGCGAAAACAAAAACTAGAAGACAACAATTACTAGAAATAAAAGAAAACCTAAGAAAATACTATTTTATTTAGTCTAGTAGCTAGCAATGTCTTAGTTTTTAAGTAAAAGTCAGTGGTAATCTGTTATTTTTTACGAAAAAATTATAAAACAACACAAAATTCTTTGTAGTGAAATATTACATATTGATGAACAATATCACATCATAATATTTTGTACTTCGGGGAATAGCCTTATGTTATTTTCTTACTTATTTTTACCAAAATTTTATCTGTGTGAGTGATTTTTGAATTTTCTTATGGCTCATTTTAAAAAAATAAACCAGCTAAAGAAATCGGTTGGACGATGAAATGCGTGTATAATAATAGCTCTGAACAACAGTATCCATCTCACAAAAATTTTAAAACTTGTTAAGAAAGGTCAAGTTCAAAAATCAAAATTCAAAAATTAGGTCATCATAACTCATAATAAAGAAAATTTTAGTAATCTATAGTAAAACCGTGAAAAAAGTGATATTTGTTTATAAAACCAAAACAATTTTTCTCAAATTAAGATAGTACACAACCTATCGAAAGTTTTCTATGTCGTTCGAATTGTCAAAAATTTTTGGAAACAATGATATGGGTGAATCTATCATGTTATAATATTTTAATCAATAATCATAAAATATACCTAGGTACTTAAATAAATTATAATTAAAAGTAAACATTTCAAATACATAACTACATAATATACAAGTATATAAAATAAATAACAAAACAAAAAAAAACTCAAATTATTTAAACAGGTAATTGTGAATCGTATAAATAAATATTATTGTTTTCAAAAACATATTTATACAAATTGAAAAAATAAAATAATAATTGTATACCAGATAGGTATTTATAGTTATTTAGGTACCTATACGTAAAGTACACTATACTATAAGATAAAAAATGTATTAAACTAGCGAAGATTTTCGTACCTATTTTGAATTAATTAAATAAAATAAAATAATTTAAATAATCTTCACTACACGTATATTATATAGTAGTATAGAATTCATAGGTGCAAATAGCCTAAATGTTTTGAAAGAGCTTAAACCCTCGTCCAATTGATTATGTATACTTAGTATTTACTTGACGAGGGCTTGATTTGAGGGGAGGCTTGGCTGAATTTTAGGAGACTAAAATCCCCCTTTCTTTAGGGCAAAGTAGTATTTAGGGAATAAATTATACTCGTATTCTTATAGTCAAAAATTAACTCAATCATTTTCGCTCTATTCGTTTTCTCATTATTTTGAATTCATCCTTTTGATGTATAATGCCTGTGTATCTGAGTATCTAAAATTACCTATATACAAGTTTTAGAATTTCGAATTAAATATAGTGAAAAGATCTCGTAAATATTATGTATTATATAACGTTTTGAAAATCAGTTTTTTGCCCCTCGACTGTGTTATATTATGCAACGAGGCTTTTTCGATCGGTTGCGATATTTAATCGAAACTGAATATAACCGTTGTGCATATAATAGTATCGCCGTTAATAATTTATAATATTTTATACGCGGAAGTATTGTTCGAAACGCATGAGAAATGCATGGAAGCGTCTGAGTGTACGGGTTTATGGCCAGCGAGAACGAACCCTGAAGCGTTTTTATACATTTCTCCACGAGCATTTTCTATGTACAATAATAATTAATGCGTGGCGAAAACGCGGATTCGTTTCCAAAACATTTTTGTTTTTTTCACCTCTGCAAACAGATAAACTACGTATTCCTATAGTTAAATCGTATTATGATAATAATTTAATATGTACACGTTTGCGGGGTTTGGGGCGTAATATTGTGTTATGTAGGTATACACTGGTGGCGGAAAGAGTATAATTTTGTTTAGAAAGTACCGCCATTGATGATAAACATTGAAATATTATAATATAATATAATATAATTTTATTTTTACACCCGTCTACGTATAGGTACCTACGATAGTTGTATATAATATATATCGTTATTATACATATAGTATTATATTTACAATTTTTTGTCCCTAAACTCTTGGATTGTTGCTATTGACTTAGCCAATATGTTGCCTATCGTAGGCCAAATTGAACGTTATGGAAGCGTTTCGGACGCCATTCGTATTCGGGCGGATAGCCTCGAGCTGTTGTGTACTTCGGCCGTCCGTAATGTAATGCCAAATATGTCCTCGTGATAGCGATTGTCATCCTGAAAATCAAAATATTGTCGAACGATGAACAGTGTAGTTATTTTATACGGAGGTTAGTTATAGTTGATTATAGGTATCATACAATATTATAATATATATTATATGCATTATTACATTATCGACTATCCGATAAACAAACCAAAACTTATGAAAATTTGAAATAGTTTTTTTTTTTTTTTTATAGGACGAAATTATGAATGATTAGTTTTCTTTTAAATTCAGGTCGTAGCGAGGGATCTACTGGTTTTATTATAATGTGTTTTTTAATTTTTTTTTGTGTCTGTGAGCAACTTTTCTTCCAGAAAATTTGCTCCGAAGTAACATGTGTAGCACATTTTTTAAAAGATAATTTTAGTTGAAATTATCATTACTAATTAGTTGATGTATTGAGAAGGTCATTTTTGATTTTCTAATGGGTTTTTAAAATAATTGAGGAAAACCCGAAAGAAAATTATAGGTAAAACAGTAAATATTTACGGCGCGCCGCGGCGTTACAGATTTCATTATTTTAAATTAGTAAACACGATGTTTTCTACTAGAAATATTGCTCCAATCAAAAAATGACAAAATATCAACTTTATTTCTCTTAATATATAGACGCTTTCTAAGGAAGTCGGTTTTTAATATCTAATAATATTATTTTCATAATAATTGGGAAAAACCAAAAAATACGATTTTTTTAAAATAATTACGGTGCAATGAATTAATTGTTTAAAATGTTTACCATAAATATTGCTCCTATAGAAAAATTACAAAAGACCTTTTTTGGTGCATTTTTAATCTATAGTACGTGAGTAAAAAATTCATTTTTTAATTTCTCCGTAGTTTTATTAATAATTGGGCAAAAACACAAAATAGAAAGAACGAGACAATTTACGGAAATAGTTCTTTTATTATTTTAAAATTCTGTTTTTTGAATGTAATTCGGTTAAAAATATTCGTAGAGGATTGAAATTTTGACAGATTATTTTTCTTTTTCTAGATGTAATATAATTTTCAAAACATTTGAGCCATTTTTGAGCTATTTATAGACATATAAATTTTGAGAGATTTTTACGTAATTTTTATTTGATAAGTAGAGTTGTAGATACAAATATTAGACTAAAAAGAAATGCTTGAATATTTTACAGGAGTTTCATTATGAGTTGTACTTAGTGGTAAAAAAAAAAAAATGAGTGTAATGTAGAACTTTTTTTTTTTATAAATTTTGACGAAATCCTAAGTATTACGGCCTTTAAAAAAATGTACAACCGAACTTCGCTTCTAATCGTTTTTCGTTGGCATTGGTTTATTGTTGGTTACAAGTATAAATTAAATAACTTTATGTATCCCTCCTTCCAAGCTACCTACCTATAACAGTGACCACATCCGTCCTCAGTATCAGCCCTTTTTTTTTGTAAGCTGTGCTTACAATGCTTACATGCACGCTACGTCTCTGGTTTCTACTATATTGGTACCTATATTCATCGATCGGGAAAAATGAAAAATAAAATAAACGGGCCCGAGTATAAATAAATAATGCGACGCACGAGTGTACATATATATTATAGGCAAGACGATGATGTCGTGTAAACACTGTTTTGTAAAGTTATTCCGTCATCGTTGTTCCGGTGTTGAGCCGAGAAATATTTTAGATGTTTGGGGCAAATGACCGATGACGAAGCGACGAGTACCGCAACACTCGATAAAATAATTGGAGTGCGTTCAAACGGTCTCCGTCCGTAATGCTCACACGTGTCGTATATAATAACTGATTCAAAACCAATTTTAGGACGAACCGCAAACTTTCAATAAATAAAAGACAAATTAATAAAAGGAAATTACGATCGATATCAACGGATAAGAATATAGTAGTTAAGAGGACGCTATACCCGTACGTGGTCGTCTCAATCAAACTAAAGGACGATGTAGAAAAATCTTACGCAGCCTGCGTAGAACTCACCTTAATTTTGGTTTTAGAGTAAAATTACGTATTATAAGATTAAAAGAGGATAATATTCCGGAAGTTGAGATTATGTGTTTTTCCTATTATTCTAATTACTATCCCGGATATAACGTTCAATACATCGTTTGGAAATAATAACTAATTTATTGTTATTAAATGACTGTAACATTTCAAAAAATAAACGTATTTTCTTGCTCTCTGAAATATTGTTTTTTATTAATTTTATAATATGTGCTTTTACTCTCAAATCAAAATTAAGGTGAGTTCTACGGAGTCTGCATCAAGTAGATTTTGCTTTATTGTCCGTTAGTTGAACTGAGAAAGCACATGAGAGTAAAGCATCCTCTTAACGTTAATATTTATGAAATTGAGGCACGGAAATCTGCCAGAAAAATAAACAATCGGGCGATTGAGAACTATAGAGAAACTCCTATAATATTATAGGAGTTTTTTATTTTTTATCAAAGTTGGGTTTATACCAAATGATTTATAACTATTCAGTTGATATATTCGATTAGGTGGTTTCCACTTATTGCAGAATTTCTGGAGTCCCCCTTCCTGTTAAAAGTAAAATTATTCATCTCCTTTGGTTATTGGCACTGAGTTATTTTTAATGACATTTTAAAAACTCGAGTTAGATTTATTAATAATAAATTCTTTATTACCTATTGGATTATAGAAAATCCGATTGTTTGGTTTTATTTTTATTGAGAAAACATAAGATGTAAGGTAATATTTTACTTTTCTTTGGGAGGGAGGAAGGGTTTAATTAGTTTTCGGAAATTTCTAATTTTTAGTAAATATAGTTTCCTTCGAAGTTTTTCTCATTTTAATTACTGATTCCGAACCTTATTGCCTGTGAAACTAAGTACCTTGATTTTATACATTCGATACCATATAGGATGTAATCATATTAAATATACAGAGAGATTATTTAGATTCTGAGCGGAGTTTTGGAGTTTTGGTTTTACAATGATGTTTATTTTTTTTTTTCGTGGTCAACTTTTCTACCAGCAATTAATATAAATATCGATTAATATACAAATAAATGAAATTCACTTGAAATCTTCTAAGAAAATTGCCGGTTCATGATAAAAATGTCATTCTGCATAGGCTGGCGATTTATAAGGGAAAAACGGTTACTTACGATAATACCCGACGCGATACGTTTTGTATACACACATATATGATAAACCTATGATATTATTATCTACTCGCGGAAGTATAAGAATATTTGCATACATGTCATTTTTATTCTAAAATATAAGACACTTGCGTATATATACCTACATATATACATCGTTGTTATATTATCCGTAGGTGTATAGTATGTACTTACGGAAATTCACATATCTACGACCGTTTTATTTATTTACTTTTCCAACCATCGGGATACTTTTCGGTACAGCGACTCATCATATACAAATAATTCGCCGATCGGAATAATCGGATAATATACGGTTTTTTACGTATAGCCTGAAAGATATCGCGTGAAAGTAGTTAGGTTCTTATTTCCCGAGAGGAACACATCTGCGGTTTAAGCGTCGGTACCGAGGAGATTTGTCAGGAATATTTGAATTTTCGAATAATTTTCACTACGATATAATATAGTTTTCAGTGGCAGCGCTTATATTATTATTATATAAACACGGATTTCTCTTCTTGTTACGTATATAAAAATGATTAAGTTTTTTTTTCGTTTGTTTTTTAGTTGCTCACTCGTGTGATAATATAACAAAAAAAAAAAAATACATCCGACGAAAGTTTTACACCGCGCGCACAAGATCGCGATTAACGTGAGATCGGAGAACCACGAGCGCTTAAAAAAAAAAAAGTATTTCCACGAGTTTTCTTTCGGTGGCCCTCATAAATCGAGGTATCGAACACGTACCCGTAATCCCAACATGAAGTTATCGGATTGAGTGGAATTCATGCCGGTCTGTTCTTGAATTATCGACTTGAGGGTCTGGTATACGTTTTCCGCCATTTTACAATCGCCGCATACGTAGAAATGTCCCCGTTCCACGGCTATTAATTCATAAATCATTTTGGCTTCTTTTTGCATCAAGTCTTGTACGTAAGTCTACGAAACGACAAAAAAAAAATTATGCAGGTACCTAATTGTATGCACGCGTTGTGAATACAACAATAATATTAAGTATTTAAGTTTTCAGTTTGTGACCGGCTATCTGTCGGCGATCGTTTTCGACTTATTATGTACCTTTGGAATTGAGGGTTCTCTGGATAGTGCCAAATATGTCTTGTTCAACACGCCTTCATTTATCATTTCCATTTTGTCCGTTTTGTACAGATCCATCGATTTGTATTGGCAGCCGAAAAACAGCATGGTCCGGCCCATTCTCGACTCTGCGGATGAGGGTGAAAAAGGGGGAGGGAATAAGTATTAAACCAATAATCGTGCACTATATATACGAATTATTTCAATATCGTAATTTCGAGATTTATTATTTGTAACACGTTGTGTTTACCGAAGCCCGATTGTTTCTGTGCGAATCTGTGCTGCCAAAATCCTCGGAATGGTGCGATGCCCGTACCTGGGCCAACGAGTATTAACGGTTTTGATACGTCGTCGGGTAAATGGAAGTTCGGTGCACTAAAAAAAAAAAAAAAAATAAAAAATAATAACAATAATATTAAATATAAAGGCTTATAAAAAAAATGTAATATTATTGTTCGTGATTAAGGGGATTGCCGGTGACGGTGTTTATTTTAGTGTCGAATTAAACCTGAAAACCAGATAAAATTGTAGGAACAGCATTTGATAGGTTTCAATTTTGAAAACTGGATTATTATTATTTAGATATTTACTAGGATATATTGGAATAAAATAGAATAGAAATATAACAAATTTGATTGTATTTTTCAAATTTTTTTTAAAAAAATGTACATTAAGTATTTTGTCTTTTACACTTAACCTAAAGAATCATAATAAGTTTTAAAAATTAATATCCACCCAACGCAATTCCTACTGTTTTGTATGGCTTTTCGGTATAAAACGTTATATTCATCTGTAAAATCGACCTTACTTATTCCCCTAAAATGGGATTAGAATATAGATCATTCGATGAGTGGAAAACTCTTATCATTGTGATCATTAAAATGTAAACAAATTGTTTCAAATTTTACAATATTAGAGAAATTTTGGAAAACCGTCACCAATCCCTTTAGCAGTGATTTTTTTTTACCTCCGTACAAACATGTAAAGCGTGTCGTTTATATTGGCGTCCAGTAAGTAATTGGAACAAACTCCATAGTGCAACACTCCTTTTCCACCTTGAAAAAAAACCAAATTCATCGAATGGGAATATTAAACAAAGTGTATTGAAAGTATAAGAATAAAAAGTACAATAAATAAATAATCAAGCTGTGAACCATAACTTCTTTACGATATTATTTTACCAAAAAAAAATATCCATAGTCAATTATATACTCGTGACTTTGTATACCTACAAATAATTATTTTCATTATTCATATACTTTATATTTATTTTCTACGCATATTTTGTTATTTTTTAGATCCTAAGTGAAACAAAGTACCTATTAGTTTTACTGGGATGTATGTGTGTGTTTTTCTCGGAAAATAATTTTTGGATTAGTTAATATGTTTCAATTTTTTTACGCTATATCATAAAAGATGTGAATTTTTTACCTGATGGTATCTTATTTGAAAAATATGTTTAGATTTTCAAAAGATTTTTATACAATTTAAAAACAATATATATTGGCTATATTTCTGTTGATTTCTGGGTTAGGTCCCTTGATAATAAGGAGAAAAACACGATTAACATTATAGTACATAATAGTTTTCCATTCAGAATCGTCTTTTAATTACAATGATTTATCGTCACTTTCGGGAACTATATAGCCTTTATATATATATATATATATATATATATATATAAATTTACTTTATAGGTATTTTATACATTTCAAACTTCTCACCTATACTGTACAGTAGTTTATCCATGGGCCGTGGTCTGGTTTTTGTTTGGTTTTTTACTTACCGTATTGTTGTTATTTATTATCGATAATATTAAATATGAACAACCATGAGTACCTTTTGTTTTGTATGTTACTACGGCCACGGTGAGATGTACTTTGTGTGGATGTAATAAACTCGACGAAGAGATACTGTAGAACCTCGGTTGCAACGGAGTAAGTTGTGCGACCAATAGGGCGGCCGGCGGTTTTATAGACGGAAACTCTCGGAAAACTTCCAGGAGATTCGGTAGATTCCAGTGACGCCAATCTTCGTAAGCTGCGCTGTCCTGTGGTTGGCATATGTGACGGAGGTGGAGGAAAAAATAAAATATGTAAACGAGTGAACGAAAAACCGAAAAAATTATTGCCTAAGTTTTAATATATATTTTATACCGTTGCTAATACTGTGAGATTCTTTTTGTCGGTCGCATCAGTGGCACACGAAGCAAAAAACTGTAACATGTTTGGGGTGGGTGGCGTAGTGATGTCCAAGAACCGTGTTAGCAGATCTCGTAACGAGCATCTCGGTAGTTTTTCGTGGGGTGACCAATTTTTAGAGACTCCTAAAAAAAAATAAAGAAAAAAAGTAAAATATATAGGTATTGCTGTAATAGTAACAAATATATATATATATAAACGCGAAATGTTGGCGATCCAAGGACAGATTTTTTTTAGAGATTACCGCGGAGAATTCACCACAGTTACTAAGTAGTTGACTTTACGTTTACAGCGGCTTCGTAGAATTGCCCGTAAATTATCTAACGAATAGAATTATATTCCTGCTGGTGCGATCGAGAATGCATAAAACACCGAGAATTGTTTTACATTGTACATTATATAGTCGACGATATCGAGTTTACTACTTTTTAAGAGTCGTTAGACTGCCGTCTTGAAATCCAACTTGGAATAATTATCCAATATTATTGTAAAGTTGTCGTCAACTATTGAACGAATTTCGTATAATTGTGTAAGTTTTCTTGTTATGTTATGGAAATTGAATATCAAACTTACGATTTGATGCCCATACGAGTATGTGCATCGTTTACCTATCGCAACAATTTATTTTAAATTTTACGTTTTCTCTATCTCGAATTGGAAATCTAAAAAAAAAAAAAATAAATAAGTCGTTTTCGTGTATTACATAAAATCGATTTATCTCTATGCGTATTTTAAATCGGTAGAGAACAGAGGTGAATAAAAGGTGAATATGAAGAATACTTTTTACTAAAAACAAAACGACAAATGCAGTTATTTGGATTACAATATTTATTATAAAATATTTTCGTCAATGGCAAAATATATAGATTATTTACCAGTAGACGTGTGTTTTTCTTTGAGCATTTGTAGTTCCATGGGTTCGTCGGGATCCTGATCACATTGTAAGTACGGGATAATGGCAGACACCAGTTCTTTTCGGTTGATCGCAAACATTCCCACGTGGTCACCGGGTCGGTACATGATCTTCTCTGATTGTGCCCATTCGTCCACATCGATCTCCAGCCACAGGGTCACTCGATCGCTCTTGCTATCTCCGCTGTTGATCATCAAGTTCTGTTTGTCTGCCAATCGGCACGTGCACACTCTTTTGTTGTGGTACTGTGCGTATGCTGGAAAATAAAATAATTATACAAATTTATTAAAATCACGTAAATAAAACGAATTGATCGATATGGTATATAATACAATACTGAGCCACACGATACCCACCCGTGCGAAGGTCATCTGGTTCGGAGTTAACAAACCGCACTGTCGACGATGATAGTTTTTCGTTGTGAAGTACTTGCGATGCCTCGGTAAATGATTCGTCCATGTCCAAACAGAAGGTTTCACACGCCACCTGAGTATGCATAAAACCACAGGTCACAACATTATAATATTATCGTTAAGGGTTAGTAGCGTGGCTGAGCTCAAAAAAAAAAAACGAAACACAAAAGCTAAACAAATGTCACACAATAATTGAATAATATTATTATGTTATAAAAGCTATTTTGAACTAAGGGTGTTGGAACACACTTAGACATTTATACTCCTCATACGTTTTAGACCAATAAGCGGTAGAAAATTAGATATCTCCCTGATATCAGATTTTAATTTCTAAAGTCTATATGAATTTATTGACACGCTTTCTAGTTGATTTTCAATTTTTAGTTATGAAAACCTCCAAAATTCAGATATTATTTTTCAAAATCTGTGAAATAACCATATTGCATTGGGCAAACCAAATTTTAATTATACAAAAACTGACATCCTAAATAACCTAGACAATTTTTCAATAAATCTATACACACATTAAACATTGAAATACGATATTGGGAAGTAAGTTTAATTTTTTATTGATCTAAAATGTCAAACTTCAACCGTCTATTTAATTGGGTCGATACCCGATGACAGTAGTTTAGCAAAAAAGTCTTATCATTAAGGTGGACATAAAAAAATAATTTTAATTTATAGAAAATTGGAAAAAATTTGAAAAACCATTTCCAACCCCATGCATAGATAATGATGATGATAATAATAATATAATTATAGATGCTGATGATAATAATACTGAAGTAGTTGTTCAAAACAGGATCTTATAGTTTTCTCCAAATAAATTCGCGTGGCATCCCCCCTTTAAAACAGTTTCGGTGATTTATATCGAAGAGCTGATCACTGTACGTATTTTATACAATGCAGACACATGTTCGATTCGAGTACAAAAGCTTTTCCATTGAAAAGCAATAAATTCGAAGTGTAAAATAAATACTTTTGACGATAAGATTGTTTTTAGTCTGCTCACGTGAAAAACATCGGTAGCCCACTTTTTGAAAGCTTGCTCTTGACCACACATCTCGTCACCTTTAGTGAGTTTGATTAGCCGCTCTCCACCGAGCTCACCTAAAAGGTTATCGACATATGATCCAAATGCACAGAAGTTCGGGTATGCACTTGAGCCCAAGCCAAAAACAGCAAATCTGTAACAATAAGTTACTACTTAATTCAATAAACGTATTTATTCTTTATCATGTTTGCGTATGATGTCCTATGTACAAGCGTAATTGTAGATAACGTGAAAGTTTCTTATACAGGTTTCCATTTCGACGTAAATAATTGACCAATATGTTGGAACATTTTATTTGTAGAGGTTTGCCGTGCAAAGTACACATTTTATATTGTGAGTAAAACATTTACGAACTAATTTGTAAGTTTATTAATATTATTATTTTGGTTTTTTTTTTAATGCCTATGCAATTTAAAATGCGCTTTTTAATATTATGTGTAATTGTATTGTGTGTTGGTAGCATTATTGTTTTTTAGATTCTTAGCGCATCTAGGAATGCATTGATTTAACTATGATATTATATGCTTTATTTGTACATTTCATTATAATTTGTACTTAGTGCCTAGTGGTATTATTTTAGATTCGGAGCATGGAAGGAATGTACCTATTGGTTTTACAATGCTGTTTATTAAAATACTATGTACACAATTTACACCAGAAATATTATTCCGATGTATCAAATGTAATACCTTTTTCGAAAGATAATTTCATCGCGTTGGTACTTTACCAACTCGTAAATAATTTGTATTTTTTTTTTTTATGAGTATTTAAATATCAATTTTTGACAAAAATTGTAAATATTACGGCCTTTCAAAATGTGTATAACCAAACTTCACTCCGGATCATTTTTCGTTAATAATGGTTTATCGTTGCTTACGGATATAAATTAAATAACTCAATATATCTTATCTTCCCAATTTCTTATCAATTACAATGGCACACCCGTGCCGAGTATCAGCATTTTTTTTTTTTTGTAAATGTTTTAAGTTTTAATTTTGACAAAAATCTAGAAAAAATTATGGCATTTAAAAACACGTACAATCGAAGTTCACTCAGAATTGTATTTCGTTAGCAATTATTTGTCGTTGTATAAGTACAACATACAAATATGAATTAATTAATATTAACTCTATGTGTTATAGCTTCTTAATATCCCTCATACAACAGAGACACACCAATAAGCAGTATTAGAACTATTTTTGTATTTTGTAATTTGTTTATAATGATTATTATTTCCAATACGAACTGTGCAAATTCTAAACTTCCGAAGTATTCAATATAACAAATAGAACAAAATTAATATAAATAAATTTTCAGTTTAGTTATGTATAAAATGTTACGAATTTTTTAAAATAGCTAGGCAGGTATTTGTTTTAATTTTGTTTTTATTCAAGTACCTATACTAATTCAACGAGTTAGTTTTAAATAATAATATCATAATACATACCTAACGTTTCCCAGAGGGCCAAAGTTATCGACATCCGTAGAATCTCTGTTAATCGAATCGTGCATTTCGGTTAGATAATGACTCTCTGAAAGACTGTTTGCTTTTATAAACGAAGCGGAACTAAAAAAAAAAATTAAATAATAATATTAAGAAATATTATCGATACGAATATAATTAAAACGAGTAATATAAGATCGATCACATTACCTGAGAGGCGAAGATTTGACGACAAGAGATTTATTGGAACTATTGCCTTCGTGTTCCATTTTCATCGAGTGTAATTGTTGCGCGAATTCCTGCGACATAAAAAAATAACAGTTACATTCATTTAATTTATTTTATACCCCTCCCCCCCTTCATTCTACCCAAATCAAGTCGTACCTGTCCATTTTCGGGAGGATCGCCATTTCCAAAAGTCGATACCACGACCAACAACAACGCCTCGTGTTCAATACTGGTCATGTCGTATTCCTCCATGCTCATTACCTTATTTTGCATGAATTTAATATTATACAAATTATTAATGGTATACCTATACATAGGTACTAACAACATTATTGCAGACATTGCAATATAATGATTAGAATATTATTAGAGACATGACGATAACAATGATGGCATTTTAGCGATATCGCATTGATAAATTAATTTTCTGTCAAACGTAGGTATATACCTGCGAGTGAAAAGCGTGCGCAAATATTTCGCCCAATTTTTTTGCGTACATTTCCGATCTTCCCGTTTCGGTGGCGTACAGTATAGTCGCTTTGATTCGACGGGATAATGCTTGTCCAAACAGTTTCGACGTAAATTTGACGGCCCTTCGAAACAATGAAAAAAACTCAATATTGACTCATGAAATAACAATAATTATTTACGGATACTCGTACCTGGCGATTTGTTTAAAGTGAAACTTTCGTCTCTGTTTCTTTAGTGATTTTCCTTGATTTTGGCCTTTTTTCCAAACGTGTGTTTTCCACGCTGGTTCCTTCAAATAACATATACTTTTTTAGCCGTTCATATTTATAATGTCGAAATTATTTCATTCGACATTATCTTGGGCTAGAATTTTTTTATTATCCTAAAGCTTTATTATAATTTATCTAAATATATCGTTTTCGAAAATATTATGTAATTTTAATATTAAATTTAAATAATTGACTGGGTCTCCATAATTCTTACATTCCAGATTAACCCCAGCACTTATATGTCATATTAAACAATTTCAATATTGATTATTTTTATATTTATATATTATATACTTTTTTTGTCCAATTTTGTATCAGAAATCTAAAATAGGTAGTAGTTTATTATTTCCCATTGATTTAGCATTGGTATTGACATTATTTACTCGTGTAAAGACCTGATATTTGAACTACAACATATTTTAACGAACATTTCATATACCCACATAAATAACACAATGGGCCCTTTGTATCGATAAGCCTCCTAGATTTCGGCACTTACCTCCCCGTAAACTGGGTTCGACTCGTATAGTTAGTAAGTATAATTTTTTTTTTCAGTTTGTTAACATGAATAATATATATTTCAATTTAGCCATTATTGTGTGCGTTAGTTAACGTAATAATAATATGACATTGTGATATTTTTATTTTTACAAACATTTACCTGATAAGCGTACATTGGATGAAGTTCATAGCTAACCATTTCTTGATGAAAAACGGGCGTGATGGAACCGGAAATCGGGGGGACGATCCACACCCAATCCGCCGGACATCCTTTTCTCGTTCTCAACTCATTGTCGTAGTGTTTCATAAACGATTCAGAGGCAGTATGATGGTCCATTATTGTGACGTTATTCGACTAAAAACCATTCAAATTAAACAAATGAACATTCGACGAATATGATATGACGTAATGTATACACAACTATTGTACTATTGTAAAATATTGTTAATTACGGCTTACCTGAAAACTGTGCAAAACAGCCAAATTGATTTCGACAAGAGCGCGGTCTTTTTTTAGAAACCCGTAGACGTTCAATTCGGTTTTCATGCGCTCTAAGACTTCCTGAAAGTGACAAGAAACGTGAAAAACAGTCTGTTTATAAAGTATATACACAAATAATATAATATCGTAGTTGTTGTTAAGCATGCTTACGTCCAAGACGTTGTATCTGTGGGGGTCACACAAATTCCTACATCCGATTTCGGAACTCATGTACCATCCGTTGAACGGACAAGCCGTGAATTGGATTCCTCCACAGTCAAACATCATGCCGGACACCGCTGGAAGACAATACCATCGGAGACCCAAGTCGGAGAACCAGTCGAATCTATGTATAAAAATAGGAGAAAAAAAAATCGAAGAATTGAATTTTATCGTAGAATTTGAAAAATACATACAAAAAGTGCATAACGATTTTCAACAATTTTAGACATTTTCAACATGATCAATTGTTTATACTTATATACTTACCTCATAGGCGGACATATTGTACTCAAATTTCAGATGAGCTAATAATTTTAATAGACGTGTAAGATGGAATGCTTTACCCTCCTTTTTAAGAAAAATAAATTTAAATTCTATTTTATATTTTACTATTTCATAATAAATATAGCTATTTTATTAATATGCACACATTACCTATATAATATGTTCATTTTTTGTATCTTATGGATATTACATATTTTTGCATAACCGATTCACCGTGAACGATTTTCCAATTACAGTACCACCCCATCACTACCTCCTTTTACTTCGTTCATCATCCATCGTCCATATCGACCCCATTATTATTATTATAATTATAAACACCGACGTGCTACTATCGTATCAGCCGATCGAGTATCATTTCTATATTTTTATATATTGTTCTATAGTATCAACAATGTCATATCAAATACGATTTTTCTAGTGAGTAGGTTATATTATTTGTGTAGGTACATTGAGGTTGTCCGTTGCTTTAAATTTCTAGAAAAATTTCTATAACGAGCTAAGTGATATTTTCTCTGTTGCATGGAAGACAAACACTGAACCATGAATATGTTCATCGACCCGCATAAATATGTTATTAAAAAGTTGCAAACAAAATAATTTATAACTAAATGAAGATGTATTTATTTACAAGTATTATAATTTTCTTATTATTTTCCTTTTTTCACTTTCCCCTATGATATAAGGTACCTACTACCAATGATTTTAGGAAAGAAAATTCAGTTCATAATTTATAAAATGCAAAATATTAACGTACCTACTTAGTTAAATATGATATTCAGTTGCTAGGTATATCATCGGGGGTTGGAAAATATTACCAAGAACAAACACGTATCTCTCTCTCTCTATCTTTATCTTTATCTTTCAAAACATAATATGCTTGTCTTAAAACACTGACTGTAGCAGACCGACGGGATTACGTACCAATCGTACCGCGTTATTACAAGTATTTATGTCGAGTCCCATCGGTGTATAGTAGAAATTATTATTTCATATTCATATAATACCGTTTCGGGACGATCGAGATATTATATGATATATCGAGATATTATATTATATGTATCGAAACGGCCTGATAATAATGCAAATGTATGGTACTGTTTCCATATATTTAGCGTCCATACATAATGAATAATAATAATATAATTGTATATTATCCGCAGTTACTATGCGTTATCCAGTAAGATAAGGATAGATAGGTAGGCACTGAAAAACGTTAACCTAATAAGCCAATAACAAGAGTATCCATCGAAGAATATCCAAGGGTGGAAAAAAGATAATTAAGTTTATATATTGTATGAAGCGAAAGATTATTGAAAATGGTAAACGATTCTGAGCGGAGTAGTATTAATCACGTTTTTTTATCCTTACTATTAATAATGCAACCCGGAAATCGACAACAAAAAAGATACGTACTTTGTACGATGGGCTACTGTTGTAGGTGAGAAGTTGAGAAGGTATGGCATAAAGGGGAATTAAATGTTTATCTGTACGCAATGATTAATCTTTGCTAACAAACAACGATTCTGAACGGAGTTCGGTTATATATGTTTTGAAAGGCCGTAATATTTACCATTAAACCTCTGAAAAATCAAAAAATAACCTCCTTAAAGTGCCACCTCGATCCAATTATCTTTCAGAATAAATGGTACACTTTAAAATCGGAGCAAAATTTCTGGTGGAAAAGTTGTAAATAGGAAAAAAAAACATCACCATTGTAAAACCAATACATTCCTCTCTTCACACAAAATATAAAATAAGGTATGCCATGCAAAAATGAATAGTTTCTTCATTACTATTTTAATAATAAACATATTTAGCTACTCAATATTTTTTTACAGAATATACGGAAAAGCCTATTCAAAAACACCAAAATTAATGCTATATAATAACTGCGTTATTATATTTGTTATGTTAATTATTATTCAACGCCATGTGGTATTAAATTTGTTGAATATATATATGAGTATTATAAAGACGACACAAATATGATTACAAATAAATGCGGTAGGTACATGCGAAATTTATATTTTTGTTACGTGAGCAATAATTGTAAATATTATCGTACGTGTACCTTTCTTATACTTAGACGAAAAACGTCGTACATTTAAACGCACGTAAAAGACATGAGCACGTAACAACTATAAAAAGAACCCAGGGTTTCATAAATGATTCAGAGTGATTGGTATATAACACTAAACGAAATTTTTTTTTCTGAAAAATTTATGGATATCATTATATGAACATAGATTGTAGTTAACAACTTTCGAATTTTCAATAATTTTGCAGAGCAGAGGAACTTTATAAAAAAATATAGTAGTACGTCATTAGTTAATTAATTAATTATACGGAACCGCTAATAATTGTTATGCACAAATTTAGAATTACTTATTGTTGATGAATGTATTTTAAGTTGCCAAAAAAAAAATGTCCACAAAAATGTATATATTAATCTGAGATAACGATTATGTTTAGCACATTAGATTTGAATTCTTCAACTAAAATGTAATAATTTCATCGACCCTTTGGTTATTATTATTGTATACTTTAGAGGGTAGGTTAGATTAAGGGAGCCACCTAGAGATCTAAACGAGGTTTTATATTTTATAGTTTGAACTAATAACGCTCGTATTGGAAATTGGATAAAAAATTAAAAATGTTATAATAAAACTCATACACGCCAAATGAATAGCATTTAATACCTATTAACATTTTATAACAACTATTTCAACATAACGCTAGTAGTTAGTATACGCCTATAGTGATTAAGATTCGAGCATAAAATTAAATTATGCAAATCCTGCAAATTCATCGTCCAAACCGATAAACGAAGATTATATTTTAATAGAATTAGATAGAATATTAATAATAAAATATTCACGTTGAAAAAAAAAATGTATAAATAGTACATACCTAATTAATAAAATCAATTTTTGTTCTGATTCCCCCCGCCTCCGTTTTGTGAGGAAATTATCTTTGATTTATATGCGAGAATTTTTATTGGTTGTTAATCAAACTGCTAAATTAAAAAAAAATCCGTTTTTTTAATCTACCTGCCTATAATAATATTCTTTCAATTGAACTCAATAATTCTTATAGTAAACGTGCCGAGGTGCACAATGTGTGTTTAGTGTTTAAACGCGTGTTTTCCTATACTAACGTATTTTTGAGTTGAACAAATAAGATTAAAGCCCTGATATAGAGTAATACCTTGAATACAATAGTGATTATAATAAATTATAATATTGCGTTATGTGCGATATATGTGATAAAAAAAAAACAAAACAAAACAAAAAATGTCCGTACGGTTCGACCGGATCACTACCGGTAGCGATCGAGATATGAGAATTCGAAAAAGTCTTGAATCTATCCGAAAAAAATATCTAAACTTAAAAACCACCCTTAAAGTAAACTAAAATAAGCTGTTTTAGTATAATGGGGACTGGTGCAGCTACTGTTATAGGTTGGTAATTTAATGTACATTTGTAAGCAACGATAAACCATTGCTAACGAAAAAACGATTCTGAGCGGAGTTCAGTTGACAGTGTTGCTTTGTCACCATTACATATATATATATAATATTATGGTAAAATAATTACATATGCATTATATATTTTCTTTAATAATATTTGTTTAATATTGTACCTATTTTCTTGTTTTTCATACTTTTTCCTGGTTTTTCTTATTTATTAGTAAGGTATGACATAAAGTGAAATTTAATGTATATCAGTAAACAACAATTAATCTTTGCTAACAAAAAACGATTCTGAGCGGAGTTTGATTATATATGTTTCGAAAGGCCGAAATATGTATTTATTCATATTTATTTTCTTTCAGAAAAAGTGCTATTATTGAAAATTGGAGCAAAAACAGAAAATTTGTCTACAGAAAATAAAAAATCAAAAAAAAAATCAATATCATTGTAAAACCATAAGCTTCATCATTCCAATCAGAATCTAAAATTGAAGAAACTATTAAATAATAATGCAATACAATAATATAATAGGTGTTATGTTTTCGAATTAAATGAAATCAGGGCGAAAAAACTAAAAGGAGGGGTAGTATACATTTAAAGTTTGACCATCCGATGATTTGAGTCTGCAGAAACGCACACCTGTTGTAATGGTTATTGAGATAAATTTATTTTGAAAAAAAAAACCATTTGTATGAAATGTTAAAACTCGAAAGCTCTCACCGGAAGGTATAGACGTGAACCGATCGCAGGTTTACGTTTATAGTTTTCATTTTCAAATGCGTTTAATCAACTCTTAATGCACTTTTACACTTTGTACGGTTTTCATTAATATTAATTGTATTTTAGTGTTTTTGATAGTATATTACAATATTACTACAATCGCATATGTGCACGACATAATGTATTATATATTATAATCGGAACACAAATTTACATAACAATAAATTATATTAATGTCGTCAAAATATGAGAAAATAAAACACGACGGCGTACGAAGTATCGACTTTACATTTTTAGTTTGTTTTTACTGTACATTTTTAATTATCCCTGAAGAAATCATATAATTATATTTAAAAATTTTTATCGTTGGACGTATTAACAGAACCAACGTGAAAATCGACCCCCCATGATATATTTTACCGGTGGGTTAATATTTACTGGAGAAATTTTACTGGTGTCAGGAGGGCTTAAATATTAGGGGGTCAATTTTCGTAGTCATACCAGGTCTTGATTACGGGTTTGTTGGACCGTTAAAACGAATTGCTAAAATTAATTTATTAATATAGTTTTACTTTGGTGTTTTTTCCCTCGGAAAACTGTACATATGAAAATAAATGTTTTTTTTTTTTATCTTTTAATTTTATTGATTTCTGGATTCCCCAATTATTATGGTTATACGAACGCGCAAAATACGAATAATCGCATTCTTTATTTTTCCGCTGTTGTACATTACAATCATTACACGTATTCTGATCATGTCTAAAATTATTATGGAGGTACATAATATTATATACTTACGACGGATGAACAAGTGAAATTTCCAAAACAAGTTCCCTCGGTAAATCGAAATAGTCCGGATCGTGTCCGTTAGCCGACAACACCAGAGGCAGTAAATCCCAACGCGTGCCCTTTCCACGCCAGCCCAGTTTTATGCACACCTGAAAAACGAATTTTGAATATTTAATATTGTATATTATTATATAAGAACATAATGTGTAATGACACGATAAATATGTATATAAATAAAAAGGCAATGTCCGAGTTAACTATCACACAGAAATGAACCTGAATTTTAAATATCGTGTACTTTTATGCGTAGATTATATAATTATTGTCCTAAGTTGATATCAGTGAATTGTGATATGTAATATCTTTTTCAAAATGTTGGTGGGTAAATATCTACGCTAAAATTGTGTTCATTATGCTTATAAGTTATAACTATTAATTAATTATTTATTTATTTATTATTATTAACCTAAACTTTTATGTTACATGTAAATATTATTATTGTATTTTCGTATGCACCTACAGGAAAATATCAGATAGTAGTGGTTATATCCCAGTTTGCAGGTAGGGGGGATTAGCTAATTTAAAATCTAACGGGGTTCATTGGTTTCAACCCCCTTATCTTTGTTGAAAATATATTACTCTAATCAGTACGGAAAATATTCAAATGTAGGTGATTTTAATTGAAAAAATTGACGATAGAACATTATAACAATTCCCGTCGAAAGTTTCTGAGCGCGCTCCTGTTCAAGTCCTCCTATATTTCAACAGTTCATGGAAAAGTATTTCATATTTAAAATAATCGTATTTATTTTAAAATAGTTACTATATTATACTAATGCAAATTTAACAACAATCTTTTGATAGTTAGATACTAATATAAAAAAAGGAAAATTCCAAGGGGGGGGGGGAATCACCGACTGTCCTTTAGATATCCACCTCTGATATTAGACGAGTATGCGATATGGTATTAATAGTATGGTTCACACGGATCGACGTAAATTTTGTTATTATTTTAAATTTACATGCATAGTCTTTTGTAACGTACGTCTGTAAATTCCACGTTCATCGGGTCGCCAACAATCGTGCCGTTCGGCTGTTTGTATCCGGCGTATGAAATCAGTTGCGCGTTCCAAACGCGGAAATCATGTCGGCCATCGGTCCTTTGTTGAAACACGGTTATGGCCGATCTGAAACACGATGAATAAAATTATATGCGTGTGTAAGGTTAGACGATGTTAGGTGTATGATTGGTTGTTTTCTTTAATATCACGTTCAAAATATCGCGTTTTATGGGCTGAAAAAAAAGAAAAGAAAGAATCACAGTTGCAAATGAAAAACGATTCTGAGTAAATTTTGGTTATAACATATTTGGAATTTTTTTTTTTATTAAAACCACAGACAAATTTCAATTGTTCGTGTTTTTAACAAATTATTATATGAGTGAATATGAGTTGCTGATAAATATAATTTACACAATTATGATCGTCATTAAGATCAACACAATACTTTAAGAATTATATAGTTTTTAATAACTCTAATACCGTTAGAATATTATTGTAAGTTTTGTAAGTTTTTTTTAAATTTAATACGTCTTGAAAATGCTAATTATAAGTATTCGGTGAAAGTTTTGGATCTTAACCATTTCTTTTTTTTTTAACACTGAATGACAACAAAAAAATAAAAAATCTAAAATCGAAACTGTTATTGCGTAAATACTGAATATATTCCGATTTGTTCCACTATCAATAAAACTTCAAGAAAAATCAAATAATTATTTCACAAATGCGCTAGCCTGCAGAAACCGTTCCAGATTTTGATGATTGAAGCAATAATTTTTGTAAAAAAATCATTTACATATAGAAAAAAAAATTGTATATTCATCCGAGCCCATAGGTTATACAACCAATTTCTCGCTTCATTTAGAATCTAAAAAAAAATCATCGGATTAAACAATTTAAAATTAATATAAAATAAAGTTTAAAAAACCATAATATATAGTTACGTATTAAATATGCAATACATATTGCAATTTATGTATTTTATTAAAAAAACAAACGAAACTATATTCTTGCAAATTTCTATATTATATTCTTAAAAAAGTTTGTCGGAAAAAATATAATTATTTTTTAACGTATCGAAGGAAAACTTAATTTTATAAACGTAATATATCCCGTAACACTCTACCCGAAAGAACTATACTTACGTAAATATCGTTGAAGTTTAAAATTAATATTGTTGGTGCATAATGAACGGACGGTTATACGTAACACATTTTACAGTATAGTATAGTATAGCGTTATAATGACGATGAAACCATATCCGTTTAATTATTCAAAAATTGTTGTTTTTATTTCTTGAAAAAAGAAAACAAATGTTTTACAACATACACTCTATACTCCGTTTAATATTTTGTTCTTGTAGTTATAATATTTGTACAGCACCCCATCGTTCGTTTGGACAATGCGTTTGGAAAATCTCGATGTGCAATTATAAATTGGCAGTCAACGTGACAAAATAAATTTTTGGAAATTGCCAAAATGAATATTTTCCAAAACAAGAACGCGTGGTTTATATGTAAATATAATTAGAGACCAGAATTATATGTACTAAAAATGTGGTAAATACGTTGCAAATATGTAAAGCAAACGGTTTAAAATATGCGCCAAGAAAAAAAAATTGAAAAATATGCTCAAATATGCATCATAAATTTATACTACTAAAAAAAAAAAAAAAAATAGTAATTATTTAATTGAGTTTTTATTTTAATCATGTTATACTGTCAAGTTTAACAAGAAAGTTATTAGAGTAAACAACAATCGACAATAGTACTAATAATAACTCATATTTAAGTATAAAAAAATGTTATTAAACGAAACGTGATAAGTAAAACATCGTGAGTTTATATTACTCTACCAGTATATCACGATTAACATTTTTCAAATTTGCAGTGTAGCTAATAAATAATGGTAACCACTGATATAGAATATAAAATTTTATACCATGTTGACAAAATCATTTATTTTCGCCAGTATTTTAAAATTGTAATTTCCAAAATGAAAAAATGAAATAATTTGATTATTTACCAAGACTGTACAAAATATATACATTTAAACATTTATAATACGTACAAAAATATGTACCCCAACCCTCCAAATATGCAATTATCTACAAAATTAAATTTGGTTTATGGTATCTGTAAAATTTGAAACGCCGACGTTCCAAATCATCATATTGGAGCATAAACTCAGTACGAACATGGTATCTGATGCATAAAATTCCGGTCTCTAAATATTACGTTAAGATTATTAGGTATAGAAATTATAAAGTGAATATTTAAAATGAATGTAATTTTGATTTTGATTGACACTTTTAGAAAAAAATCACTTTCATAAAATTCGAAAACTATTTAAACCACCTTCATAAGCCCCAGTTGATCGAAAATCAAATGATCGTTTGGTTTTAACGAAAACGAGTCAAATTAAATTTAAATCGCAACGTATAGAACGAGGTTGGTATTAAAAGTGAGGGAAACAAAAAAACGTGACGAAAAAATACAATTTTTGAATTAATTTCGTTTGACTGGGTTCAAACTAACAAGTGTTTATGTTGTAAATACAGTCGTATCGTCTTCGTTGAATAGAAAAAAAAAAAACACGCGACAAATATTTTTCACCGCATTACATGGTTTGCTGTAGGAGAAAAACGTAAAGACTTATCCTTTCAAAACTTTACAAGTGACTGCTGTTGAAACTTTTCAATTCGCCTTTGGAACTTTACGCGTTAAAATGTGTAAACACAAAAACTGCGTAAACTGCGACCGGAAATAAAGTCTACGCGGCTTTTGTAAGAGTAATCTTAAAATTCTTAGATTGATGAATTTATTTTTCGCTATATTTACGTATCACGTTTACACTTGCAGTATTTAGACTTACGAATTTCGCGAGAATTGCAATTTTCTAGTGTCTACCTATATATTAAAATCAGGGTCGCGAAGTGTTTTAAATTAAAATATATTCTGAAAAATGAAGATGTTTACATAATATTTTATTGATTCCTTCGTATTTCCTGAAAATAGAATGTAATATAAATGTAAAAATTAATGAAAATAACCAGTTCCTATTACTTTTAGATACTCGTATAAAGTAGTAGCAATTTTGTCATTGTTATTTTGTTCTTAAATATTTATATTCGAATTCTATTTATAGTTAACTAGTATTATGATATAATGTTTATAAAAAATAATGATTAAAATAAAAAAAAAAACCTTTTTTTTTAAACGTTGATTTCAATATTACATATAGATGTCTTAATGTATAAATATTTATATTAGTTATAGTGAGATAAACGACTTTAAAGTTTTAAAATAATGTTTATTTTTGATATACCCATATATTTATAATAATATGTATTGTTTCGATTTCGGGATTGACTGTAAGAATGGTTAATTTTGGATACTACGCTCATTTTGTTCGGAATAATTGCGAGAAATTTAAAGTTTGTACCAACAAAACTGTCTTAACGATAGAAAGTTCTTCGTCTTCATTGGTATTCCTATATGCAAAATTCATTCTGCTTTGCGTCTCAGTTTGTGCCCGTCGTATATATTATATTTATTATAATATATATCGTTATAATGCGTGCCGTATTAAAAGCCCGTGAAATGGCAGAAAACGCAGGAAATTACATCGCATCGTAGGTATACGTACCAACGCGTATACCCGATTTATAAAATATTATAAGTATATCACGAATAAGTTTTCGGCAGTTGTAGATGCGATCTAAGATACAATACAAGTTGATTGTCGATTTCATAAAAACACGCCGTTTCCTTAAACATGACCGGCAATTTAGTGCGTAAATCGGCTGTTAAATATTAATGTTAAGCGCCATCAGTGGAATTATTTTGATTTTTCAACGATATTTCAACGATAAGAAACGTTGTTTTAAGAAATTATTATACATTGGTTATTTGATACCTTTCAAAAGCGTTCACAGGTCGATGTCGTTTACACTGACTTTTCTAGAGCTTTTGACTCAGTTACTCATAAAGTTCTGTTGAATGTTTTAGAGATTATCGGGTTTAAACCTTATTGTTATGGTTCAAATCTTTTTTGCTCAATAGAAAATAATGAGATAAGGTATACTACTATTCTGAAATACAATCTATAGCTGTGGAAATTTTTCTTACTTTTTTATTATTTTGTATAATGCATAGTAAATGAGGTAGACAAATATTAAATACATTTTATTAAAGCTAAACAAAACTTAACAACTATAAATGTGTTTTTTTTTGTGTGTGTCTGTGAGCAATTTTTCTACCAGAAACTTGCTCTTAAGTATCAAGTTAGCACCTTTTCTGAAAAGTAATTTTTTTTGGTTGGTGCATTGAGAAGGTCATTTTTTGATATTTAAAGTATATTTCATAATGAATGGGAAAAACTAAAAAAAAAAAAAAAGGACGGACATACTTCGCATGTGGGTGCAGGCACTGTTATAGGTGTAAATTTGAGAAGGTAGGATACAGACGAGCATTTAATGTAGATTTGTAAGCAACGATAAACCATTACTAATGAAAAAACAATTCTGAGCGGAGTTCAGTTGATAGTATTGCTTTGTTAACAATATAATATATGATATATGTCATATTATGTTAAAATGATTACAATAATGATTGTTTAAAAAATATTAAAAGAACAAAAACTTAATAATAACAAAAAATAAATAAAAACGGTTGTCAATGACAACTTTAATTTTAATATTTCAATCTTTTTTAACCTAAAGACCAAGATTTTCCTCGTTGTCTTGAATACTAATGAAAATTTCAAAAAAATGTCCTTTTTAAAGTAACACCCACAGAACATTTCCTTTTAAAAAAGGTTCTATACATGATAATCGGAGTATGTTTCTGGTAGAAAAAGTGTTCACAGAAAAATAAAAAAAAAAAATAAATATCATTGTAAAACCAATATATTCCTTGTTCCACTCAGAATCTAAAAACGAAAAGTACAAATATTTTAAAATTACGAAGACATTCAACAATTTCATTATTTAAAATTTGTACGGCTTATGTTTCCTAACATAAATATTGCTCCAATAGAAAAATTACAAGAAACCATTTTTGTTGCATTTTTATTCAAGAGGGTGACTAAGAAAGTTGTTTTTTTGATTTTCTGTGTAGTTTTTTTAATTATGGAGCAACACCGAAAAACACGTGGAAACTACTGGTAAATTTACGAAAATATTCGTTTTATTATTTTAATTTTTTTGTTGTAGTTCAGTTAAAGATCTTCGTAGAAACTTGAAATTCTGACAGAAAACTTATATTTGCTTTCTCTAGATGTAGTAAAATTTTGAAAACCTTTTAATTTTGAGAGTTTTTTACGTTATTTTTATTTGGTGGTACTCTGTGGATAAAATTGTTAAATTAAATAGAAATGCTTGAAAATATGACAGGAAGTTCATTAAAAGTCATATTTAGGGGCAAAAAGAACCGCAAAAATTATATGTAATGTAGTATTTGTTTAGTTTTATTATATTAGATTTATTTAATTAAATTTTGACGAAAATTGTAAATATTACGACGACCTTTCAAAACATGTAGAAACGAACTTTGATCCGAATCGTTTTTCGTTAGTTATGGTTTAACGTTGGTCATAGGTATAAATTTAACAACTTAATGTATCTCACTTTCCCAACTACACACCTACTACAGTGGCTGCATCTGTCCCCTGTGTCAGATTTTTTTTATATAACTTTTTGTACACAGAAAATATACAGATATGGCCACCTTGGAATCTAAGGCTTAGATCTAAATCCAGGTGTCTCTTATAGTTCTTGTCCAGTATAGAGAATAATCAATAACCATTAGTATTGTTATTATTAAATATTTAATATATATGAATACATATTTTCATGAGAAATGAACCTACAAGACGTTAAATGTTTCATGAAAATATAAACTCTCCTTTAATTTTTGGTAGTTTTTATGTTTTTAATTTTTATTCTGAATTTGTATTTATATATATTTACTGTTATAGTGTTATTTACTTAATTTTTTCTAAATGGCTTACCCATATTTGTATACTAAATAAATAATATTTTAAATTTTCATGATAAATAATATTATCAAATATGAAATAGAATCATCTAACAACATATTTTATTAGAACCTAGAGCATTTAGTATCATACATAGCTAATATACTTTTGATTTAATTACGACTGAGAGGGAAAGAGGGTCTTTTAGGTTTAAACAATCAAAATATTCTCTGGTTATGCACTTGCGTTATCTTAGATTAAAATTTTAAAAGCTCAAGACACAGAATTGTTTATTTGATTTGCGTATACATCGAATTCCGAATTATTCATGTTCAAATATTATGATAGTCTTCGTATACAAATAGTAAATACTGATGTCAAAATATAAGAATATTATGTGCGCGTTTTTAAATGTTTTTTTTTTTTTTTTTTTTTGTATGTCCTTTCTTGCTGTCGTAGTGGCATTAGATGTGACAGTGCGTTACAAATTTACAATAGCTAATAAAAAAAAAAAAAAAATATTATTTTACAAGTGTTGCGTGTATGTACCTACATACGAACATAATGCTGCCGTCGCCGAATAAGATATGTTTTAACGCGGCGCGTTATTGTACATCCGAAAACCGACGGGACACGGGAATATGCGCGGCAGTTGACAGGAACTCGCGCGGTTAGTGCTACTCAGTTCTTAATGCCCGCACGGTGACCGATCGGTTAGGTTAGGTGATATTGGTACCGTATGGCCGACGGTTTAATCAAACCTGTAGAATTTCATTCCGTACGCGCGTACCGCCACCGTCACGGGCGCTGTCGTCGGTACACCCATTATAATATCATGTATATATGTGTATTTATATATATATATATATATATATATGTATATATACATTATGTGTAATAGAGATAAAGTGTGGAAGAAGTAGGTATAATATTATTATCGTGGTGAGCGCACTGCCGCGCGGCGCGTATGCAAATTGAATGATTAAACGCGCCCGCCGAATTCGGACCCCGTTCGGCGATCATAATATATTTTATACACACCGCCACCACCGCCCACCGCCACCACCGCCCACCGTCACTAACAACAACTTCGGCGGCGCGTATAGTATAACGATAAAGGGTTCGAAGAGAGAGCGAAGAATAAACCGTGACGGCATTCGCGGTTCCGGAATATGTTTAATATGCTAATGATATATTAGACGCATATATTGCGTTTGTTCAACACCGCGATTCGTGTTCTTGAGACATTTTATGCGTCGAAGGAGCGGAGATGAGAGGAGCGGAGAGAGCGATGTTAATAAATGATTATTATCGCTTTCGTGTCTATAATATATACTGACCTGATGTTACCCTTGTTCGTGCTGTACTTGATGTGATTGCAAATCGCTTCAAACATGTTGCTGGTCGTGGTCACCGATCTGCAGTCGAACACCTGAACAATAACGAACGGGAGAAAATGTCAATATAATTAATGCTCATAATTATTTGTCATTAGTCGCAAATACGGTAAAGATACAAAGACGTATATATAAAAAAAAAAAAAAAGATAATGATTTTGAAAATACTTTTCAGAGGAAATAAAAAAAAAAAAAAAACACTAGACCAAAAAAAAAAAAAAAACCAAAAAACGAATATATTAATAAGGGTGGGTAATATTAAATGCGTTTTCCACTCCATTAAACCTAATAATGTTATTTTTGTTTGATTTTATTGCTGTATAATCAGTGGCGGTTTCAGGAATGTCTATTAGGATGGATGGCTATAAATAAACTGATAAGTTATTACTATACTTCATATTTAAACCATTTTTATTTAAGTTAATACATATACAAAATAAGATCCGTTTTTCTTGATTTTTAAGCCAATGCATAAAGAACTTCTTCGGGATCAATATGTATACTGCATGAAAATGAGTTGTTATTTGACAGCATAAGATTTTGCAGGATATCCGCTACATAAAGATCTACGTTTTAAATATGCAAACCAGTCTGTTTTCTTTTTGGACGGATTTTATAATAAAATAATATATAATTGTTTATTTTTTTTTTCTACGGTTTTATGATGACGGTATATTAAAAGCTTGGGTATAGCTAAAATGTACGAATAATTTTTAGTTAGTGTAAACCCATAATGGACTAGTTTTCTTATAGGTACACGCGTACATCCAAAAGTAGGGATCCCGGTATACGTTTTATATCCACGTATAGGTACCCTTCAATACACTACTGCATACATATAAGATTGTCACCTCCCCAGGTTTCACCAGGATACTTCGGTTTTGGATATAAACCTACGAGCTACGGTCATATCATAATTGTATATAGATAAGCAACGAGAACAATATTTTTCATTTGCCAAAATATGCGAGGACTGAGAGGCGTCGTCGGTCCGAACGGATCAAGATAGATAGGCTGATATAAAACCTAGTGCGAGAGAGTAAATTTGCACTCCGATTAAAACACTCCATTTAATATCTCATGTGTTTCTGTCCTCAAAATGAAACCCCACTCACTGGAACGCGCTTTTGTGCTGAATTTTCTTTATAGATTTATAAAGATTGTCCGTGATACATATGGTACATACAAACAACTAAAATCATAACCCTTCGTAGTCGGATAGCAAGAAAAATTTTAAGATTAAAGAAATACAAATTGTAGATAAAAAAATAATGTAGATTGTCATAATGTAACCAAAAAGAAACGGCTGCGGTGTGCCTATCGTATGTAGAACCTGTTCACTAGTAAAATCATTTACCTTTTCACTAGATAAAACCGTATTTATGGCTTTTCGATGGTTTTGTTTATAGAAATAATTTTTTATATTGCTGTAACCGCTATTATGATATTTCGCAGTACACAATATAAGGAGATATAGAAGTTGGTTATATTTAGATAAATTTATTCTGTAGACTTGAATTAAAATTTTAAACACACATTTTCTACGTAGTCGGCTCAATGTACAAAAATGTATAACCATATTTACCGTTTGGGCTGTTTGATAACTGTGACTGTGAATTATTGTAATATTTTGTAATGCGGATAATATGCTTTATTCACTTTCCATTACCTTGTAAATCATAACGCGGCACAACTTTGACATCAAACGATTTAACCACGCTGCCCATAGTTTATAATAATTATCTATGCTGATCCCACAGACTATTTTATTACTATCAGTTGTTGCTTGATTATAATAATAGATATGTCGATTGATGTAACCATTAGAATTTATATTATATTATATTCAATCGTGGTTCATCCCATTTTGGCAAACCATTATCTTGTACTAATATGCATTAGGTCGAACCATAACATATAAATTAATAATCAAATTTAAAACAAGTCCGACACTGATAATGAGTACTATTGTTTGAGGAGGGAAGTTCGAAGAGAGTAAGTATAGAGTAATTTAATTTAAATCTTTACGAAAATTGATTCTGAGTAGAGTATTATTAGTCGTATTATTCTCCTTGTTGGAAAATAACTCAGATATTCACAAAATTAACAACACAAATTGGTAGTTTTTCTTATTTTTTAAGAAAAATGCAAAGAAAATAAAAAATGACCACTCCAATGCACCAACTAGATCAAATTCCTACAAAAAAGTTCCCATACATTTTTAATTGAAGACAAATTTCAGGTAAACAATTTTTTACATAAACAAAAAAACACACAGAAAAACCCATACATTCCTCGATTTTCATAGAATCTAAAGTACAATGATTTTGTTAAATTTTAGATTCTGAGTGTATCGAAGAATGTAATAGTTTTATAAGGATTTGTATTATTATTTTTTTTATGTAAACACTTTTTCTACCAGAAAGCTTACCAGAAAGCTACGTATTTTTACAACTCTGACCCTCGCCTATAACTGCTTATTGTCGTTAGCTGTCTTGTCCTGTTCTTCCAAACTCACACTCTATATTATTTATACTTATCCTTAATCCCTTTCCTACTCTCTATCATTCAAGCCTGTTGTTAAATTATTCTAGATTTTCTCCTATTAAATATATATCATCTGTAAACTTCATGCACCTATTGCACTGATCCAAAATGAGATAATCTGCCAAAGTTTGATTTAGAACTCCTCTTATTGCTTAACAGAATTTTTAACTGGTTGTTAACACCTGACACAAGCTCAAGTGTTACTGTAACGTTTATAACAATTTTTTGGCCAGGTTACATATAATTCAACCTTACACAACCGTATTGCAAGATTTTTTAAACAATCGAAGGAATAACGGAGTCACACGAAATCGTATATAATAATATAAGCAAATTGATTTCAAAACATATAGGAAAAAAGTGTCGTGCGATGCATTTTTTGTAAACGTTTATTCATAATAATAATATATTTTTCTCGCTCATATCTACTACATCGCGACATTCTACGTGTCGCGTAGTATAGTTAAATTCATTTTTTAATATGTCAGAATGAGATTATAGACGTTTTTCTTGCGATAACCGCACTGACAACCGACCTACTTATCATTGGTTTATCCAAACGTTTTCTTTTGAATCCCTTTCGAATAGCTCGTTCTTATAGGTTTCTGTTAAATGCATCTATACAATACTACACAATACTATAATACTGACGAGTGACGACTGCTAGGAGGAGAAAAAAACTAACTATGTATATGGATTTGATTGAATTATCGAACAATAATTGAACTATAAGAATAGTGTCGAATTGCTCGCAACTAATATAGTGCCGTGAAACTAAAACAGTAAAACACTAATAAAGAAATAACTCTTAAAAAAATCATATAATTTTCTTTCACTCCCACAAAACACTAAAAATTTCAAAAACAGCAGAGAAACACAATAAATTATATATTTTCTACAGATTGGTTGTTAAAAAAAGAACTAATTTTGCTGATGGTTGTACTACTGTGGTAGATGAGAAGTTAGGAAGGTAGGGTACATAGAGTTATTTAATTTATATCTGTAGACAACAATAAATTATAGCTAATGAAATACGATTTTCAGCATAGTTCGATTAATCATATTTTGAAATACCGTGATATTTACGATTTTGGACAATAATTGAATTTAAAAAAAAATTATACAAACTACTACTTTATGCTTAACGTTTTGTAACCATTAAGTACAACTTATGATGAACTTGTGTAAAATCATAAATTTTTTCGGCTAGGCTAAAACAAATTTATTCACATAAAACCAAAACAAATTTAAAAACTAGAAAATGTTAAGTGCTCATAAATATTTCGAGGACCACTGACATATTACCACGTTTAAAATATAAGTATTTTGTGAAAATTTCAGATCAGAACAAATAATTTTATTTTAAAGCGAATTAGGTACTACAAAAAACCTTACTGAAAATAATCAGACCATTATTAAAAACGATTTTTTATAGAAAAATGTTTCTTTCAAGAAAGATGGTACAAAATTCGGAGTAAGATTGCTGGTAGAAAAGTTATTCCAAAACTATAAAAAAATAAATCTAACAACACTATCATAGATAATATGTTTAAACATATAATATATCGAAGTGGCGAAATCTTGAAATCGTAATGCATTTTTTTGTTCAATAAAGTAAAAATAATAATACTTTTCAACCGGATGTTTTTTTTATTTCTGGATTACTACGGTACAAGATAGTTATTGTTCTGTAAGTGGTATTGGAATTTTTTTTTTATCTCGAAAAACACTCATCAGATGCGATATTATAGTTTCATATACGACAATTTCTTATAGATCACGGGTAAATTGTACATCATATGTCAATAAATTGCTTAAAATATATCATTTTTTTGTTTGTTTTAATACGCGTTAAAATTTTTTAGCGGAAGTTACTGAATCGTATTTGATTTTCCTCGTATGTATAACACAGTTAAAATGTACACCTATAAAGTATAAATATTATTTTTTCCTCAAAAATGTATACAGCCCGGTAGAAGTGTGGCTGTGTGGCAACACAGTTCAGATTATATAATATAACATTATAAAGTTGCTGTTGAAAATTCGTAATATTTAAGTAATATATTTCGTACATTTCCCTTTTTTTTTTTCGGTTTTTCGTTTCTCATTTGATGATAAAACTCTTAAGGAAATCAAAAAATGACCTCCTAAAGTACCGCCCCACGCCGATTTCCTAAAAAAGTTGCGCACAGATAAAAAATAATAAAAGGCCTATTTTTTACAATCATTGTAGTTTTTTCCACGCCAACAATTTATTATAATTATTAAAAGAAATAATACTGCTAATGGATATGCCATTGTTGTAGGTGGAAAGTTAGTATGGTGGAATAAATAAAGTTATTTAATTTATACCTGTAAACAACGATACACTATTGCTAACGAAAAACGATTCTGAGTGAAGTTCGTTTACTCATGTTTTTAAAGGCCGTAATATTTATGATTTCCATTAAAATTTGATTTCAAGACAATTTTAAAAAAAAGTTATTACATATATTCTATTTTAAGATTTGGAGCGTTACAAGAGATCTATTGGTTTTACTAAGATGTTTATCTCTTTTTTTTTTCTTTTTTCTTTGTTCTAGTCTGTGGATATGTTTTTTACTAGAAAACTTGTTCCAATTTTTACGTTTAGCAAATTGTATGTAATATCAAGTTCTCTAAATGGTTCGTTAAATAGGTAATTTCTTGATTTTCGAAGCCATTTTTCAAATAAAAACACTTGAGTGGGAAAAAACGTAGAGAAATGTATAGTTTCACGATTTCATTAATTATAAAAACACGAACGACGTTTTCTACTAGAAAAAATGATTTAAACAAAAAAACACAAGATACCTTTTTTGTTGCCTTTTTGATTTGCTTTCTTACGGTTACATTCGCCAAAACTTTTGAGCTTTTAAAGAATTTAAATTTTTGGGAGTTTTTTTGCTTTTATTCAGTTATAAATACATGTAGAGATTTGAAACTTGGTAATAATACTTATATTGAACTTACCTAGATGTATTAAAATTTCCAAAATCATCGGACGACATTTTTCAATAAGCGTTTTGAAATTAAATTTAAACGAAAATCGCAAAAATTATGTAATACCGAACTGCACTCGGAATCGTCTTCCGTCAATCGTCTTTCGTTTATCGTTGTTTACAGATACAAATGAAATAACCTTATGTATTCTACCTTTCCAAATTTTCACCTTCAACAGTGTCCACTCCCATTCCGAGTATTAATTTTTATTTCCTTTGTGTCTGTAAACAACTGGTTTAAAATTAATCTTTCTCCGGTGTATAGAGTGTAGCACTTTTTTTTAAAAGTAATTTTTTCTAGTTGGTGTTTTGACAGGTCATTTTTTGATTTTCAAAATGATTGGGAAAAATCGGAAACAAAGTTATAGGTAAAACGGTCAATATTTACGGCGTGCTAAGGTGTTATCGATTCCATTGTTTTTAATTTTTGTAAACTTTGTTTTCTGCCAGAAATATTTGTTTTAATCAAAAAATGCCAAAAGACTTTTTTTGTTGAATTTTGGATAAAGTTGTTAAGTAATTAAGTCACTTTTTGATTTTTCCAGATTTTTTTATAATAATTGTGGAAAACCGATTAAAAGATGAAAAATGTACAGCTTATGATTTCGTTACTTAAAATTTGTATGATTTATGTTTCCTATTAGAAATATTCTTCTTTTAATCTAGTTGGTAGGTTAATTTTTATTTTCACTGTGGTTGTTTAATATTTGAGAAAAACAGAAAAAATATAGAAAAAACAGGAAAATGTACAAAAAAAAAAAAAATGCTTTTATTATTTTCAATTTTGTTTTTTTTGTTGTAATTCAGTAATCAATATTTGTAGAGACTTTTCGACCACAAAAAACTACGTAAAAAAAAAAAAATTAAAAAATGTAGTTTAAAAATATGTTCAGAATATGTTGAAAAATGTTACTACAAATCTAGTAAAGGTAGGCAAATATTAGTTTTCTGTCAAAATTTCAAGTCTACAAATATGTTTGACTAAGAAAATGACTAAAAAATGATAGCTAAACAAAATATAGTAAATTCAACTTTTTAATAGTTAAAATAATTAAAATGATATAATAACTATGACTTTATAACTGTAATCGTTTTTTATGGTAATATTTACTATATTTTATGGTTACCACATATTTAAATACTTGAATTACCTAACAAATAAAGTTAATGTACTTGTAATTGCATATTGTTTCGCGATCGGTTGTGGATTTATGATTTATCTCTTTTTTTCAACCTTACCATAAATTACGATAGTATTATGCCTACAAGTATATACTAGGTATGTAATATATTCTCTGTGACGGTCATAGACTTATAAAATTTAAAACATTTATGTTAAAACAAAATAATATCTTTTTAGGTAGTGTAAACTATTAACGTGTCCGGATTAACATTTATACCAATAAAATAAAATATGATACGTTTTATTTACTACCTGTTATCATTATTAACTTAGGATTGAAAACTGTACAATAACTAAGGTAATACTTGGTTGGTTAATTTTTTTGGGGGGGAGGGGGAAGTACGTCCGTACGTATGCCGTAAATATTTGCTGTTAGTTTATAATTTTGTTTCTGGTTTTATCCAATTATTATGAAAACTCTTTAGAAAATAAAAACACGGATCCTCAATGTACCAACTAGATAAAATGTTTGGATTTTCAAAATTTTTCGGATTTTTACAATCATTTTGAAAACCTATTGGAAAATCAAAAAAATTACTTCTTCAATGCACTTACTACCTAGATACAAAACGTAAAAAATTCCATAAAAAAGGTATCTTGTCATCTTTAGATTGGAGCAAGTTTTCTGTTCGAAAAGTTGTTACAGACAAAAATAACACACATCATATAATTAAACTAATAGGTTCCTCACTTGGCTCTGAATCTAAAAAATAAACGAAAAATTATATCAAAAAGAGTTAGAGATTGGATTACGCAGTGCTTTAAAACCGAATAAATCGAACAGCCCGTTTTGAGAAATAGACAATCTAAACCCAAAATGGCCGATCATAAATTTGTATTATGCGATGAATTGCATTTTATAAACTCGAAAGTTTATTCGGTGCAATTAACATTTTGCGTACAAACCGATAACAGATACTAAAAAAACATTCGAATTGTAGTATTAGACTATTTAATATTCGTATATAGATAAATGATCGTTAGCAGAATTACAATTAATAATATTACATAACAATAATACACAACATTTAAATAATAACACTCACTGCCGAGTAGGTATTTAATTATTATACCGCGGGCACTCGTAAATTCGTTTGCAAGACAAATATAATAAAATTCCGAGACCCGGTGTAGCTGCTTTGCAAATAAATCCGATAAATACGAGAGTTTCTAAGTGTAACTAGTATTTATAATACGATGACGAAAAGTTAGAACGAGCTAGGCAAAACTGAAAATGAAAATCGATACATTCTTAAACCGTTATATTGGTGATTGTATATTACAGCCGTAGGTATAGCATAATAATGTACACTGTTGTTTTGGAATATTCTAAAAACGAAATAAGCAAATTAATAATAATATTATTAAATAGACACGATGTATTTATATTTAATAAAAACCTAACCTAATCTATTTGCTTCTTCGTCCAACAACAAATTCAAAATTCATATTACCGTAGCCCTGTAAAATTAAACATTTTTCGTATGGCCTCATATTGATAAAGAATACAAATAAAATAAAAATCTGCTTGAATTTAATTTATCGGTAAGAAAAACTTGTACGATGAACTTTATATTAGTTATATATAATAATTTTCTAGCTTTTAATCTTAACCAAAGAATATTTATTTGGCGTTAATGGAAAGGTATGGAGTAGTAGTTATTTTATTTATTTACTTTTATTTTGATAATAATTGGGCTTATGGCAAAGTTTTTTTCAATAAGTATAAATAAGGTAGGCGCATTGTAGATACATTTGGTATTCTATAAAATAGTTTTAAATAAATATATAGGGATGACCAAATCGAAACAATACGGCTGAACTATTAAGACGATAAAAGAGTGATACATTTGTTATGCATATAAGGCGTGTGATTGCAGTGGAGTTTATTTTATAGTTGGAGAACAGATTAAGAAAGTAAAAAAATACATAGGAAACGTATTGAACGAACGTAAATTAAAAAGGAGAGATAGGTGAACTGTATTTGTCAACGAATCAAAAGGTTCGAAACATATGTGAGATTAGGTATGAGCCTGGCCTACGATTCGATAAGATGTTCATGGATGGATTCATTATGAAGAGGGTAGTGAACGTGAAAAATAAAATCATAAACAATTTTTTCTGTGAGTAATGAAATGAGGCGGAATTCACGATAGACTATAAGTTAATGCTGATTTTGAATGCTTTACAACAGGTTTCCTCTATATAATATTATATTTACGTCTCCGTGTGCGAACCAAGTATGCGTAAAGCCTACAGAATCACCGGCAACTTTAAGCGGTTGATCGTTGATGTGTAATGTTAGGTTAGGTTAGGTTGTAACTGAAATATATGGGTTGTGAAACGGATGATAATTACTGCTCAACTGTCATGCGTATAGATACACACGATCAACATTTTATAAGATAATATGAAAATATAAATAATAACTAACGAGTAATTAAAATAAAGAGAAAAAAATCGAATATAATATGATTATGTTAGATGCTAACGACCACACCGATGAGTCGAGGCGTGTATTTATATTAAAAACAATACGTGTAGGCGTGTATATATATATAGGAATTCTGTGCAGTTTAATTAGTGACGTTATTATTATTATTATTCCTTTTTTTTTTTTTTTTGTAAACACTGTTCATTAAAACGCAAACTATTCTCGTCAGATTTTACAAAAAAATAATAATATGTTTTTATTATTTCCTTCGGTATTGCATGCCGACGAAAAACTGCTCTCGGAACTTTTTTTATATAATACGGGTAAAACATCACGAGCGAGTATTACACAAATATTATGGCCAAAAAGTCCTTCAGACATTATATGCCGCGTCCAACTCGAATATTTGAGTTTATCGTTGAATCACAGGAATTGCAGTGTTTTTGAATCATATTTTTTTTTAAGTTCCGCATACAAAAAAATGTTCATAACGTAAAAATATATTTATGTATGACAACGAAAATAACTAACCTGCAATTTAGCCCATTGAATTCGTCCGATACACCTTGCGGAATTCCTCCATGCCAGCTTAGCGCCAAACACCAATTCGGTTTCTGTTAGTTGGTAAGTACCGGTCGAATTGACGTCTTGTTGCACTTGCTCCCACCTGGTTTCATATGCCGGTGTATTGGTTCTGTCGAATAAATAATATAATAATTATAATATTTTTAAGCGTACAGTGGGAGACAGGAGAGGCGACTACCTCCCAAGCGAAATTTTCCACCGTATATTTAAAAAAAAAACGTATTAGTTATACCGATATACACTAAAAAAAAAAAAAAAAAAAAATTGAACCCTCACGTAGTATCCTTAATTTTATAAATTGGCACAAACAGGGGACGCCTACTTTTTGAAAAGAAATCTTGCTCCGGTGTACAAAATATAACACCTTTTCTGAATGGTAATTTTGTTTAGTTGGTGCATAAGATGGATTATTTTTTGATTTTCCAAGGGGTTTTCGAAATAATTGCGAAAAACCTATGTTTTATACCAGAAATATTACACTAATCGAAAAATAATAAGACATCAATTTTTTTTTATTTAGCCACTGACGAAAAAAGTCATTTTTTGATATCTACATTAGTTTTCATAATAATTGAGAAAAACCAAAAACAACGAAAAATACAATTTTTTTCAAATAACGTGGTGTAACGATTTCATTATTATATATTTGTAAGGTTTATACTTTTCTACTAAAAATCTTTATCCAAATTTGGAAAAAGCATATTTTCCAAAAAAAAAAAAAAAAAAATGTTTTCTAGTTTTTGAGTAAGAAAGTAGTAGTTTGATTTTCTGTATAGTTTTTCTGATAATTAAAAAAAACAGGGAGAAAACGTAAGAAATACGGCGTATTATACGGCATTTGGGGTTTTTATTATTCTTGGATTAAAAATTAATGTAGAGACCTGTAGTTTTTAGAAAATATTTATGTTAGACTTTTGTAGATGTGGAATTTTTTAAAATTTTCAAAATATTCTAGCTATTTTTAGGTTGTTTATATGTATTTTTATTTGAAAGGTATCTGTTATTAAAACTATATGACTTAAGAGAAATGTTTGAAAATTTAATACAGGATACATTATAAGTCGTACTTAATCGGTCTAAATTACAAATTTGAGTTTAATGTATTAGTGTTCTTTTCATAAGCATTTTAAGATCAAATTTTGTAAAAAATCCTAACAATTAAGACATTTCAAAATATGTCTAACCGAACAGTGCTCCGAATCGTTTTTCTTTAGCAATAGTTTATCGTTGTTGTGTACAGATATAAATTAAATAACTGTAAATATACTACCATATTGACTTCTCACTTACAAAAACAATGGCGCACCTGTCCCCAGTATCATCAATTTTTAGATTTGGAGCGTAAAAACTATCGGTTTTCTATCGGACCGCTATAATTGTGGTAAAAAAAATACGTAAAACATCATATCTAACGTCTATATCCGAACTCGTGTTATATTATTCTAAGACCATTATAATAATATTATTACTAACCACTCACTCACCAACGTCCGTACCGATAAAAGAATTAACTACAGCTATGTGTGGGCCAATACGAATATCCGGGTGGGCCGTAAAAATAATTTAATTCAATAAATATTATTTCTAAATACACGCCGCCGTCAAAATGAGACGATGTACCTAGTATAATAATATAATAGGTATTATAACAGAAACAACAGCCGGTGGGGAATATTATAAGCTCTCGTCGTCTCGACACGGATTAAGTGACGACGAATTGTGACTGAATGGGCCACCGCGCCTTTGCAATAGCGTCTTTCGCTCTCAATATTATATTAATAGTCCTTTTTCCTTTCTCTCGAGATACCCCGTGCTGCTGCAAATATAATAGTATAGGTATAAGTACCTATACATGTGTCTGAGAGGGTTATTATATAATAAGCTTTGAGATTATTATATGTATATTATATTATAATTACCTTGGTTCGGGTTATATTAATTATGATTTATTATTCGCGCGAACGATGCCGATAACACCACGTTAGGTTATCGTTCACCTCTATTACAGGTATAAGAACGTGTACTTTTGCGTGTAGGCGGACGACGCGTCACGATAGTTGAGATTAACGTGGGCAATATCGACATAATGTATTATGATACATGGTGCACTTTCAAAATATCCCGTGCATTAAAATATCCCATGGCCAAAATATCCTTGTTGGACATATTTCCTATCCAAAATATCCTGTTTACATAATAATGTACATACAATACTATTACAATTCGGGATAGCGGAAGAACGGTTTGAGATAAATCCAAACCGTTTTCGCTGATAGATTTAGAGCTCGTTTGAATACTAGTATTTCGAGGATCCACCTTGTTAGTTGTTAGACGACCTAAATTAGTAGAACTAGAGAGTTGGAGGTGACTATTGAATATATTACGATCATATATTTTGGTTTGGTAAATATAACTTTGTTATGATTTCATTGAAACTATATGCTACTAAATATCTTTAAAATTGACGAAGTCGTATCAGCTTTATTGATTTATGTCAAAAACTACAGAGAATCCGCTCAAATACAGATATGCAGTATAAATAATCTGTGATTGTAAATCCAAATTTTGAAGGTATCAAATATTTAGCGATTGCGGTTGTTTGAAAATAATTTTACATAGTTTATATAGTGCAATGGTTATCAAACTTTTTTTAAACACGGTATACTGTGTTTTTCAAAAATATTTTTTACGACACATGTGCCGTAACTTGTAAATGCATATACCTATTTTCGTATACGTGTGACCAGTCATTGTAACTGACCTTTTAATAAAAAATAATGTTCAAAAGATCTCTGCACACCAGTGTGCTGCAGCATTTAAATTGAAAACCACTGATATAGAGTATAGTATAATCTCAAAATATCGAATATGAATATTTATCGTTTGTCATGATATTGTATATTATATATTATTTTAATATTTTGTTATAGTTATTTCATTTAAAACTCCAGGAGTTATATGCCACAGTTTAAATGAGGGTATTTTGAATACTGGATAATTTTAATAGGGATATTTTTTTCAGAGTGTTTTTTTGCTGTGTGATATTTTTAACGAAAATATTTTGAGGGAAGTACCATGTTTTATATCTATTTATTTATTTAACTTTTTATCTTTTGAAGATAACTGTTTCTGACTGTGATAATACTAGCGTGGAGGCCCAGAATTATATTCGTTTACAAACATATTATTATAGTATTATAAAAACATAAACTAAAATATAATATGATAAAATATTCGGTTAGATTGACAAAAGCTGAAAAAAAAAATATAATATAATAAGATTAATATTTAAATTGATAAAAGATCGTAACTCCATTTTAATAGATCCAAGATTAAAACACAAAAATCATTTTTCCTTCCATTGAATTTATAATTTTGGAGGTACGATCTTTGAGATTTAAGCCAATGATAGAAAACTCATTTATGTTATAGTTCTACACTCTTGTTCATATATAAATCATTGGAGAAAACAATTATTTTGTATAAAGGTAAATAGCATATTGATATTAGCATATTAAGCTTTAATTTGTATATTATCATGTATCCCCCATATTTCATATAAGACTTATATTATTATAAACTTTTTTAACGTTATTCCCGCCAAACTCATATTTGAAAACGGATTGTCGTCGATTTTTTGTCACGGTATACATGATGAAAAAAAAAACGGTTTTGTGTTTTTAATTTCGTCTCGAGAGTCGTCGGTAGTGGCGTGAAATGACGAAAAAAACACGGCAAAAACACTCGTGTGTCTACCGGTCGGTACGGATAACGACGTATATGCATGAGACTTTTGATTAAAATAATATTGTGTCATGCCTATCGCGAAATAAAGAGGCAGAAAAAAAATCTCGAGAAATCGCGTGAGCAAAGAGTTTAGCGTGGCGAACAAGTATAATACTACCTACTAAACGTGATACTGGTGATTTTCTGTGAAACAAACGAGAAAACCTTTAAAAGCGGTTCAAAAAGTTTAAAACGTTCCTATTATCCAATTAAAAGTAAAAAAAAATAATATTTACGTGAAATTACTTTATCGGTGTAAAAATATTTATTTATATTTTGAAATATTTTATTAAAAAAAAGTTTCAAAAAAAAAATTCAAGGTATGAAGGAAAGGTAGGAAAAATTCAAAGTAAAATAAAATAATGACGGACATAATTCGCACGTGGGTTCGCCACTGTTGTAGATAAGAAGTAGGAAAAGTAGAGGGGTAATTTAATATATATCTGTACGCAGTGATTAGCGCTGATAACCATTGATAACGAAAGAACGATTCTGAGCAGAGTTCAGTTGAATGTTTTGCTTTTGTCAACAATCATATACACAATCTAATTATTATTGTAAAATAATTACATACGCATTATATATTTTCTTTAATAATATATATCCAATATTGTACTTATTTTCCCGGTTTTTCCTATTTACTGGGAAAACTTCTGTCAAAATCAAAAAGTCAACCTCCCTAAAGTACCCCGTAGTCAGATTTCCTTTTCGAAAAATTGCTTTCATTGTAAATCGGAACAAAATTGCTGGTAGAAAAGTTGTCCACGGAAAAAAAAATACATATACATAATTTTAAAATGATTCAGTTTTTGTACTTTCGATAATGCGTTCAATATTTACATAGAGAACTGAAAAAAAGTTAATGTGGTCATTTTCAAAATATTGTCGAACGATTCAGTATGTTTGCCTCTTTTGGCAGTATTCCGTGCGTGTGGCCTAAAAAGGTTAATTTTTACTGACTGATCCTTAAACGGCTTAAACTATAATACGATTCCATATTATGAAAATGAGTTCATAGTTGCCAACACGTTAAAAGCCAAGTTTCAGAATATTTACACACAAAACATTACAAAATATTTGTACACAATACTCTACATCATGCTTACAATTTTTAATATTTTTAAAATCGATATGATTTTTCTAGTGCACCATAGACTGTACAATCATATCAAACCACTTAGTTTTATGATATAATTACGTGTTAATAATAATACGCAACTCAAATAGGTGTATCAAGTGTAATTATAATTGTATCACACTACTTATAAATAGTTATTATTTTCGTGGTTCCATAACCTAATCGAGTTCATAATAATATGCATAAGTCATATTATAACATAAGAAATCACGGTAGTAAAGAATGATTGTACGGAAAATTCTATCAGTAAATAAGCAGCAACAATAATGTTATAATAATTTGTTCAGGTATACCATACGGAATCATAATAAAAATCATATAAAATCAAAATTTTATTTAGATGCTTTATATTAAATTTACTTTGAAGGCACATTTTTCTGTTTTGCGTGAACATATTATGATATATTTTTGTACACATTTCATATTGAGATATAAAACATTCATTGAGACAATTGCCCCGGGTTCACCACTCGTTAATTTATCTGAAAGTCAATTCTTATTTATTTCAAAAATTGTTATTCAAATTTTGAGTAGACAGACCTTTTTTTTGAGAGGGTATATGAGGGCATGCTGCAGAGGAAATAGTAAAACGATGATAAATCTAGTACGGGTAGACGAAAGTCAAGGTAGTCCAAAGAAAAAATAGCGCCTAGAGGTTATACAAGAGTGAGGGATACGAAAGGTTAAAACAAGAGTAGTTGGAGACCCCACTTGGGCGCGGGATCAAGATCGAGGAGAAGGAAAAACTATAATAATAATTGTGAAAACAACAACAAACATAGCAAAAACAAATTGACTTACCTACGGTTATTGCATAAAAGTATAGATAAGTATAAAAAAACACGTCAAAGTTTTTCGAGAGGACCACTTAATATATACATTTTTGACTTTTAAATATTAAAATATTTTTATGAAATCATAATTGTATAGTATATAATAATATTATATTCACGTCAACGAAATATTTTTATTATATTGTAAATAGTCAATGATGATTCGGTAACAAAAAGTGGGGCCAGTGGTGGGAGGGTTGTGGTTGTACAGATAGGCAAATAAAACAGACGCAAGTATATATTACAGATGAGAGTTTGTTGATGGAAATGAAAAATTGTAAAAAAAATAATAAATATTATAATACGATTGAAATCATCAACTCAAAATAAATCATGTATTATACAACAATACTTTTTTTGTGTTAATTTGAAAAAAACAATAATACGAGTGAATTCCACAAATAAATACCGAGGTATTATTAATTGAAAACCGAATATATACGGAATGTTTTTCTGCTTGTGACATTGTTTTATAAAAAATATATCCATATGAGTGTTATAAAATTATTATATAATCTAAAACGGGACGTTAAACGTAGATTTAAATAATTATTGATAGGTTCGATATTGAGTAAGTAAGTACACGCTATGAGTGCTGCTTGTAGTGTATTATAGAAATTGTTAATAATTGCTAATCAAATTGTTAAAATTTATAATTAAAAAATTCTAACAATTCTTAACAGCCAATTTAGTCCGCTTTAATTTTGTATGAAAAGGCCTGCGCATGGCCTATTTTTTTTTTTTTGAAAATAGGACAGTTTTAAACTTCTTTGGATTTGAAATTTTGATTATGTAATCCAAAAGTACAAAAACAAAAGAACAAAAGTAAGTTTTAAGCTCTAATTCTTGCGTTAGGAAATATAATTTTTTAAATCCAAGCCCAATGTACTTTGTAGGAAGTCTTTATTTTTCAAGAAAAAAAAAAACGATCTGTATTAGATTACTCTATGAGGTAGGCGAGTTAGCCCTGTAAACCGTGTTTTCGGGCAAAAATAGGTCACGCGCAGTACCCTTAAGGATATAAAATTACAGTCTGGTATCTATTCGCTTTAATAATGACTGTGTAAAGTAAAATAGGTTTGAGGATTATAATTAAAATAGTATAGATAATAATTATTTTCATTCGCCGCTAAGACGTTGCAGTTCGTCATCTTATCTGTTTAGAAATCTTAATATTATACTTTGTGCCAAATAGTGCTTTAAAAAAGTATAAACACTTATGGTGTATATGTATATTACATACTATATAATATATTATGTCTTTTTCCTCCTCGGATTTGCATAATATAATAATCGTACTAATAATTTTCTCATAAAAAGTATAAATATGTAGAATATAAGCTACATATTATAGCTATACATTGTAGCTATAAGGCTCGTTTAAGTTAATAATATTGTTTCGCGGGCGAGGAAAATAGCAATTACGTAAATGCGTTATAATTTTGTACATACGTACACGCTCTACGCATATATGATGAGGGGTAATACGCGGACTATAGTCCCTCTTAAAAGTGCATAAGCCTTTTTATTTGGGAGAAGGGGAGTCATTTTTTATTTATTAAATATTAATACTAATAATAATAATAATATTTTTGTTATTATATTGAACTAGAAAAATTCACTGATAGTTGAAAAATATTTTATTATTTTAAATCGTTCAGCAGTTGATTTCTTGTCACACATTTATTAAAAAGTAAAACCAGTTTATTATTGTTTTTTTTTCTGTTGTCAACTTTTCTATCAGCAATTTTGCTTCGATTTGCAATGATAGCACTTTTTCTAAAAGGGAATATGACGGGGGTGGTACTTTAAGGAAGTCATTTTTTGATTTTTCCACGAGTTTAAAATTATTATCTCATGAACTTCAGTCAAATCGTGTTAATAGTCAGAAAATATATGTCATATTCTAGTAGAGTTAAAATCAAATCAGTTTTTTAAATCAAAATTACAACCATGTAGTATAAGTATTATAAAACATTATTGCGATTGTTAGTACCTAACCACTACACCGGGGTAAAAACGAAAATACAATATTAATATATTTCCATCGTTTAACTACAGTGATTGTTTCAGAAATAAATCGCAATATTATTCACACTTGATTTAATTCCGCTACACAAAGGATATTTTTGTCGAGCGGTTTTTTACAATGGCGGGTTTGTTTTGATTTTGTAAAATATGATATAATATTATAACATAGAGTCCGATTATTGTTTGAAATATTGCAGTTTACTTCGTTGTACGAACGAACGGTATTGATATAAATTTCGACAAAATGTCAAATTATAATATACAGGTGATTAATCCTCGATAAGACATTCGTTATCTCGATAAGTACTAACTTTTTCGACATTTTTTTTGTTTTAGATAATTTAAGAAACAAACGGTTCTAAAATGTTATTTTTGTCACCCTTATTTCCGGGGGCGAAACCATAAATCACTTTTGTTTTTTAAATTGTATCCTTCGTTGAAAATCCTATATCACTGAACAAATTTTGGCCTTGAAATGTTTAATTTCCATCCACTCGTTGACGAGATATTTTAAGTTTGGGTAGTGGGGGAGTAGTGTAGGGCAATATTCAAACGCCGCGCACAGCTCAAAAACAAAATGGCGTTATGTTACTTTTCTCTTATCCAAACGCGACATTTTTATACGGCGACGTAGATACACAACGCCGACGCCAATGAAAATATCGACAGTATAATATGACATTGTTATTGCGTCTTTTTCGTTCTCCTTAAATTATACGTGGTCGCTATATAATATTAATTCGTCGCAGTCGGAGCTTTTATAGAATCCGCGATCGTCCGGAACTAAAAATCTGACGAGAAACGCGAGATCGTAGTCCGCGGGAGAAGATCCAAAAACAGAGTATACGGAAAATAGTGGGTATAGACACTTCAGTATACCTGTGTAATGGTGTATATATATATATATATATATATATATATATATATATTTATCGCGAATATACGTTAAAAGAAAGTGGCTTTTCGAGTCCAAGTACCGGTGTATTTCCGGTCATTTACGTTTCATTTCCTTTCACGTTAACCATTGATCCCTATCCCCGCAGTATATAATAATATAATTCTCGCGGGGGCGTAGTAGGTATATAATAATACTGCACGCACGCCGTCGTCGTCGTAGTCATCGTCTTCGTCGGGTATTCTCTGCAGCAGTCCGTGTGCGATTTATCAGCGGCGAGCAGTTACCACGTATAGCATACCTACCTGTTTAGTATGCTCGCCCGTATACCACGGTTACCGGCCACCGCCATAGTCGTCCCCTCGCGCGGCCTGTCGAGTTTTCAACACCGACGAGAACTTTTGGCTCTGCAGCAGCAGCTATCGAACCGTCGCGATCGTTTAATAATGCGACTTGCAGTGCTGCCGCGCAGCAGCTCTCGCGGACGCGTTTTCGTATATATTATTATGATTATTATCGTTGTCATTACCCGTGTACGGATATATTATTATATAACACCTCCTACACACACGCGAAAATACATGCATAATATGTATAATACGTACCCTCCCCCACTCCCCCGATAATATAGTATATAAATATTATGTGTTGCCTAGCGCGAACCGGCTCAAGTTTTTCCATTATAAATCCCGCGCAGCGCAGTCACGGCGACACGACAGACGAACTTTTTGCACGGGTTTACTTTATTATACCCCGGCCGGGCCCGTCATCGTCGCCGGGCGAAACTTATTTGTACACGATTATTATAATAATAATATACGAGTGTTATAGGTGCGTTCGTATAATCGCCGAGGGTTTCGTCGTCGTCGCGTATAACAACAATCATAATACACGCACAGTCGTGTTAACAGGCGTATGTTACGCGTTATTATAATTTATACGGCTGTGCAGTCGAGCGCGAACCGGGAACGCGCGCTCGGAATCGAATTATTATTATTGCCTCGAACGTTATAATACACACGAGTTAAAGTTCGGTAGAACTAGGTCTGTTCCAGCGGCAGATATCTGTGAACGACGATATCCGCGGATCACCATTCTCCTCTTGGGGTTTCCGTTGCTATAATTCCGTAACTGTCATGCAGTTTGTCTGCATTGTATTGTACCATATTATTAATTCATAAAATAATACACCTTTTGTACTTGAGCCTACCCAGCGTTTACTCGAATAAATAAATAAATAGCACCAGAATTTGTTCTGTTATAATTACACATCTGAATATTTTGGTATCTAAATATTCAGTGTTCTAAATAAGAAATATACCTATATTACGCATAAGCTGTTGAACCAAGGAAGGATTTGGACAGGAACGTGATAAGAAATGTTCAATAAGGGGACGGGGTTATTGGCAATTTTTCAATTAAAACCTCTGAATTTTTCCGAACTTGATATAATTGTGTAATACCGAGTGATAAATTTCTAAACAACGATGTGATGGAAGGGGTTGAACTATGGCTCCCGGGTTTTCAAATCTCCAAACCGGGTCATTTTTCAAAACCTTTTTTGAAAATTTTTATTTTTTTTATACATCAACTGTCATTACTTATTGTCTATTTTTATTATTATACTTTTCATTTGAATCCATTTTCTTCAATAGAGTTGTATCATACCTAAATTTTTTGTAAAATTTGTTACAAAATTCATTTTACAGACCACCATCTCGTACTGTTTTTTCATTCTTCACACCTCTTTTACCCGATCAAGTGATATTCATAAGTTTATTCTCAGCCTCTATATTAACCGAGAAAAACTGAATAACCGGCCGGGACACCGAGATATGACCATAACACCGGGACTGTCCCGGTCGAACCGGGACGAATGGCGAATCTAGGTTGAACCCTATCACCCCTCTCATGGATTTGATTTTCACTTCCACTTCAAAATTGAGATATATAGATTTATTAGATGTATTGATTTGCCTCATCTACCCGTGCCACGTATGTTTTTTTTTCTATCTGTTACCAACTTTTCTACCAGAAATCATGCTCTGATCAAAAAATGATAAGCGAGCTTTTTTGTGAAATATTGAATTTAATTGGTGCATTCGGGAGATCTTTTTTTAAACATTCCTTGTAATTTTCAAAACAATTGAGAAATACCGGGAAAATTGGGCAAAATGACAAATTTACATTTTCTACCAGAAATCTTGTTTCAAATTTAAAATGTAGCATCTAATCCGGAAGCACATTTTGTTTAGTTAGTCTATTGGGTGGTCATTTTTAAGAAAAATGTATTTAAATGTGATTCGTGTGAATTTAATGTAACAAGGCAAAATTATTAATAATTTAAATTTCTTTTTCTTTAAAAAATATAATGGTTCAAAAATAATAATAAAAAAAGAACTGATTCTGGGGTTAGGTGCGACCACTGTTTTAGGTTGGTAGTTGGGAAGGAAGGATACATAAAAAACCTATGGATAAACTGTTAACCATATTCTATATTCAGACATTTCACATTTCATGTTAAAATAAATTGTTTTTATTTACGGTTTCCATTGGGTAAGACTACATTATCCGGGAAAAGTATAATTTACTCATATTGATGTAACATATATTATGTAAAAATTCTTATTATGTTTTTGAACATCTTGAACGTTTTTATTTTATAAAAGTAAATTTAAATAGAATACAATGTAAGTTTCGTAATAAAGTATATTTTGATGGTAAACGTTTATTTAATTCAGGTTGGTGTTTTGATTTATTTCTAAAGGGTTTTTAATGATGAAACGCACCAAAACGCCAAAAAAAACACTTGTAGGCTTTAGAATTTTTCGTTTTTATTTTTAATCAAACATTGGCCGTGCATACAAAAATGTTAATTAACAGAATCACTACAAAACGTATTCAGTTCGTAATCTCTGGAATTTTTTATAACGAAAAAATAACAATTATTTCAGAAATCTCCCCTTTTTTTTTAATTTTTTTTTTTTGTTAAACAAGGCTGCAATCATTTAAAACGATTAGCTGGCATATTTGTGTTAATGATGTATTATACAGTTATACCGACGGTGTTTTAAAAAACAAAAAACCATTAATGCATTTCTTTTTGCATTTTATCATTAACGCGTACATCTCCATATATTTGAGTATACAAATATATTTTTTCATTATATTAGTTCGAGACTAGCTATAATGTAAATTATAAGTAGACCGATTTTTAACGACAGCAACCGACCGACTTATCATTAAAAATGTATTTCACAAAACCGTTGACCGACAATGAATATATTTCTTTGTTTTAGTGAATATGAATATTATACAATCAACAATATATAATACATTCGATATTAGTTGTTGTAGTTTGAAGTTTTTGATGCTAACGGAGACACGCGATCTATATTATATTACACTCTTGTGTTTTTTAAAACATCGTAATATTTTTTCTCTCCGAGAGGTGATGTTTTGCGTGATATTACATCAATTTTGAATTTTCTAGTATTTTAAATTAAGATTTAATAATAATAATAATAATAATAATAATAGTAAACATAATAGTTATTTAAATGAATAAAACGAACGGAATCGCCCGATTCGAATGGGAAAATTTTTGATTTCTATAAATGCAGATTTTAAATAAAGACTTTTTGTTGAACAAATCTTCATATTAACGGAATTACAGAATGCAAAAATAGTGTTTGGGACAAGAATATGTGAAGAACTTGTCTCGAACGCATAATTATGTACTTACTCCCGACGACAATCCAGACAATATATTTTTACATTTTTTAATTAGTTAATTTTTGTATCATTATTATTGTTGTTGTTTTAAATGAAACATAAATCATGTTTTCTATTTTATAAATTGAGTTGCTTATAATTAAGTCTGTAGTCCGAGGGGTACTTTCCACCTCCTTTTGTGCAATTTGGTTAATACAAACTATTTCATGAATAGGTCAAATGTATGTTTGAAATTAATTTTAAATTTATTAGAGCTGTTGGATTAAGCCTTCGTCGGGTACGATCTGATTATTCACAACAATGATGAACGGGTAGGTATAGCTGCCTAGTATCCGTACTCGTTTTTGGGGGAAAAGTTACACACGACAAAACGACTTTCCACGACGTTTGTCAGATGAAAATACATCCGTAACTATAGTGCGAGTTGGGGCTATCAGGGTTTTTCGGTAGTCTTTGGAAAATATGCGTAAACCTTACGCGTCATTATCGCTGTTAACTAATTAAAAATTATTCGCTGAGTGCTATGTCGATACGGATGACTTGACCAGATGAAGTTAGTGATGAGCGAGACCTCATCTAAAATTTTCTTATTAATACAATTAATATACTAACTTGGTTTATTACAAATCATGCTAATATGCCATCTTTTAAAATAGTAAAATGCATTTCGTTTTAAATATAGTATTGGCCAGTTTTTGGTAAAGTAGTTGAAGCATAAAATCGACAAATAACAATTTTTATGGACAAAAAAAAAAGATAAAACTCGATAAAATGAAATCAGACCAAACATTGAAGTTTAGGAAATTTTCGGAAAATTAGATATAATAGTTGAAATTCGATTTGACACGAATGATTGAGTTATGCTTGGTCACATAATAATCGCAAAATCAATAAAAAATAATGTACTAAAGTGGTCAACTCTGGGGAAAAGATCGATAGAAAGGCCAACATAGTAGTGATACATAGATAATTTCAAAAAAGAATTAGAACCACTAGGTATAGTTGTTTTTAGACGTCTTTAGTGAATTAGCTCAAGAGAGAAAAATGGAAGGAATATATTGTTTTGAAGCAATGGGCCTAAATAGCCTTGAAAGATGATGACAAAAAAGAACGATACCAGTACAGTGTTTTATGATTTCTTATAATAGTATATATTATGGTTTCTCCGTGTATAAAATGATCACCCTTTTCTCGTATTATTTTCAAAATATTGACTGTTTGTACGCTGAAGATTTTATAGAATATACCAGAAACCTCGTATACGGTCGTAAATTAATTATTACCTCAGTGCTAATAATAATACTATTGCTATCATTATACGAGGGGTGCATGTCATGTTTACGGGCGTTTTGTATCAATATTACGTCGTATAGTTCGGACTGGTTATTATAACACGCTGTAATATGTGATATGACGCGGAAAACGAGAAGCAAAACGAGGTATCCGCACAACACTGCAATCCGTTTTATATTATTACGATTTTCACATAGGTATACAACTAGATGTATGATGTATATTACATATATAGCATACACTTCAAAAAAGATCAAAACGCGCTCGTAATGTTTTTTCTCTTTTTCGTACCGCAATTATTATCATTTATATACGTATCGTGTAAAAAAAAAAAAATTAAAAAAAATGTTACCTACCCAAATGTAATATTATTATTATGTATCGGTATATTGCTATTGTACCTACCACGATACAATACAATACCATGCAATCGTTGTGATACTAATAATAATCATATTTTTTTATGGCCTCGAAATTATTAACACGAAATCGGATTTTTTAATTGCAGTAAAAAGTAACAACATTTTTTCTGAAATTTGCATGCCATAGGTACCTCTAAAGATGCGAATTTTTCGTCTGGGTACATTATTTAAAAAAAAATTTGAAATGTTCAACATTTTCTAAACAAATTGCCCTTTTTTTTTTTTTTTGTTGTTATACATTTTCGATTAGTAAAAATTATTCGTCCGTTTTATGAAGTACGTACTAGGTATCTAAAAATATGAGAAATTTCGGACCAGTGATAATTTATTTGAAATAATATGTGAACATTTTTAACAGTTTATTCCCAATGGATCTATCGTTTAGTTATCTTGATTTTTATTGGCTTCTGGGCTACACAAGATGGCCAGTGGCGTCATTACAATTTTTTTTTTAATATGGAGCTAGTTATTTATTAAATAGGCCACGGACCTTGTCCAGAATTTTCAACACTGTAAATATAAAATAATCCACATATTTTCCATGTAACAAAACATTAAATAATAACTAATAACTAATAAAGTTTCATTTACGAATCATCACGATTATAAAGAACTTGATAATCATGGACAATATCTACGTAATATCCTTAATATTGTTTTTGATTTTAATTCATAAGAAAAAGAAAATTTTAATTTAAATACATAAATTATGTATACCAGTAATCAGGTCAAACAATTTATAACACCGGACTTAGTTACTTTAATATTGAATTTTAAATACGCAAATATACCTTGCGTGACCAAATTACACCACTGTCATTGGCAATAAAGGAGATATTCTACTCATACTACTACTCCACTCATAAACGTTTTTGATATACAATGATTTATCGTTTCATTCAATATATTAACTAAATTACCTTATAATATATATGTACCATACTTTCCGAACTTACAACAGTGGTCTACCCACGGTGCAAAATATGTCTAGCTTTATATATAAATATATTTAGTTTGTGTACGTTTATCGCGCGTATCACACGAGTATATTCTGTATGAAAATGTATCTGTCGATTTTTTTTTTATCGATATTCAATTTCGGTATTGCGGGCACACGATGTAATTTGATTTATGAGGAAATGAAGTATTGCACCCAACCCGACTCGGAGATTTAAATTGTGACTAATGATATAAGTATACTGCGTGGTTAGTATAGGTATTATAAGTTCACTCGTATAGTTTGACAGTAAACATAATGTATTTTTGAGACGAGTGTATTAAAAAAAAAAAAAAAAAAATAAAAACAAAAAAAAATGGAACGCACGCTCATAAAACGTGAAATGTATTTTGAAAAGTAAAATGATAGTACCATTATTATTATACTATGTTGTTTCCATTCGACAAATGCACGATGCATTAATATCAAAACATAAGTACCCCTGCTACAGGTAGATATAAAGTAAAGTTGATTTATGTTTATGTTAATTAGACAGAAAATTAAATTAATATGTTATATTATAATATCTGCGTAAACATAACATAAATATACAATTAACCAAATTTTGAGGTTAGTATGCCGTAAGAAGGAATTATTTAAGAATAATCTACAGGTGGATGAAATGTGTCGGTCTATATAAAATAATATTACGTTAGAACCGAGACCGAGGAGAGTTATTATATTATACTAATTGTAAAACGGTGTAATTTAACTCCCTTCATTTATGATATACATTTTTTGGGATAACCATAAGTGTGTGCAAACTCTAGAGCTAGAATAAAAATTGGGCTCCTGGTAACAATAGAAGCACATGGTCTCATATTAATAATAAAGACCCAAGGGTCCCCTCACAAAAATATAGATAGTTACCTAACTAAAAATAAAAAAATCACATAGGTTTACCATGGAATATTACATTATGACGTACTTATATATTGTAGTTTGAGTTAAACTTGTTGTTAAATTGATTACAAACAGCCAATGTAAAAATACCAAAAAAGCTTCAATTTATAACAATTTAAGTATGTATTTTGAATTTGAAAATGCTAGTGCTGGCGAAACGTTTCCCTACTATGCGCATAGAAAAAACCACGTTTTCTCATATTTGGAGAGTCATTATGAGAGTCATCATTTTTTTTGTACAACATTTTTCAAAAATAATTCATAATACTTTTTAAAGTACTTTAAATATTATATGTATATTTTAAATTTATGTTTCAGTATGTTTATTACAGATTCAAGTCTTGTATATTAATGCATCTACAGTTTAATAATATAAGAGAATCATAATATTTTTTTTTTTATGTTTTTGTTATCGTCGAAATATCTTTAAGAATAATGTCTTTTAGGTGGAATTATCAGATAAACAATTAAGATACCTTCACAAAACCGTAGATTATATGTGACCATACCCATGCTTATCCTGAGTGAACGCCCAGTGTACATTTCACATTTACAGTGCAAAATTATTTTGTTGCACCAACAGAAAATCACAAAAAATTATTTACCTATAATTATATATTTCGGTTATCAAACAAGTATATTTAATTGTACGAAATTGTAATTTAATAATAAGACGTGGTTTTTTTTTTTTTAAACTATTTACGTCTCAATCCTAGCGCAGCAAATTATTAAAAATATGATTAGGTATCTTATCAATACTCAGATGATCGGGTCTCTATATGTATTCAGATAATATACGCATATTGTATATATCTGCACTCTCTTCAAATAATTTTAATTCATAATTATTATTTTTCAATTCGTTTCATTTTGATAATTTATTTTTCAGATTGCATATTGTTTTAAATCTTTTAAATAACTCTATTTCACGTTTTCTCATAGCTGTTTAGTGTTTCGTTTTTTAAGCTTCACTGCTTCAGTTTTATATTTTAATGCGTGTTAGTTTAATTCTCTTTTAAAATGCGTGTCAATAGTTAAATCGTTTTAATTTGGCATTCGTGTACAATACTAGGTGTTATAATCAACCAAGAGTTGGCTAGTATGACCTGATCCGATTTAGGCTGGACGTTATCGATTTTTTTAAAAAACATTGAATTTTTAAGTTTAGTCGAGACGATCAAATGTACCGATTTAGGTAAATTATTAAACAAATATTACTAAAAAAAATTTTAAATACATACGTAATTATTTTACCATAATATGATATATATTGTTGAAAAAGCAAAAATATCAAATGAACTCCGCTCAGAATCGTCTTTTTCGTTAGCAATGATTAATCGTTGATATAATCGTTGATCAATGGTAATACAGATTTAAATTACATTATTTTGAACAGTGGCGGCACCCGTCTTCATTATCCTTATACAGCTTTTTTATATTACTTTTAGAGATAAGGATTACAAATATTTATATTTAATTTAAGTTTTGTTTTGGTAAAAAAAATAACATTTATTTTATTATTTTTGATAAATTTGAAGAAATCCATTTTATAGAGTTTATTATTCTGAAAATTCTGACGTTTCAACTTTTAATTTCATGAAATTTGTGATTTTTAACAATTTTTTAAAATTCAGAGGAAAGTACCTATAATTATGCAATAGACTGTAATCGCATTTGACAATTGCTTTCATGCTTTTCTTGTTTTCATCGTATAAAGGAACAACAAAAAACCAAAAACACTAAATAATGTTACGTTCATGTTTACAAGACATATATACGATTTATATGTTCGAGAAATATACAAAAATTGATAAAGAAAATGTATGAACACTGTGAAAAACTCGTAAAATGAATTCTCACTCATAAAATTTTAATCATAAAATAATTTACAGCATATGATAAAATTGAGTAAAATTCCCATAATCGAAAATGCCTTCTGGACATAGGCACAAATTGAAATATATTTTTTTTTTCTAGGGTATCTAGTGTCTCATAATATTGATTATAGTATATCATCTAGTACTGTATATTAGGTAAAAAATTGATTTGGGAGATTAGATCTCCCCAGTCACTCATATTTGAGTCAATGCTTCTGAACCTTTTTAACTTCAACCCGACTGTGTGTATTTTAAATTACGATTATATAGTTTTGTCAGTTTAGTAATACCTTAAATGTATTTGGGTTTTGCCCATAGTTTCGGTAGTTTTATATAATATTATGGAATATAATTAAATAATAGTTTAAAAAGTTTTTATTTTTGTTCAAATGTTTATACTTGTAGTCTACAATTATTTTACCATGGGGATGCCTTAACTTTTTAAAGTTATTGTTGTTATACATACAGACATACTAGAAAAAGTAAATAAAAAATTATAATAGTATAGAAATCTGTAAAGCACTTACTATTAAAAATTACACCGCTCGTTTTTATTATATTTTTTTTCCATTATGTTATCCGACTGGTATGGTATATAGTGACAATTTAACGTCGTTATTTTTATATTATATGATTTTAAGAAGTAAAAAAAAACAAGAAAAAACGCATTTTCGTTAAAAAAAAAATAAGTCCAAAATGTGTGGGATACATTTTAGTAGGGGAAAAAAAATTATAAAAGGAAATCCACGAGCTTAATCTTTTTACATTATTATACGAACGAGAATGTTAAAAAGTGCGGATCGCACGGATCGTTAGTTGAAACAGCGATATTCGTATGGATACCTTTGCTATATTTTAATAAGCATAAGCAACAAAATAATACGTTTAGTTCATAATACGATTATCTCTTTGACCCGTTAAAACCTTTACAATTAGCAGAGTGCAGTGTACACATAAACGACACGAAGAGAGCCGTTAAACCCTCTGTCCAGAAGTCATAATAATAATATGCTATAGTGATGTTCTTGTCTATGTACTCTACAATTATTTCGACACTCGTGTAGTTACTAAGTTCTAATAGTACTAAAATTCAGTGGCTTATTTAAAATATTTATTTGAAACTGAAAATACATTTTGTAGAACTATCTGAGAAAAAGTAAATTTTTTGCCATCTTTGTACCAAAAAACCGCATACTTTGATGTATTCTGTGATACACTCCTTCGACGGCGCTCGAACTAAAAAAGAACTAATGGCTGATTTAATGTGTTTTTTTTTTTAATTGTAATGCCCTATTTTTTCTAAGTAGTTTTATACTCAATAACCTGTCAAACTCTCTCGTTATTATAATATATACTTCGAAAGGTATTGTCAATATTCGTTTTAATTGTACGCATATTAAACTAACGTAATTATGTATTCAGTGTATAGAGCTTAAAAAATCAACAGGCAAGCCGCACTCAATGAAAGATGAGTTCACGTCAGTCAAAAAACTAATAGAAAATCAAATAAGTTTATAATGCACAACAAGGTTTTCTTCAATTTTTTCCCAGTTTATAAAACTTTTTTTACTTTATACGAAAAATAAACTGGCTACACCACTGATATCAGTGGTGTAGCCAGAAATGTTTAAAGGTAAGGTTAGGTTCCCTTAGATAAAACAAATAAAAATCATACATTGTGGTACATAAGCTGTATGCCAGATATTTATATGCCCTACAAACCTTTAAATATATATGCATATATGCACCAATGTCAAATGTTTCAAATGTCCTTAATAAATGTCTTAAGAAGAAGAAAAAATATTGAAAATATTTTTAAAATGTACTGAATTCTTAATATGGACGAAAAAAATGGACAAAATCGTAAATATGCCCTAAAAATAAAAAAAATAAAAAATCAAACATATGTATAATACAATTTTGTACATCGTTTTCGTATGGGTATATGGGTAATCATTAGGGTCATGCAATTTTGAAAGATTGCTATATTTTTAACCGACTAATAACAACATGTAAATGCATATAAATATATGCCCTAGCTAATTATATATATTACGTGTGGGTGTTATCATGTCCGTTACATACTGATAAAGGGATTTCCAGACTCCTCGCGCCCTCTAAATACGCCATTGATCAATATTGATATTAACCATTAACCACAGAGAAAAATCACCGGGATGGACACGATACGGAGTCTTTTATATATATATATTATACGAATATAGTAATCTGAAAAAATGTATACTATGGCAATCATATCGAGCTTCGAGTATTTTAATATTTTTTTAAAAGCCCACGTGCGTTTATATTTAACTGTTATACATAATATTTGCAAGTTTAATTACGAAGGGAAATAGGTCATATTATTTTATGAGATTAATATATCCGATAATATGATAATTTCAACGTAGGTACTTATGTTAATAATTCCCGGCCAGTTTGTACCTATACCTATAAAACTATAAAACGCACAGGTAAAAGTATAATAATTTAATACAATATACCTATACCGAAAAATTAACATGTAATACAAATTTTTAATAACTATACTAGCTAAAATTATATACCGGTGAAGTGAAATAATTTCCAACAGTTTTCATGGTCTGCGTTTTGACGAAGACGTTTCTTTTTATAGTTGTTTGTATTCTAGCCAATTGGACATTTATTTATTTTTATTTCATTTTACATTACGGAATCATATTAATTTTTTTAAAATCATAACAATTTAATAATATATGAATTGTCAGTAGTTGGTAAATATTACAAATTACGAAAACCACAAATTCAGTGTTGGGAATTATAACCGATATTTCGTATATAAATAAAAGGTAAATAATGATCACGTACTATATATTTCTGTCATTATAATGACTAATGGTTTATCTGAGATAAAGATAAAATAACGTTATCACTCTCCCTCTCTCAACTGTAAAGTTAAAAAGATAAAAAACATCTGCAAACCAATTTTTAAGTTATTTAAAGTTGATTTATATGAGTGTGAATATTGCGAAAAAATAAATTAATATTAATACCAGTAGCATTTGAAATATACATTAAAATATTTATAGAGGACGCCGAAGCATAAAATTTTAGTTGGAGCGTATATTTTCGAAGACAAATCAACTATATTTTTGATAAATTTTGATTTGATTTTAAAAATTTAGTTCTTCCTGGAACGGATATCAAATGTTAATAACTATTTTATTATTTAACAGTTTAAAATGAAAACTTAAAATTATATATTTTTTTTCGATTAATTAACAACAACGTAGGATTAAAAAAAACATTACAACCTGTATATTAGGAAACATATAAAATGAGTTTTGACTATAAGAATTCTGAGAATAAATAAGTACCAATAGTTGTGATGACGATTGAACAAAAGAAAAATAAACATTTTTTTAAAGCAAAAATAATATTATTCAAATACTTATATTCTAGACGTGTTCAAATGTTCACATACTCTTGACATTTTTTTAGTTATTTATATAATTATAAGTAATTGATATTTTCAAGTTTTTAGGTTTTATCTGAGAAAAATTGTTTTGGCGAAGAAAAATTTATACAGGAGGTTCACCATACAAGTTGTATTTTATGGTATAAAAAAAAGAAGTTGAGCTTAATGTAGTAATTTTTTTTCTTTGCAAGCGTTATTTTTTTGGACCTTTTAAGTTCAAACTTTCATTTAAATCATGGAAATCACAGCTTTCAAAAACAAGGTGTAGAAAACATGTTTATTCAGAATTATAATTCGCTGGTAATGATATATTGTTGCGTTCATATAAAAATGTATTAAATTTGGGTATCCAATACCTTCTTAACTTCCCACCTACAACATTGGCGTACCCATCACCAATGTCAGCTCCTTTTTTTAATAGCATCGCGATATGTTCTTTATAAAGTTGAACATAATGCGTTTTTTTAGTTATTTGTTTATTCGTATAGGTACCTATTGTTTTTATTTTATGTCATTATTACGGGCAACGAAGTTTACTACGCAGTTTTCATCGAAAATGTTCGGCCATCTGCGCTGAATTAGATAGGTACCTACCTAATGTATTTAGTTTACGTGTCGCGGGAACGTTCTACAGATACGAGTTACCGTATAATATCGTTATTTTTTTACTTTTTATTATACGATTGTTTGACAATTCTGTGTCGAATGATCTATTAGTATTATTATTATTATTATTATTGTTTGCGATTTATTGCATTTTTTTTTTTTTTATATTTATACGGACACATTCAATTTATTATTCGATAAAGCCGTATTATTTTTCCAATCAAATAAATGAATCCGCTTCGCCCCGAAACGCGTGATTCGTTCAAATCGTGTACGCATACGTTAACTATATTATAACAACACTGCCGTCTAGCAAGACGGTTTTATTGGGGTCGTAACATTTTCCAAACGATTTCTTTTTCTTGTTACGGCCCACGCCGACAACGAGAACATTTACTAGATATTATGTATAATTAACTAACTGCAGGGAGGAACAAGACACAAACTATTCGAGAGGTTTAATTATATACATTGCATCTTCATGCAGTACTACGTCGTCAGAGCTGCAACTAAAAAAAAAAAAAAATGCTGATTTTGCTGATAGGCGTATTACGTTTTAGGAAAAAGTTGGCGGAAAGGATACATTGAGTTGAGTTATTTAATTTAAATCACGATAAACTATTGTTAACGAAAACTGATTCTGAACAGTGTTTTTAGTTTTATTTTTCTCTTGTTGCCAATGTAACCAAGAAATAAAAAAACATTTCACTAGCAGTTGTCAGTTTTTCACATTTATTGAGAAAACTAGAAAGAAAATAAAAGAAAAGATATTCTTAATGCACCAACAAGCCAAAAATTCTACAAAAAGTTCCTGGTAGAAAAATTGTTTAAAGACACACACAAAAAAAAGCTTTCCTAGGATAATGGGGACGGGTTCAGCTACTGTTGTAGGTGGAAAGTTGAGAAGGTAGGATATAGAAGGGAATTTAATGAATATCTGTAAGCAACGATAAATCGTTGCTAACAAAAAAAAGGTTCTGAATGCAGTTCAGTTGATAGTGATACTTTGTCAACAATATATATGTCATATTATGGTAAAATAATTAAATAGGCATTATGTATTTTCTTTAATAATATTTGTTCAATATTATACCTATTTTCCCGTTTTTCCTATGTTTTCCCATGTTTTTTCCCGGTTTTCCTTCTAGGAAAATCAAAAATTTACTTCCTTAAAGTACCTCCCCAGTCTGGTTCTCTTTTAGAAAAAAGTGCTATCAGTTCTCTTTTCGAAATCTTAGTTTGGACTGTTAATCTATACGCTGTTATTTTAAATTCAATATGATGAAAAATTTACTAAATATTTAAGCGTTCATACGATGCCAAAACAATAAACTGTATTCATCACAAAACCACAAATATGTCTAAAAATTGAAATTGTTTTAAAAAAATGTTAGGTATCTTTGTAGTATTTTCGTTTTGAATTATGCAAAAAAACTCAAACGATATTGACAAAAACTAGTAATGTTGCGTAAATATTCCCGTTTTTCCGGAGGTTTTCTTTTCGATTTTCCTTCATTATCGGGAGAAATGAAGGAAATTTAAAAAATGTATTTAATTATGTCATCAACTATAGATCTGAAGTTCTACAAAAATGTTATTATAAAGTATTCGATCGGAACAAATATTCTGGTCGAAAATTTGTTTATAGACAGTAAAAAAACTAACTTTACTCAGAACAAAAAAAAAAATAAAAAAATAAAAAAAATGACGTAAGCCGTTATGTTATGGTATTAACTTCAATTGGGCAGTGTTTGTTAGCTAAATATAATACCTATGTATGTAAGCCAAGGTATAGTGTAACTTTAGTTGGTTCGTATTGTTTTAAATCCTGCAGTTATATCCGGTACATTTAATTGTGATTAAAACTGTCCGTGATGGAGGTAAATACACTCGATTACCTACTAACGAAAACTCTAAGCACCAGACACAAATACATAGTCTGACACACGGACACAAGTTTCGGGAAATTTGCAGTTATCTATGCGTTTTGTTGCGGTAGTATTTAAACTTTAGTTTACGTGACGGTGTGATTATAAGCCTAACGTAAACAACTAAATACAGCAATAGTAGATTTGAAATTTAAAAAACTGTGTCTACCAAAAGTCCAAAATCCGAAAGTGATTATACATTAAAAATTGGATTCTGGAGGTAGCGATGAACGTATAATTGGTTTTATGGTGTGCGCTTATTTTTTGTTTGAAAAAATTGTTTGATTAGAAAACTTGCTTAGATCTAAACTGTAGTTTCTTGTAGCAAATTGATTTAGTTATTAGGTAAGTATTTTTTTTTATTAAATTTTCATCTAATTTTTTTAATGTAACGGAAAACATCAACAGTAGTATGGAATTTTCATTTGTTAGTTTTGATTTTGTTTTGTAGTTCATCATAATAAAAATATTCGCAGACTTTAACGATTTATAAACTTGATAAGCATTTTAAAACTTTCTGATGTTTTTGAATTATTTTTACCTGCTTAAAAATTTCTGCGATTTTTGATTTTACTTGGCTTATAAAAAATGCTCAAAAATTTGATATTAGATTGATCATATAATTTGTTTTTGAGTTACTATGGAGATATCATCCGCATTTTTTTTTATAAGCGTTTAAAGTTTACATATTGATAAAAATCGTAAGTACCTGTGTATTTAGTGTACCTATACTATTTACCTTTAGTTTTTTGTTTCATATTAGAAATGCTTATTAATTTTAGACGCAAAGACAAGGACGATTATTTTTATTTATTTTGTAGTTGTAAATGAATACAATTTTCAATTTAAGTTAATCAAAATACGTTTAACCGAATTCGCTCAGAATTGTTTTTCGTTTGGAAAGATTTATCGTTGCTTATAGGATATTATCTAAAATAAATTGCCCAAACTATATACTACAATTCCAACTTTCCACATAAAACGGTGGGAATATGTCCTTTTATTCATTGTATAATGTTATTCTTTTTTTTGTTATTTGGCGTACTTATTGTACCTATATAATCGTCGTCGTAGTATAATAAACGAAAAGAAAAAAAAAATTAAAAGTTGGTCGAACGCGAATAATGCGCACTTAAGGGGGCGATTTAAAGAATCGACAACACGCTGTTTTATATACATTATAAAACGGCAAAAACATATTTTTAATACTTGTCGTAATGAATATGAAAAAAAAAAAAAAAAAAATGAATTAATATAAATTAGTTTTGTGAAACTAAAATGAGATATTTAAGGAGTATTTTTTTTTGTCAGTATAAGTATAAATTATTATTTTTTTTTGATTTCATTACTTATAAGCGAACCGTTAAAAAATATTAATTAAACATTTTTATATTTGATTTTTTTTTAATGGCCAAAATCCACGACATAAATCTAATTTAGATAAAAATATTTGAACTCTGTGCATTATGTATCGTATAAATATAAAAAATAATTATTACTTACCTATTGTACAGAAATTCGATTTCTATCAAGTGTCACTTATAAAGGTGACAATTATTTATTATCATTTTTTTTTTATTTTTTACAATTATTATTGTTTTTCCGTGAACAGATTATTATTACACGCAAAATCAAATAATCGTTACAATTCGAATGCCGAAAAATATTTCGATAATATTATTCAGCAGATTTTCGTCGAATTCGAATAGCCGTGTTTATTGTTAGGGCCAAATAAAAACTCCAACCGGATCGTAAGCTAAATGACCTGGCCATTGTTAAGTACATAACACGATTACTATACGCAACTTACGGAATATTGGTTTCCGGGTCAACAAAATCTAGTCAATTTGTTAATTTAGTAAAATCCGTTTTCAAAATCAAAATCATTCAAACCCAAACCCTACAGTTTTGTCTAGCTTTTGGTTTAAATACCTATGTTTTTTTAACGACTGCAACTATCTTAAGTACCTACGATTTCTATGAAGTCCTGAGTCTGTGTAAAATGGGAACGAAATTGTTATTGGTTTGTAATTCTGTTTTATTATTTAAGTGTTAGTTTATTGGAACCAATTCATATGTATACCTATATAGACTACCCGGGAACCAATTCGGTAATTGAGAATTAACTAATAGTGGTCTCAGTATACGCGTGTCAATAAAAAATGTACGGCGCCTGTTTTGTAAATTTCCAAATATTTCTGTATTTGATGGTAATATCAAAAGAATAATGATTATAGGGAACTTTCCTGTAGAAAAAAGCAATCTGCAGTGGATATTTTTCTTATTATTACGTTTTTGTTATCCGCGGTCGACGGAAGGAAACCAGTAAATAAAATACAAATACAAAAAGATATAAGCAAAATAAGGAACCGGACTGAAATTAAGTTTAGGTATCTATAAGCGCGCGTTTTGCCGATATCGCGGTTATAATAAACCGTAGGCACTGGGAATTAAAAACGGTAATAAATAATTTTTTTAAGAGAATAAAATCCACCCGTATTTTAGAATATCGTAAATATATATTTATACTAATCGTATTTATAGGGAGGTAAATATTGCACTTATATTAATTTGTATTATACATTTTGTAGACGGTAATCCGATAAACTCCCTTTATTTTTTTTTATTATGATCCGAACGAGGATTCTCGCGTATAATAATAAATAATATAATATAGGTTTTGTAAAGACGATAAGTATAAGATTTTTTTTTCCCCAAAAACTAATTTTTCGTAAATGTAAAAATTCTTTAAAAGCTTTGTGGAATTTATTGCAAACGCGTTTATCGGCTATATATTATGTATACACGAATAGATAATGGTTTTTTTTTTTAAATTTCAACTGAAATATAACGGATGGTCTATTCTCAAATCAATCAAAAGCGTTTTCGCTAATAAAGCCGAATAAAAATCAATCGAAAGTCGGTTGAAATCAATTGAACATTTATCAACTTTCGATTGGTTTGTGAATAGGCTGCCAGATTTTAAAATATTCCAAACACCGAAGATTTCGCGTTTTTTGATTATCTATATGTAGTTACCGGTTATAAAATAAAAAAAAAAAAAAAATAATAATAATTGTAATTCCAAGACTATCCGTTTTTTTTTCAAAATAATAATATTTATTTTAAAAACCGGTGGACATGTTAAATTAAAAATAATGTTCTCTTAAATACCTACCTATATAATTATGTCGCGTCGTTGTCGGTACACATAAACGAGAAGGATTAACGTGTTAGACTTTATTTTTATGCGATTTATCATTGCTGTGTATAGCGGTTTAAAAAATGAGACTGAAGATTATGTAACATCATCGTTTTAAATCACTCGGATAATAGAATATATTATTATAGTACAAATATCATAAAATAAAGCGGATATTCTTTTTCTTCGCGCAAGTAGCAGTTCATTTTCACATTTTAAAATAACAAATAACATAAAAAAATGAATATTAATTATTGGGCTAGGCATTTTACTGCAATCTATAGTTATGAAGTGTTTCGACTTTTAAAGACAGTTATTTTCAAAAAAAGTATACCGGTGAGCGGCGGAGCTTCGTCACTGAAGTCAAACTTTCCTTCAATTTTTTTGTGTTATACAACTTTTCAAGAAAACAAACAATAGAATACTATATCTATATATTTACCTCATACATAAATAATATATATATATATATAAATTATAAATGGTATTTTTTTTTTTGTAATGGGTAATCTCCGAATCTACTCATCTAAACGTTATGCGGTTATTTTAAATGATAGAGTGTATCGCGAAGGGAGTTTTAAACTAATGAAATCATCGGCCTGACCAGAAGAAGTAATAGATCTAACCTACTGTAGTTTGGGCTGAATATAAAATAATACATTTAAGGACAACAACGGATAACTGCAGTGATAGTGACGAGGATTGAAACGGGAAATCTAAAGGGGAAAGGTTTGGATTACATATTTGTTCGGCATGGACAACGCCGGGTAAGATAGCTAGTAATAATATATACGACATTGTAATTAATAAACATACAAGGTGATCCATTTAATAGGGTACACTCATCATCTCAGAAATTATTAATTTTTTTCCGAATTTAGTTTACAGAACATTTAAGAAACAAAGAAACAAGTAACTTTTATGTAAACTACATTTATGTTATTTTTCATCCATATTTTTAGGGGTAAAACCTACTACTTACTTTTGATTTTCAAATGGTTAACTATATTAAAAATTCCATAATTGTTGAAATTCAATATTTTAAATAAAATTGCTATTAGTTAAAATACAATTCAATAATGATATTTTTGATTTCCGTCAACACGTTGATGAGATATTTCACTTTTAAGTTTTGGTTAGGGAAGAGTAGTGGACCATCATTTGTGTACGGCGTGCTGATAATGCACTACTACTCTTCCTCTTAATTATAATAATTGTTTTTATTACTAACATTACACAAATTGGAAACAATCCAAGATAAAGGGAATCCAGGTTAAAATATCTCAATATGTCAATATGTAATTGAATTGTCTATACGTCATATTATAGCTACACAATAATTATTATAAGAATTATCTTAAAAATAAAAATTCATAACTATAAGTGGTCAACTCTGTGACCTACTTGATGGAAATTTCCAAGATATGCATTATTTGGTAGAAAAAATATTATCCCAGATATTAATATTTATAATAATTCATGTAAGTGGGTACTATATATTTTACATTTCTTAAAATCATTATTATACTGGACCTGACGTTTTTATTTTATTATGTAAATTTTTATGTTTTTGTCGTTTTTAATTATTAAAATAAACGTACGAATATTCGCTCTTGGGTTGCATTATAGTGTAAGTATACTTAGGTATACCTACTATACAATACTTTTGGCTTTTGGCTCTCTATCCCCCTCCCCCGACTACGCTTATACTACGCTGGTATTCAACTCGAAGAAAAATATAGAATGTAAACAATATACTATATTATAATTTATAGAACTCGAGTATTCGAATTTACGGTCACTTGTGATATAATAAAACGACAAAAGTTTGATAAAACAACGGACCCGTGGGATATCAATAAAAAATGAAAATAATATACTTGACCGCCGTAGTAAAGCAATTTTGAATTATACATTTTTCAATAAACACAAACAATATAATATTTTTCGTAGGTACCTACTTTTAAACTGTTATGAAGTATATTGGATTGTTTACTAAAGTGTTATATATTTCGACTATTTCGAATTACGTTGAACAAAACACGATAATAATAATAATAATAATAGCATAATATCTAGATTGTAGGAACTAGGTATAGGTTACTTGAAGTTTTTTTCGCTTTTGGAAACATGGGATTTTGTAAATGTAAATTCACAGATTCGGACAATATTTCACCAACGATATAATCATGATCGGCCGATACTAACCGTGATTGAAATTAGTTTAACCGCTTGTTGAATTTAATCACATTTAAGCGCTGTTAGTCACGATTTAAACTGTTCTCGATATAAAATACCAAATCAAAATGGACACCTAGATTTCATTCATTTTTATTATTCACTATTCATTTTTCCGCGTTCATTTTTATTAATTTAAACAAAATATAAAAATGTCACGTGCTATATAGCATGGACTTTTGAGATGACATTTGAAGGAGACGAAAACGACTTCGTCGTTCGTCTCCGAGAAGGATAAAAGAAAAAGAAAGCACGGTTTCGATAATCTAGACACCCTTGATTATTTTTCATTGTCGTTCTGTACTCGATTACCACGATGTGATCGGTAACTTAATAACTCAGTGTTTTCAAAAGTAGATTCCCATTTTTTTATTTTTTTCATAATTCAATTTACATTTTTATCCATATTTATTTTTATTGATTAACTAATTAAATATTAATTTATACATTTGGACTATCTAGGTAACTAGAAACTTCTTGATGAAATTTAATATTTTAATGTAAAACATTGTAATTATATAATTATTATTCCAATATAAAATCAGGAATATGCCATGGATATCATTCCATACTATTATAGATGTTAATCGTGATTAATAATAGGTTGATCATGGTTCATGTAAACGCGGTTAGTGGAATCAAGGAATATAATGGTAAGATCCAAACAAAGTTAATTTTGATTAAATTGTTTAGTTACATTAAATTACCATTAATCAAATCGCGATTAGTGTGTTTTTGGTGAAATCCGTCTTAAGTGTTTCAATTTTGACTGTATATTATTATAGTGTGTAGGTATATAATAATAATAATAAAAAAAAAAAAAAAAAAATCATTTTTAGGTAAATAAAAGTTATTTATTTTTCTCTCTTATCATGTTACTTAAATTGTAAATAGTCGAATAAAAATAAAACAAAAAAATTGAATACATCAAATAAATACCTATAATGTATCTTATACATAAAATGCTCGTGTCACGTGTTTGTTTTTGGGTCACACTCTTTTGAAACGGCATCACCGATTTAAATGAAATTTTTTTGTATTAGTACCCAGTAGGGATGATAATCTGAGAATAGGTCGTAAAGTATTTTTCACCCTCTTCCACCAACTCCGTCCACCATTTTTCATTCGTGTTTTTAGTATTTTCGTTCGTATATATATATATATATATATTATATACACGAGCAACACCAAATAATTTAGCTTATAATATAATAAATACAATTTTTTTTTGTTGATTTGTGTTACCCCGATAACAGGGATGAAATAATGGTGATTAATTGTTAACAGGAATTAGTCGGAAAGTATCATGCCATGATCATCAAAATCGGTTTAGTCGTTTTTGAGTTATAAATTGTGTAACTGACCCGACTTTGTTTTATTTATATACGATTTTTTTTTATTCAAGGTTTACCACGGAAAAGAAAACTATTATAGTAATTATTATTACTATTATTTACCATTTGTCATTTAGTCCGCCGAATGTGGACTACCCACTTTCCATCTATTTATTTTCATTCAATTCTAACACGACCAAAACCAAAAATGAATATGGGTGAAATAATAATAATACAAATTGGCACGGGCAACGCCGGGCTCGGGACAGCTATGAATTAATAATATTTTTAATCTTGGAGGTAGCTTTATATATTTAAAACGATGATTTATTTTTTTCTCGGAAAATACTTTCTGAAATGGAATTCACGATATATTTTGCTGTTTTAATTTTTACTCGACCAAAAAGTTTTATACTACTTAACATAAGTACATAGATTGGTCGTTTCCAGAAAACCGTGAAAAACCAAAAATACGATGAAAAAAATTACACTTATTGTTGATTGCTGAAACTATTTGAGAAATGAACTCAAAACTAACAGCGTGCAAAGAACTTAAAAAATTGACAACATTTTGTATTTTCAATTTTAACCATGCAAATTTAAATTAAATTACCCAGTTAAACAATATTATACGTACCTATAACAAAATAAATACCGACAAAAAAAAATATAGTATATTGATACAATGAACAATGTAATATTGTTAACCAGTGTGAATTTCAAATTAAACTGATAGTTTACAGGGTAAATTGAAATTTACAATTTTTCTTTGGCGCATGCAATATTGTAATATTTATTCGAAAAACTGAGACAAATAGCAAAAACAAATTAACTGTTCATCGAACTAACATTATTTTTCCCGATTCGTGCTACAGATCGCAACACCTACCTAGTGAATTTATACGAATTTCGTAAAACGTTTATACATAATTGCTAGTATTTAATCAGCCGATTGAAGCGCGCAACGGAAAATGTTATATTTTGCTGGTTGAGTAAACGCGAACGTCAAAGGTTTAGTTTTACGTATAAAAATCAGACACATGGACGGCAATTTGATTAGTTTTGATTAATAATATAATATTATCACCGTGAAACGTTTGATTTCGGTAGAACGTTACACGTCTCCCTCGTTGATTGCATCAATTAACGCATCGTTCGAATTGATTTATATGCATATATTATAATTTATAAGGATTTCAATAATAAACTTACACACAGTTGGACGTTTGGGTTTTTAGGACACCTACAATACATTATAATATAATATATAGGCAGAGGGTTTATATCACGTTTAAATTCAAAATACACGTAAAGTATTTTACTTGCTATATATGTATAGACTAGCCGGTTATCGAAAATCTATATAGAAACGAATTCAAGTGTAAATACGTATTGTACGGATAGGTTTACTAGTACGTGATTTATTTTGAAATCCAATTTTCTGTCGTATACTATACCTACTTTCAAAGGCCATACCAATACAATAATACTGATAAACATATATTTGATACGAGTAAAGTCATTCTATTCTGCTAAATAAGCCCCTTGTATACAATGCGTTTGTATACAATGATGGACCACAGAGAGTAAATTTTATTAGACTAAAATCATAGTAATACATGTTTAAAAAATTATTTGGCAGATTAGATTATATTATTTTTACCATTATTTCCATATGGTTTTCGTAAATATAAAACATAGTTATTTTTATCACGATAAAGTCTATACGATTTCGAAATACATTGATAACAATGTTTTGATAAAAAATATTACGATTCCGGTGCGAAAACGTCAAAGACAACCGAAAACAAAACACTAGTTTACGTAATCTAGAAAATATACGATTCGAAGAAGAAAGGCAGACAATAGTTATTGTAAATTTAAGTCGCGTATTGTCGCATTTTGACAAAGGCCCGAAAATTAATTTTTGACTTTGTTTATTGTTGTAATTTAGTTAAATATATTTGTGGAAACTTGAAATTTAGACAGAAAACTTATATTTGCCTTTTCTGGACGAGGGAAAATATTTTAGACATTTTTGAGTTATTTATAAGCATTTTAATTTTTGAGTTTTTTAAGTAATTTTCATTCAGTAGGTGTCTGTGGAGAAAATTATTGGACCAAACAGAAATGTTTGAAAATTTAACAGGAGGTTCATTATAAGTCGTACTTTGTGATATGAAAAAAAAGTTGTGTATGATGTAGAATTTTTTGTTTACAAGAATTTTAATATTAAATCTTGACAAAAATGCAAATATTACGGTCTTTCAAAATATGTAAAACCGTACTCTGCTTAGAATCGTTTTTCGTTATCAATGATTAATCGTTGCGTATAGATAAACATTAAATTTCCCTCTCTATTCCTAACTTCTCACCTGCAACACTGGCCCACCCGTCGTGCTAAGTATGTCCGTTTTGTTTTTAAATAATTACCTCATCCGAGTTGTTAGCATGCGTTATACAGAAGATGGAGTCTGAATGGGTTAACATGGTGATAATTTATTCAGTGCTCTCGGGTACGAATCAGACAATCGCAGAACGTATTTTATGTTTTCGACGATTATTAAAATAGAACCATTAATTACTATTTAAAAGGAGGTATAGCACACGGTTAAAAAATTAAATGTGTAATTTTAACAGTGTTGTCATTAAATTATATTTTAAATGTTAAGTTAATTTTGTTATTATAGGTACTACTATGACGAGGACATTTATTACCACGCTAAAAAATAAATTGACACCCATTTATTTACACATTATATTTCACCGCATTTAAAACCTGTATCATATTATATCAAAAACAAATATTTAACCCGTAATACACTGTATCCGCAGCGAATTGCCCGCGATCCGAAATTAACGGTATCGTTAGGCGAGAGGTTTATATTGTATCTTGATTTTTATGTTCCGATAGCAAATTCGGTATACTGCTTTAAAACATACGCACTAGCTGTTATACGGTTTTATTACGAAATCTAAACAATCGAAATAATATTTTAACATATTACTCGTATTATTTCGTTCGACGACCCTCGATACGATATTGTTATGCTAATTTTTTGGCCCTTTACGTTAAAAAGGTTACCTGCGCCGACCACTGCTGCAGGCTTATAGCGAGAAGCACCGAAACTAAATTAGGTATTAGGCAATAAATCATTTATGTAGATACCGGGTGAAATATTATGTTTGAGAAAACACTATGCAATAACATCGTCTCTCGGTCTAATAATGGTTCGACGGAAACAAGTCAACGCTATTCGATAATGAGTGGATAGGGTTTTTTTTTCCTTCTTCGCGGTCTTGTGACTGGAATATTTTTTAAGAATATTATGTCAATACAATTCGGAAAATATAGCAAAGTATTAGTGCGGCTACCTCCATATTTGGCATTTGAAAGTGTGTGAGTAAGATGGATAGTGACATTTTTCGGGAAAGCAGACATAACCGTAATAGATACCCCGGCGATAAAGTCAAACCTGCAGGAGATTTATTGAGTGCGGGTATATTATATTATTATTTTGAATAGAAAATTACATCGTCGCAAGCGGTGGTGTGAAGTACTGCCACCTAAATACTGGCGAAGAAAGCGGAATCAAAATGACAACATGGGCGAAAATAGTTCAATTTTCGATTACATAAAAATAATAAAATTGAAAAACGATCAGAATACATTGTGAACATAAGATAGTTATTTTTAGTCAACATCGGTGTTATAACATCATTTTTAAATGTCGATGTAATATAATTTGAACACATAGATTCCCATATTATTTTGTTGAATTATTCGATTATTTTGTCACTCGATTAGTGCTGGTAGAGAATCATGATGATGACGACTGACGAGTACATTCCCCCCTCTCCTCCGTAATATTGTCCTTATAAAAAACCGTTAAATTAATTACGAACGTTTTTAATAAATTTAGAATTTTCGTTCAAATAACGAATGCCATAAGTTAAAAACGGCAATAATTATTTCTTTGGTCTTAGGAAAGAAGGGTCTCAGGAAGGGTTTAAGTCAATTTTAAATAAAATTCAACACACGCAAATTAAATTTGGAAAATACATATGTGTATACACTAATACAGCTTTTTTGAAAATACATTAGCTTTTACTACTCAGAATAAAAACTAAAATGCATAAATGACATCTGATAATTCCAGAAAATTGTTAGGTTTGTAACAAACTTAGGTAATATGTATGCGGTTTGCAGTACTAACAAGTAACAATCGTCTGAATTGACGTAATGTATCATTTTTGGATTTTCTTTTTTTTTTTTAAAATAATATTATAGATATATATTTAAATATTAATACAAATATGTTTATTTACCTTTTGATGGAAGTGAAATATTGTTTCAAAAAATCTTCGGCCAGCTCCAATACTTCGGTTTTCGGTCTCACCGTCGAGTTATTGTAGGTTGGCGGAAACATGATACTACCCAAGCACGCTTTTTCATTGCACAGCGGTGGCTGAAAACGTAATTTTAAATCGTTAATATTACCGGATTTAAAATTACATTATTTATAATTGTGTTAGTTAAAAATGTAATATAAATGTTCTTTTAAAAATAATTCTTCCACGGAGAAGAAGGGTTCAAGTCAATTTTCGGATTTTTTTTTTTTTTTATCGTTTTATCTTTGTAATTTTTCGCCCTTTATTGTTCTGCCTAAATGGCATCAGGAATATTCTAACACATGTTATACCAAAAATTAAAATATTTTAAATCGTTATGATGTATGTATACCTACTTTTTATTTTGTAAAAAGCACAAGTTCTTTGTAACACCATATTTAGGTTAGACAACATTTAGAAAATTTACCCATTATATTGTTGAACAATTTTCAATATTTTATTCACTCGTATCGAAAACTATATAAAATCGACTTAAACTCCCCTTCCCTAAACCAAAGAAATTTTTAACCGGAAATCATGTTTAAATTCAAGAGGTAGCAAATTATATCCCTGTGATAATTCAGCCGGTAGTTTCGTTTTTCCATTTTATTTTTGTTTTTCACGATAACCAAAAGCGAGGAAATATTGTATACAATGCATAGAATAAAATTATATTTTGGTGTTATTTTAGTCCATCGTGTATAAAATATATTGCGCGTATAGTGATACCGTTCAACTATACTACATGCAGATGACGTTAAAGTACGTAACGTATGGAAGTTTGAACTTAAAATGGTGTTTTTTTTTTTCCTATTCTGGGGAATGTTTAAATCGAATTCGCAAAGTCTGCGCGCGTTGTTTTAGAAAAACGCTTATAATGTTTACTCTTTGCGGACGCGTTTGCATATTGTTACCCGCTGAATGCGTAGTGTCGCGTGAACGAAAAACCGAACCATGGATTTTCACGGATAAACATTTGTTCCGTGCCTATATGCTAACATAAAGTAGGTATACTGTATACACTGCATCAGCACAGGTGAAATTTCGCAGAACAAATAATAGTGCCGCGGCTTTACACGGGACGTGTATATATAGGTAGGTTAGGTTAACTTAACAAAAAAAAAAAAACGAGGGGGAAAAAACCGAAAAAAAAAAAATCAAAATCAAAATCATAAACTCAAATAATAATAATTCCGAGTGGGATTTCTCGTAACCTCTATAGCGGCGCCGGTGGCGGTGTACTGCGGAAACTGCTATTAACATTTGCTATACTTCTATACGCAGTGTGTATATACACACAAAACTAAAATCCGCCGCGTTAACTATGTGTATATTTTGGATATGTACATATACGTTTATTATTATTATTTATTGTTTACTCGCTGACACTACGGCGAATATTATATTTTCTCGTTATTCTTTCGCGTGCACCCATATTGTGCAGGTATACCTGTGCCTAATATTACAATGTTCTCTGCGTGTACGAAACTCCGCCGACCAAACAAATATCTATGTATACTATTATTATTATGAACACTGCCCCCAATTGAATATCGAAGGCGACCGGTCTTACTCGCGAAAATTGCGCAATTCAATAATTAAATCTTCAGTTTTTCGGCACAAGTTTACTTCACGAAAATAAATGAAAATACAATTGCATTCCGATGCGCTTGTCAACAATCCAACATATCATCCTATTTTCTTATATCTCAAATTTTAATGTAATAATAAGAATAGTCGCTCTACAGTTTACTTCTGAAAATAGACGAATTACTGTATTTAGATAAGGTACCTCATTTTTATTTTTTTTTTTTCGTCACTCTCTGATAGACAAATTTCAATCGATTACTCTATTGGGAATAAATTAATACCAGAGTTTAAAAGTATACGCACCCTAGTCATACATTCCAATCTAACCTTTTTTTCTCTACTCACATCGAACAGATTACCCTAAAATGTATTAGATCATTTGGTTCCTCGTTCAGATTGACATCATTTTTCTACAATATCCACTGTCTTAGAGTACTATTCTTGTCTTGATCCGCTATATATTAAAATATGGAACTATAATGTTGGGTTAGACTTCCTTACCAAATTGGTCTAGTTGAAAGAGATGAATTTACTGATTTACTATAATTTACTATTTACTAATTTGTATAGAAAAGGTACAAAAATATACTCATTTTCAATAATTCGTTTACGCTAATCAAAATTCTAGAGTATAGGGACAAATGTCTAATGTAGTTTAAATCCATACAATCATTTATTTAAAAACAAATTTGAAAAGCCAAACGATTTACGACTTTTGTAATTACTGACAAAAAAAAAAAAAACTACCCGAAACAGTTTTCTGACTTTTTCCGTTTTTTTTTTAAAAAAAAAAACAACTATTTTAAAAGTCTAAACTCATAATATGTATAATATTGTTGTTGGTAGAAAATGTTTTCAAGTATCCATCAGGTGTTTTGTAATAATTTACGGCGTATAGTTTTAATATAACTTATACAATTGAATAATACTATATTTTTTTTTAAAAAAAGCTAAAAGGAAATTATTGTTGTTTATTATCACTGGAACTGCAAGATTCGTATTATTGTCTTGAGCATAATATGTGTAGGCTAACATATAACTTATGTTAATAACACGGGCTATAAAAAAAAAAAAAATCACCTATGAACCGTACATTTATATTTAAATGTTTAATCAATATCAACTACAACGGTTTTATGGAACGAGGGTAGAATTTTTCCGAGCTTATTCTGTACCTATTTCGGTTTTTTCTTTTTTTTTTCTTCGCACGGATTACAATAAATTACGTTTAATGCGGTTTTCCCATCGTTCCCGTTTTTCTTTTTACGTATGTTGGTTTAACAATATTACGCGAATTTGATTTTTACCGAAAACACGTACCATTTTGTTTAAATTGTTCGATGGTTTGATCTCGATAAATTTTTATGTTTTACCGTCACGTACCAATAAATTAACAATTACGTGCTTTCGTGCGAAGAGTGTACCTATATTATCGTATTAAAACACAATAATCTTTAATTTTTAAGTTATTTAATAATGTTATCGTTATTGACGATCTATCTGAAATGTTTGCTCGACAATCGTACAATATATTTTATGTGACATAGGTATTATTATATGTATATTTTTACGCAAACACATCAAAATTATCAGTCGATGACATTGTTATGTGCACAAAAAGTAGTGAAGTACCTTAAAAATAATACGTGGATCTTAGTAAAATTCCACGTTTCTCAATAAAAATTATATTTGTATAATTTCACCATAGTAAAAGTGCATTGACCGCGTGGTGAAAGTTTAAAAAAACCCATGTAGAAATTCGGAAAACTACAAAATACAAGATACAAAAAAAATAAATAAATATTTACAACCAGAAAAAAGTTGCGTAACATTTAGGGTATTCGTATTCCCTGAAGGGGACCGTGTCAAAGTGCTGTTGAACGTCAAACCTACTCAATTACGAAAAACAAATGTCAGTAATATCCAGCAATCTTCACACTGCGTGTCTTGCATACAGCACCAAATATTTCATACGAAAGGATTTCGGATGTAAATGGAAATCGCGTTATTGTGTTAAAAAGTTCTCGTCGTGGGTTCGTAGACACGACTTAGTTTTTTTTTCGATAAATTTAGAATTTAATTGTTAATAGAATTGAAGAATGGTTTTTTTGGTAATAAAAACTTGCGGAGAAAAAAAAAGTGCAATAACGTTAAAAACATTTAAGTTTGATAGTATAATTTTATAGTATTCTAAAATTCTTCAGAAAATTTAAAATTCTTTCTGATTTCTGATAGAAATTTGATTACAGACAAAAAAAAAGAAATTGGTTAAATCATATTCGCTGCGCTCAGAATATAAAAATAAATCATCATTGAAAATAGATTTATACTAAAATGATTCTATTAAGATTTTATTAACAATATTATTATGATATTAAATTATTTAAAAAAAAAAAAACATTATATTGTAAAAGCTGTATAACTAATATATTCTTCGCTGAGCTCAGAATCGTAAACCATTTACTGGCCTGTACTCACTGTAAACTTTGCATTTAATATAATCCTAAAATTTTGTAATTATTTACTACGCATATGTTTAATATTATGTTGAGTTTTATAATGTAAATTGTATTTTAGAATTCAATATTTTTTTTCTTCCTAACATTTCTTGAACGATTTATTCTTAAACGACTTAAACGTTACTGCAGGGTGATGCTGAAGTGCAGGAAAAAAATCTTGACAACAAAATATTTTGTATATTTGTGCGCTGTCATCGTGGTATTTTATACGCTATGGATGAATTCGATGAGAAAAATGCGATGCATGTATACTTTATTGAAAACAGTTTTTTTTTTTTTTTTTTTAAAAACATTACGCATTTATTCATATAAAATAACCGATTCTGAAATGTCAACGATTTTACGAGTTAAATAATTTAATTTTGTGTCTATATAAAGGTTCATCGGTTGTGAAAAATCGATCGATGAAAAATATCAATTCCAATCGAGTTTTTAAAATAGTAATATTCTTGTACTCTTTTAGATTTGGAACAGAGTAACGGATTTATTGGTGTGTTTGTTTTCTTAAAATTTTTTTTTTCTGTATGTAAATAAATGTTCGTACAAAAAACTTGCTTCAATCGAAAAATTACAAGAAACCTTTACACTGTGAAGAAACCATTATTTTCGTAAATTTGTCCGTTCTTACTGCCCTTATTTTTTCGGTTTTGTTCAATTATGAAAAAAATTACTAAGAAAATACAAAACGACTTTTTTGCTTACCAACTAGATCAAAAATGAAACATAAAAAGGGTCTCTTGTTGACGTTTTTCTAGTCGAGTAATATTTCTGATAGAAAACGTAGTTTCCAAAAATTAAAAACAATGGATTTGGTAACGCCGCGCCGCGTCGGCGTACCGTGAACATTAGCAATAGTTTCCGGTTTTTCGCAATTGTTTTTAAAACGCCTCGGAAAATCAAAAAATGACCTTCTCTGCCGTGCACCAAAACGATAAAATTTCCATTCAGAAAAGGCGCTACACTTGATGTACAGGATCAAGATTTCCGGTGGAAAAGTTGCACACAAGCGGAAAAAAAAAACACACAGTAATACCAACAGATCGGTCGCTCTCTTCCGAATCTAAAAACCGACCTAGGCACTGAACAAGCGGCTCTTATATCCGCCTACTCACAATCTTCCGCCGATGAAGACGCCGCCACGAGAATATAACGGTGTACAGAATGTACACAATCCGCGTCTCGTTTATGCAATTGATTATGACCCGCGTTCGCGTGTTACGGACACCGCGACTGGGTGCGCGCTTGCGGTGTGTCGATATTGCCGCCGAGATGCTCGTATTAAATTTGTCGTGCATATTATATGGAGTGTACCTATCGTACCCATTGCGATGCTTATACGCTCTCGGATATTATTAAGACGTCGGGAAGCTCCCGCTGTATATTAAGCATTTGTATGAGCGTGCGGCGCCGGATTATGTCGTTTCGCGAGTAGAAATAATTTTGATCTAAACCGCGCGCCCCCGCACGCGCCCGTAAGGGAGCGAAAAATTCGGTTATTTGTATTTCCCGCGATGTCTCGAGTGAGCGAGTGCACCTACGCTCTCGTACGCGTAATACGACCGTGTGCTGCTGCTCCCCTAACTGCTGCTGCTGCTGCCGTTAATCCTTCGCTATATTCGGGTAAGACCTTAGTTCAAAACGCCGAACGCACACGCGCGCGGTAAAACAGAGATTAAGCGGTTAACGACGATCTCCCCGGATGGTATACTGTAGCGAGTGACTCGTGACCTGTTAATTGCGTTTGATACAGACATTAAATCAACTTTATCCGCCGTCTGAGACATAAAATAATCATAAAATAATTTACCTATATATATATATATACCATACACACACACACACACACACACACACACACACACAATACAGGGTGATCCGTTTGACGTGAACCGGCGATTTTCTCGAAAGATCGGAAGCGCGACATTTATAGAGTTCGTCAAGTACTCGGCTTTATTCGTGCGGGTACCCTACTCGATTGTCATTCGTTTAAAAACAATTAATTTTAACAACCAGATATTTCCGATCAAGTCGATAGTTTGAATTTACAAAAAAAGTAGATTGTTATTATGATAGGTATATATATATATAATTAAAGACCGTATTTTAATCGCGTTTTAAACATTTCAAAATGGCAATGGAATATACATTTAAACGGTTCAACATTCAAATGATTTTACCGTCTGTACCTTCCTTTAAAGCTGCGAGTGGGTATTGGTTTTACAATGATGTTTATTTTTTTGTTCTTTGTTCTAGTTTGTGGACACGTTATTTCCGAGTAAACTTGAGTAAACTTTAATAAAAGTTTAAGTTGTTTAGATTGAATTTTTAACAGGTTATTTTTAAATAAAAGCACCTAAGTGGAAAAAAACGTGGGAAAACGGACAATTTCATGATTTCGTTATTTTATAAAAACATGGACGTTTTATACCGGAAAAAGTGTTTTAATCGAAAAATCACAATTTAACTTTTTTGGGCCTTTTTGATTTACTTTTAAACGGTATCATTGCCAAAACTTTTGAGCTTCTAAGGAATTTTTTGGAGTTTGTTTGCTGTAATTCGGTTATAAATAGAGACTTGAAACTTGGTAATAATACCTGTATTGGACTTACCTAGATGTGTTAAAATTTCGGACGAGTTTTTTCTTTTTTTTAAAATTTTTTACAACGGTACTTTTTTTTATATTGTAGATTACTTTTATACTAAAAAACTTGCTCCGATGTATAAGTGTAGTATCATTTTTGAAAGTAGTTTTTTCTTCTTAGTAAATACATAGATCATTTTTTGATTTTCGAAACGGTATTTAAAATAAAAACGATTAACCGGGGAAAAAAAAAAATTTTTTTTCACGATTTCGTTATTATAAATAAGTACCTACCATGTTTTCTAGCACAAATATGGGTCCAATTGAAAAACGACAATGATCGATTAATTATCGATATTTTAATAATATCACGATTTTAGTATGACCGTAGAACTTCTCTACTCTTAAGAATACCCATATGTAAAAATTTACGTCGTAGTTATATTTTTATTGTAAAATTACCTAACAAATAATAATGGATTACTATATGCTTTACTAGGTATGAATTTTTCCCTACGAAAATAGACTTTTAGCCATATTCATAGATAAAAAAAAAAAAAATACTATTACTATAACTATTTGTAAAAAAAAAAAAAAAAAAACCAATGTTTTAAAATGTGAGAAGAATATTATTAAATTAGTTTTGAAAATATCATAAAAATTGTATCGTGTCAGAATCCGATCGTGCAGCTACGAGTATATATATATATAGCTTTTTAGTTTTATATACCTATCGTTAAAAAAAAAAAAAAATTTTTTTTTAATTTTGTCTCTGATGATTTCTCTATGTAGTATAAAATTAATAAATAAATAATTTATTTATTAATTAATTATTTTAATATTATTCGGCCAAATTGTAGATACAATACGCTACGTAAAATCATCCCATACAATTGTTATTCTTATTTGATAATTTGTTTGTTACTTTGTTGTTTCTTGTATATATAGCATAGATATCTTCTACAATACAGTACAATATTTTATTAAATAACAATATTATTACCCGACCCCGCATTTGTAAATTGTATTATTATCTATATACCCGTAAATTATTATTATTAACTTAGGTACGCTAATAATTCATTAAATTATCGTCATCTATTAATATTTAATAAGGTATCGTTTCGTAGTTTGAATAATAATTTCTATTTATGAAGTCATGACGCATATTTCTGCTCAATATTGGCTTTCATCTGTAACGTCATCGGGCGGTGGCCGCGGCGATATTGTTCACAAAATATAATGAATTATCTACTGACTACAGTGCTAAGATTCACTCGGCGAAGAATGCAATTGAATTTTCGGTAAAATACCGAACATGTTTGCTTACGTTATCCAAAGACGAGCTTATCGGTCGAAGTATTTTGTAAAACGTTAATATTTTATAATGCCATATACTTGTTGATACGTTTTAATTGAATTACTAATTTCAAATAGGGAACTTCTCTGAAAATTAAAATTACCAGTATTTAGTCACGATTGTTGATTTGTGTCGACACTCCGTTTGTTACCAGTACCATCAGTAACATAGTTACGATAAAATATAGGTTACAATACATTATTTATATCAGTTGCGTCCATTGGTCCGTTAGTCAAAGTCTGTTAGCTATGATATTATTAGTTTTTTTTTTTTTTAATAATACCTGCCAGTGACGTAATTACGGGGGTGTACGGCGGTGTACTTGAACCCCCTGGTGTAGCAGGTACAACGATATGCTTTTACACCTTCTGAAACTTAACTCCAATCCTATGAAAATATAATTCTATTCCATTGATTTATTGATTTTTTTTTTATAAAAGATAACATAACTGAACAAATAATTTCTTGAGAGACTTAAGGAGCTTTTCTAAGTCTCTGTCTCCAAGTAATTATTATTTGTTAACCTATTTGCTTATTGTATATTTTCCTTTAACAAAAATACCTAAAAACCTAATAATTGTAATTTTTATTAATGATAATATCATACGCGACTACCTGATATGCTCGTACTTACCAGTTTCAACTTTGCCAATAATTCTAAGGTCTTACACAAAAAGAAAAAAACAAAATAAAACAATACAGAATTATTTACAAAATAAATTTCAAATGAGTTACTTAATTTTATAAGATAAGGAATATCCAAGTATAGCCATCAAGTAGTAGTTGCAGATTTTACCATTTCATAATGTGCGAAAAATAAAAGGATCTGTAGACCAACGATTTGAAGAGAGTAACCATTTCTGTTTGTCTGTAAGTGTTCATACTTGTTTTTCGTTGAATATAAATAGGTTAAGTATGTGAGCGAGACGAACGGCTCTGAACATGAATTAATTTTGATTATTTTATTATTTGTCTTTTTGATTATTGGACCTATAAAAACTTTACACCTGCTGAAATTTAACGGAATTACGCCAATGGATATACGGCGACAGGTTACGAAGGTTAGTTCGTAGTGCCTAATAATAAAAACAAATCTGATCTGATGATTATTTGTCTTGTACAATTTATGCATTTTTTTCTCCCCGGGTAACTTACGAAAAAGTAATAGGTACTTAATAAAGCGACTATAACTTAAGGCCATTGAGTTTTAAATAACGGGATTTTTTTTTTTCTATTCTAAATCGTACTCCGTTTTTAAATATTTTTAAATCGAAAACAATTACTTATTTACATCGACGAACAACAAAAGTTAAACATTATTTTTATATTACACCGTATTTTTCAATATATATACTTAGTTCAAAACAAAATGGTTTTTTCAAATTTAATTTATTTATAAACGATATAAAATTGTAATAAAATATACGGACCTATACTTCTATAGTTTGCATGTCGAAGAAGATAGTAAATCATTGCAATCGAAGAACGATTTTGAACGGAGCTTGGCAATATTGGTTTTTTTAATTGTAAGCTAAGGCGACCCAGAAATTAAGACAAATAAAACCAAAGTGTTGTCAATTTGTCAGATTTTTTAGTTTTTCGGAATAACCGTTGAGAATATAGAAAATTGGTTCAAATAACGTACGACAGAGCGGAAAATCTGCATTTTTTATTGCAAGGCATGAACACATTTAAACACTTTTATTACGCATAAGAGTTTTTCGACAAAAAACATCTCATAATAAAACTAGCTAGGTTATTTTTTACTATATTTAGAACCTAAAAAAATAAAAGCCATTCGTTTTTATACTTGTAGTTTACTATATCTGTATTAGTAACATTTATAATAATAATAGTACAAATAAATTATACCGATATAAATTTTAAAAATGTCAACGTTGCGTATGTAATGTTTTAATAGCCTCAGAATATAAGGGTCTGCGTTCAGAAGATTATTTTATAAAGTTGCAATACTTCCCGAAGCAACGCTAAATAATATACAATAACTATTGAAATATTTTATTTTTACCGATTATCTGATATCAGTATTATAATTATTTGATGTTGATAAAACTGAATGGTGGTAATAAAAATTAATGATATTTCCATAATAAAAAAAAATAATACAAATACAAATAAAAACCATTTTGTTCTCATATAAACGAGATAAAGTGTCAAATTTGAATTGCAAGAGAGTGCCAAAATCCTAAATACCACCCAAGCTGTTATTATATAAAATAAATAAAAAATGAATTTAATTTCCACAACAAATTACTTACCCGGTGAATTTATTGTGGCATTGGAATGATGCAAGAATATTATCCAGATTAATAGGTTCGAATTTTAATTATATA